ATGTGCCGATCTCACGCGGCGTGAAGAGGCGCTTCCCCAACACACTCATCAGTGACTAGACGCCAGATACAGGTAGAAAAAGAAATATTAAAATTGCGTAAATTTTTGAATGGAAGAGATTAGATTTTTAGGACACAACACCGCATAAAATAATTTCCATCTATATACCGTGTATCTGTCGCGTCTTTTTTGCCGCATAGTTTCAGCAATCACTGAAATTTGGGTATATACAGAAAACAAAAAAAAATAACGCTCATAGCACGTTTTCATGTTTTAGGCCCGTATCGTCAGTCGTCCCTACAATTGTAGGGCGACTTTATGGCCTCCTTGATTGTCATAGTTTTCTACTTCTACGTGTCAGAACTCTATTTTGAGTTTATGTCACAAACATCTATTTGCATCAAATTGTGCTTGCTTTTGAGTTATATCATGTTTTATCAGCCTGAAATTTCCTACAATTTAAAAAGAAAACATGTCTTCACAATAGGAGAGCGCTGACACGGAACAAGTGTAATCTAGAAATTTTTGAAGGAGAGAAAGGAGTATGACAATCAAGGAGGCCATAAAGACGCCCTACAATTGTAGGGACGACTGACGATACGGGCCTAAGAATTAGTTTTTTGATATTCCGATAATAAGATGTACAGATATATATAAATCTATTTTGCTTGGTTACTGAATCCTTGGACACACTGTCTAGGATTCATTATGACTACGTGATTATAAATTTAATATATACACAAATCTGGTAAATCCACTTTAATGGTCATTTAATTGATTAACTTAGTCACATGCTATAAAATACCAGTGTCTTAACCGACGGGCGCACTTGACCTTCTATTAGTTACAAATACTACTGCGTATAGTCCACTAACCTGCTGAAAAATAATTTAGTTGAAATAATTATTTGGATTAAGGGTTATCCAGTAATCAAAACATGTTTTCTCGGTAAATTATTTTTACCATGGTTTCTATAACGAAGTTCGTAGAACTGAGGTTGGCGTAAATTGAACGCTGTCCAACAGACAGAAAGCGGTACAAGATGAATGAATGGACAGGCGATGTATACATCAAAATATTTAAACTTTCTTGAAATGCATTGAGTGTACAATAAGCGTTTAGTTCGAAAATATTCGAGGGACACTTTTTTATATCGAGCTAGCCACAAAGCCAGATCCAAAACACCGAGGTATCACGACTGCTTTTTTATGCATAGAAGAGAACCAGGTCACCGACTATTCGTCGATGTGAGAATCTTGAGACCATCAATCAACGACAGGCCACCGATTATTTGGAAGGCTCTCATATGAACCGCATTAAGTTCATGAGCAGTGTGGACAGAGCCTCAGCTACCCCTCAGATATGTGAATAGTACTCTCGGCCAGCTCTTGTACAGAGAGAGGAGATAAGATGAGATGTACTCAGGCATTTTTGGCAATTTCGTTTGATTTTAGGACATTTGGGGGCTCCTAACGAGCCCCTTGTGCGCATAGGGTAAAGAGGGAATAGTTTAAGAACTGCATGTGCATTCGAGTGCTTATTATATTTGTCTCTGGAAAATGGTGTCAATTAGATTGACCATATACTTCTCAAGCCTTCGATATGGCTTCTGGTACAATTTCCAATTTTCAAAAAAGGATGTATTAACTCTACTGAAAACACTCAAGTGGAATCGAAACTTGATTGGGTATGTACACTGGAGTACGAAATATCGTGACCCTCTACATCTCAAACTATCCGAATAAGATGCTTGGTAATAACAATAGGACCTATTTCACTGCTACCAAAGATGCGACATTAATACCTTCCGCTCCATACAACCCAATCCTCAATTTAAAACCAAAAAGATCTGAACATAAACAGCAGTCTATAAACGTAATTTGTTGCCCGTAGCTCTGACGCTAGCGGATGAATTTCAAAACCCACAAAGTTTGTTCGTCCTTGACATTGTATATATTTGTCTTGAGCCAAAATCTGATCAAAATCCAAGCGCTACTTCTTTCTATTCGTCATTGTGTGTCAGAGCGTTCCGCAGGACCTTTGCTCTTGCTTCAAGTATCGTAGGTCTGTCAGGCCTGGTTGCCGAGATACCGGGGAAAGTCATAGAGAAAAAAGGGAAGATGAGAGAAAGGAAATAACGAGGGAGAGCAAAGAGAAGGAAGTGCATCAGTTTGAGGTGTGCATTTTTCATTATTAACTAGTATTCGGGAATTTCAAATTGATCCTAAAATTAATTTAGAGATTGGTTGCTGCAGAAAAATAATTGTAATTTTAAATTGATTATAAAATTCATCGAGAGATTGGTTGGTATTGTAATTTTCGTTGGATCTTAAGTCGCACGATTTAATTTTGTTCATCACAGAGCGACTCCCGATCTCGTGTGTTTGCGAACTTGCTCAACTGTGTAGTCCACTAACTAACACAACAAAGTGTTGCTATCAGATTTAGCTTGACTATAACGTATCTGCGCATGTTCTTCGATGTAGTCCCTCATGTAAGGGATAACGAGGTCTCTGTGAAGTGTCTGATTTGTGACATGGGACGTAAGTGATTGTGCGCAAGCTTCGATCCTGAAAAAACCTACAGACTACGCAAATGCGGCTTGTCGAGAAAACACTAAGCCGCACATGCGTAAGTGATCGGTGGTCTTATAGCCATCTTGTTTGTCCAAGCTTTGTTGATCAAACTTAATTTTGAGATTCTCCAATTGCTTTTTTTCGGCTTATAGAGGAAAAGATGGGCCAAGGTCCAAGGATCACCGGATAGATAGACAGACCAACGGAAATTCATGATGTACATGTGATGTAACATCAAAAAAACTTAATATATCATTTTAGAATTTTTTGAGATTACAATACTTGCTTGCAAGTGTACTGTTATGATTCGCGTGGGTGTGAATTAGATTTATTATACGAAAATGCTTATTATGCACCAGAAACAATGTTGGAACCAAAATCACTCGAGAAGATCACCAGACATTATTTTACGACGGATATCTATCCGAATGAAAGACAGACATCCATTTGGTAAGCCTATACTGTAAGCTATAGAACGTATAGTATCGATTCCATTATACCAGTGGGCATAAATCTAAAACCGTATCATTATAATATTATACGGCGTAAAATAACATAGATCCAATATGCTTAATTACATTTCATAATCATCCCTACGTAAGCTATTATAGAGGTTTCAAATCAGCTTTTAGGCTATTGAGGATAAACTTCGCATATTCATATACATACATGCAGTATAACTCCTACAGACTCCGTGGCCTTAACCCTGTTATAAATGATAAATAATGCTCCTCTCCTGAAACTTGTTTGGACCAGGTAATTAATTGTCCAGCAGTCTGACCGTCGTGATTCCACAACCTATCGTGTATTTTTTGAAGATTACTTAACGCAGCAGCGGTTAAGGTGCGTTTCGATCACAACAAACTTGCTCCGCAACTTGCACCGTGTCTTGTCCCAGAAATTTGTAGAGCCCGCCACATGTTCCAGAAGAAGCGCCGAACACATTGGGCCAAAAAAAAGGCCGAATGTTTAAAATACCAAAATTCAAACTCTTTGGAATGGAAGTGGTAAGGACTGTTGACATACATGAAGATGGGCTATAAGTATTTTTTGCTGAAACTGATTTTAATTAATCTGATATATCTGTCAACCACCCCTGCCAGGTAATAGGAGTTTGGCAGCGTAAAAACTTGATGATGGAGATGTCAGTAGACTATGTGGTGTTGGTATGCTGCTGTTTTTAGCACTAACCTTTATGTTTACCTACCAGTTTTGTGCGTTGAAACTAACTCTCCTCTTTTTAACTTATTCTGTGTTTCATATGTTTTTGAATCGCCTTTCCAAATGAAATTAGTTTTTTGAAAATGATTTATAATGATTATATTGTTCATTTGTATTGCTATAACGAAAATTTTCGATTCGATATTGCATTAAAAAGATTAAAACCGTTAATACTATTATGAACATTGGCCTCGACCAAAGGTTGTGTTTAAAGCCGAACATCGAGCAGGGCAAATGTATAAATTGCTAGTACCAAAAAAATGATGTACTCTCCCCCACCCCCTATTATCCCCAACATCCAATTTTTAACCGCTGCAAAATTTTTTTCTGAAAATGATCAGGATGTTCTGAAATATCAAAAACCGTTTTTGGCCTTTTTCTCCGCCACCACGGTAGCGATTTTCGAAAGATCTTTGACATTGGCATAGTAGTAACCTTGTGTGACAATATCAAAATCTAAGCAGTACTTCCAAAGTTATAGACGGGCCAAGGTTTAGCGGATAGACAGACAGACGGAAATGAGTAGCATGGTTTTTCGTGATCTAGATGTGATATAACATCCAAAAAAAGATAATAACCCATTTTCGGATTTTTCCACAATTTCATTACTTCCACGCCAGTGGCGTATGGAAGAGAGTGGGCCCCATATCAAACTTTGTAGGGGGGCACCCAACTGTGACAAATCCCAAATGGAGAGTAAAATTTTAAATACAGATTTTTACAAAAGAAACATAAACTCTTGCATTGCATAATGTGAATTGCCACGTATTGACCGTGGGCGCCCGCAGAAAGTCCTGAAATATTTTAATTCCTTCTAATTTCGAAAAGCTTCTTTCAGCTGTTGTACTTGTAAACTAGGGGATTAAAAATAGGAAGCATGCTACTATCACCTATAAATACAATCTAAGGTTTAGCTTTGAGAATTTTTGATTTAACGTTAGTACGGCCTAAAAACTTGCGTGAGATTGTGACTTCCAATGAATGAATTATGAAATTAGAGACATACCGGCCACCATGAGGAGTCAACGCATGGGCTACGTGGACGGGCCCTTATGCACCCATACATTAGCCTGAAGCCCCGCCCTTGTAGCAAAGTTGTGTATAGCCTTGAGTCCAGCATCCAAAGTGATGGACCCCATGACACGCATCATATACAAATATACATCAACCACAACTTGCTCCGTGGGCATTTCAGTCTGCGACATGTGCCCGGCACTTTTCTACGGGTACAATGTTGCAGATATTAAAATGTGAAATGTTGCGGCATGTGCGCGGTCAGGTGCGTTTCTAAGAGAACAAGCTACAAACACATGTTATCAACATGCGCCAGGCACATTTGCCTGCAACTTAATCTATTGGAAACGCACCTTCAGGATGTTGCTTGATGCTCATCTTCGTCTGAACCGATCACCAGGTGGTGGGGGCCAACTTGCGGATGTTCTATTCATATATACACATTCTGATTACGAAATCTGCCTGTTTAAAGTATTGTTACTATCGATGTTAGTGATTCAAGTCTAGAAAGTTCAAGCGCGTACATTTGACTACAGGGTGCTGCAAGATGCGGGATTTGCAATTATTATTTTTGGTGAGTACGCCAAATTGCACCATTATGTTTCAAATGATGCAATTTCAATATAAAAATTGCTAGATCATGAATTTTTCGTAATTTATGGAACCCACAAAAATATTTTTAATTACGTCTTTAAAATATTTATAAACTTATGGAACGCAGAATGAAGAATGTGCAATTTTGTCCTATCCGGAAAACAGTATTTATTCAGAATTGACCAAAAACTTAAAAGCTACGCAGAATATGTAGAAATTGTGCTAGTTTCTACTAATTAGGGATGGCATATGGATTCATAAAAATTCTAGCATTACTTACTGTGACTCTTTAAGCTAAAAAAAAGTGTGCAGCGGTTTTTGTGACTGTACGGTAAAAAGTATTGCAACCGGCACAGACACTGGCGGAAATTAGTGGAATGGTTTTTTGTGTAGCAAACCAATCCAACTCGAGCGCTTCATACTTAAACACTATGTACGTTGTAGTTTTACTCTACATGAATATAAGGAAAACCATGAGACCTATTACTTCATGTCCGCTTGTCGTTTCTCTCTACAATATTTAGACGAAATTTGAGAATTGACTGACATTATAATGTATCCTCATTTGCACCGAAATAGTTAAAATAAATATTGAATCATTAATATTATTTCCACCTCGCACTAATTCCCGGTACACACAGGCGTAATGCTAAACACGCGTTTTTGTAGCGCAACAATTTAAAGACGGTATGTACCGACAGTAATGCAAAGTTTTGCTTAATTATGTACTTAAAAAGCACAAAAATGGGTGTATTCCGATGAGAAACAACAAAACACCTTTCAGACGAGGGAACTGATCTGCTAAGTACGTCATTATGCGTATGAAGTATATACTTCATTCATATTATATTCATATTCAAAGAATGGATCCCTCTGAATACGAATACTGGTACTAGGATATAGAGTTTCACCATAATGTAGTTTTTGATTATTCTTTAAAATTTTGAACTTCACGCAAAAATGGTTACGAATTGAGCTTTATTCGTTGTTACTTATTCTCGATTGGTAATTAGGTACACTATTACCCTGTATGGACCGAGGTGCACATAGTTAAAAAAATAGAAGGAATAACCTTCGGAATATTGATGTCATACATAAGATGATTCTCAATGAACGTGTACATTGCATTCCGTAAATAATTTTATTTAAGTCGATTTGTATTATTAGTCAGAGATCCCATGTACGACGGCATGAGATGAACATACGTCTAGACATTGGCACTGGTCAAAAAGATCTTCAGTAGTACATACGTTTATATTCTAGGAGGGAATTTAAAAAGAGGTATAACACACTCTATTTAAAGAGTATTACAAGATGGCGGTGAGCTAACTTAGCCCGTTCAAAAATAAGTGAGGGGACCTTTTTCAAAAGCACTGTATATCAACCATCAAAATTTAACGTTATGTAAAATATTGCATCCTACAATATACTCTCGAACCACACTATCACACGTCCAATAAATCTTCGGTGTAGGGGCCGGGTGCTGATATTCTATCCTGTATGAATAGAAATGGGTAATTAGCCGACGACCTTTTACAAAAATTCATTCTATCATTCTATCTACATTCTGCATCCAAGTAGGTAATCATGCTGTTATAAAATAACGAAATACAATAGAATTTCACATCAATGTCGAACTTGTATCCTCAATAGAGTCCCTAGCGAAAAAACCTACAGATTGTCATAAAAAACCTACATAATGTCACTTTTCAAGTTACGTATTACCCCCGCCGTTATGGCATGGTGATGGATGGAAATTGAAACTATGATACGTATTATGTAAAATCAATAATATTTATATTAAGAAAACATCATCACACTGAAGCTATGCTTTGTGAACTGAGACTAAAATTTGAATTAGATCCAGGCAATGCAAACAGTTTTGGTTATGAATTTTAAATATTTGACATTGGCCGAATTATCGAAATATTTTTTTGTTTCTTATTACTCGAAAAACTCGGACAGAACGAAAGCGTATTCTACGCACAAAAAACTTCTCAATTATACAGTAATTGCGAGTATCTCTAAACCGTAGAAAAAAATCCTGTTAAATACTAGATCCGGTTTTAAGAGCAAACAATAATTAGGAGTTATCGAAATACGAAAAATCCAATACGTGTTAAACAAATTCAAAGGTTGCAAAACACATTTTTATCCATTTGGGACCATATTTTTTGTCACTTCAATACAATCTTTATAAGATATTCTCCAATGTGCACATATGTGTTGAAGCTCATTTTGTGGGAATCAAGAGATTATAGGTTTTACATAAAGGTCAAAAGGAATTAATTGCATTGATGAGAGCTGAAGAGTGTCCGGTATGACTAATCTTATAGGTACACTGTTCGAAAATAAAAAAACACGATGATGCGACCATAGCTACTTATACGTTAGTGTAGGTCATGACTGTTGTTTATTGTAAATATAATGAATATGTACGAAGATATTGATAAATGACTATACACCAATATTTGCGTAAAACAACATGCTTCTCTGGTATTGACGCATGTTAAGTATGAAGTCATTATCAACGGCGTTCTATAGATATAACTTCTGTATGTACTAGTGCCAAATTAATACACATTGAATACAATAATTAGTCATTGTATTTTGTCTAAAAATAAACAGCGATGTTGGTTGGATCTCTCTTCATACATTTTACACATTGTGCCACATAATCAGTTGCATATCACATTTTCGCTTATTTCGCAAAATTCTTACTGACCTTTCAACCAAATAAGGTCAACTACTCTTGTTATCTATCTACTATACCTAGTAGTAGATAACCTCAGTTATCTATTCTGGAATAAGCCACACAAAATTGCCATAATTTCTTTTCTCTGAAACCAGTAAAACCCGCGAACTTTTGACCACTAGTCCTTGCAATCATTGAGCATTTTTTGAAGATAAAAACAATGACATTACGAAAACAAAATGCAATTCTGCAGATTATGCCTAAAATTCTTGGAAGCCTCCAATTCTGCATTGTTTACTACTCGATTTTTTTTTATTCAAATATATTGTTTTATCGAGTAATTGCAAAACATTTTGAATCAATTGTGTTGAACCTATATTATTGAACTTTTTCCGTATAGGAACAACCGTTAATACAATAAAGCTCTCCGTATTCTCGCTTGGGTGATCAGTAGCAGTAGTACCTAGTAAAACCTTCATTCTAAGAAGTCTATAACGCTTTTGAAGAGTAAAATATTTGATTTCAGATGTGCATGTCATATAACATCCAAAAAAGACATCTCATTTTCGAAATTCTTCGCGATCACAATAGTTCATCGCCAGTATGGGAGGAAATAAAGCCACGTTCATATCATAAACATTGTGTGAGACCTTGGTGGTTAACGATTTCAACTATTGTAGCTTTATTAATGGGCTGATATATCAAAAATACGACTTCAAAATAGCTGCGGTAGCCTGGTATATAGTATCAGGAAGTATGACCTTATATCACAAAAAATCAAAGAGGGATTGATGGCTTAACATGAATAAAATAGGAGACTCCTTCACCTGTGTAACTTTACGCATAAATTGGTCAACAATTCAAACCCTCCAGGTCTAAATAAACATTTCATTCCCCGCAATGATGCTCATCATCTTAATGTTAAATCAAAATTGATCTACACAGCACCTCAGCACAATACCGCCATGTTACAAAGATAGTTCATATATAATGCGATCAGGATGTATAATCAGCTTCCACCATAATTCAATCTTTTAAACATGAACATGTTCAAATTCAAATTAAAACGTTTTATTTGTTTGATTATATTAAATTATTTGCCATTTCTTTATTATTGTTTATCGATAGTTATAGGAGGATATCAAAAGTGGTTAGGTCTCTCTTTAACATAAAATTTTTACTTCTTCGATTCCTTAATTTAATTCTGGCTCAATTATGTACTTATTGTGGCGCTGCCCTCCAGTGGTTACGTAGAATAGCTACTTACTAGACGTCGCCAGTGGTATTGTATTATATTATGTTATAATTTCTTGATTAATGTTAATCAATAAATACGATTTATTATTATATAAAAACTACACTGAACTGAGTATATTTATATTTGCTTAGATTTCAATGGCTGTCGCCACATTAGGCGAAGAGGTTCGCCTAGTCGACTTGGACCCGAAAGATGCCCAACAGATAATCGAAGGTCAGGACCAGTCTTTGAACTACGCCCCAAAGGTAGCCAGCAACGTTCCGGCAGTAAGGTACTTGGGCAATGAACCTCATCATGTGCAGGAGGACATATACCAAGCGCGACAGTACCATGGTCAAGACGGTTTGGGAGGGTACCTGTATGGGTACAACGTGCCTGATATCGCCAAAACTGAGAAGAAGAAAGCTGGAGGAGACCTGAGGGGCGCTTATAACTACATCGCGGGAGATGGACAGGAAATCAAGGTACATATGAAAGATTTGTTTATACCAACTGCTAGCTAAGTATCTGACTTCGAGCGTGTCAAATTTTAGAGTGACCAAACTACCTGGTCAAAGTCCAATACCAAAGCTTGACTATGCAAAGTTTCCCACCGCATTTCATTCTGATTGTTGAATTAGAGTGAATTAGAACCCTAGGTGGATAAACGAATACCACAGAAGAAGCTTCAGAAGATATCAAATAATAATTCGCTAAAAAATACTGAAGAATCCATCATCTCACTGTTACTGTTACGTTCTCCTCAGGCAACGAACGTTGACCATTTTTAAAAAATAGTGTCTAAAACCATAAAAACAGGAAACAAACAAATTGACAAAAGCCTCAGTAGGAAGACTAGGTTTCGTGTTATTCAGATTATACGTACTTCAAATCAGCAGGTCATAACCTAGAAGTCATATTATGTTTACTCCTTCTTATCTACTGATTTTAATTCTAGGTGGAATATTGGGATGACGGAACTGGATTCCATCAGATTGACAACGTTCCAAAAATATTGCCAAAGCAAGTAGAAGATTCCCCTGACGTGAAAGCAGCAAAAGAAAAATTCTTCGCAAGATGGCAAGAAGAGGCTGAAAGAAATTTACATCCGGTAGAGTAAGTATTTACAAGGTTAAATAATTTTTGTGAAACAATAAACCCATGGCCCTATCATACATTACGCTCAAATCATATTTTTCATAATCAAGAACAAAATTGACAAGAAATGTAAATAAATAACTAAGCCTAGCGACTTTTGCCATTTATGTACATACCCTGCCTGACTGTGATATAGTGGTAATAATTTTATTCGAGTCATAGACTCTAAGAGTAGAATTAAATGTATTCTTTTCAAAAAATAATTCTTGAAAAAATACTCAACTTTCAATCTAGAGGCCCCGCCCAAACCTTATGGGGAATAGCTATTCTGTTTTAAATTCATTCCAACACGTAGAACCAAAAGGGTTCATTGGCCCAAAATTGTTCGACGAGTACACACAGGGCCTCGAAGTTGGGCAGTTCGTACCATATTTTGGGTTCGGTATACGATATGTAATAGTTGTTTGATATTTATTTACGTCCGTACCGTCATCCCTACTAGCCGGTTTACATGGTGGCCGAAACTTGCATGTATGGAGCATAGCTCCGAGACACAAACTTTTCCAAAAGCTGTCCAGAATTATCCTGTACCGTTCATGTCGGAATGTATTTCAAAAATGCTCAGGATTATACAGGATGTCCCACTACTGATTTCGATATCCATATTTTTTGTTGCACAGTTGGGTGGATGTAAACGCTTCTCGAGATATAAATTTTGTCTAAAAAAGTATCACTTTAATACCGTCATATAAACACACTTGACTGGGTATCTAAAAAACTTGGAAGTTTTGGTTACCATACTTTCATTATTTTAGACAAAATACGTATTCATTATCTCAACCACTACTCAACAAAACTCATAAGTATGTATCAAAAAAATCTACTATGTTAGGCCTGGACAATCCAAAATATCTTTGGAATGTATTCCAACAGAGACATTGATGGATATTCCTTGATATTTTTTGAAAAAGTTTGTCCCTCGAAGTAATTCTCCATCCATGCAAGTTTGGCCCACCCTGTATACGAGACAGAACTACAATGTTGGTCAATAGGCTAGTTATGGATGACCATAAAAACGTAAATAAATATCGAATGCTACATATCGTGTACAGAAACCATAATAAGCTGACTGTACAACTGTATCTCGTTCTACATTTCGAGATATATATCATACTATTTTTTTTTATTAGTAGAAATCCATTCCCCGTAAGCTTTCTGTGGGGTACTTCCACAGCACCACTAATAGATTCATCTTGACTCAAAGTTGTTTCCTTATAAGCATGATGTAGATGTCTTTTATATTGTTGCACCTGATGGTATATTCTATGGCATTCATTGCAGATATCCATACAACAGCGAAGGTCAATACAAAAACCCGCAATTATCACCAAACGTACAACAGCAACTACAGCTGCATCAACAGCAAGTACCCGTTACACAGTACCAAACATCTCAAGGTCAATATAGCTCACAAGGACAATACCAACCTTCGCAACCTAGTCATTATCAGCAGCAACAAAGTTTACAGGGCCGTCCTGGCAGCCCAAATCAAATAGACTATTCTGGCCAGTACAGTGAACAACAGAATGTATTCAGTCAACCTCAGTCTGGTAATCTTCAACCAGCAACACCAACTGGTAACCCCTATGTACAGTCTGGAGGCTATAGCAGTCAACCTGCTGTATATCCTTCTGTACAGTCTGGTGGTTACGATAATAAACCACAAGCTTCTCATGTTAACCCTTATGTACAATCTTCTGGGGGATATAGCAGTCAACCAACACCAAACCCTTACGTAGGGTCTGGAGGATATCAGAATCAACCCAGTCCCAATCCTTATGCACAAAAATCTGGAGGATATAACAGTCAACCCACTCCGAACCCATATGTACAACAATCTGGGGGTTACAACAGTCATCCAACTGGAAAGGATGAAGAAGATGAGACTACAGGACCACCAAAAGGCTTCTTCTACAGTTTCGACTACCCTGTTGGCATTATTGTCAATAAGGGTGATCTTGTCAAGAGAGGCACTGATGTCAAGGATGTGTATAATGAAAATAAAGCAAAATTTGAGGCGCAACTTCAACATGGACATAGCGATGGTTCTCAAAGCAGTTACACGTATTCGCAAAACTGATTGAAAGCTCATAATGATTCGAAAATGTTCAATACATTGTGATAAACGTTTATTGTTATTTTTATTTTATTTATGAAAGTTATTTGTATTTTTATTAGAATAAACTTGTCACAGATTCCTCGCAAGGACAGTTTCTTTTGTATACTGATGCCAAGAAACCGCTGTTGCTATAAAGAAGTTAAAATATTCCCAGACACGAAGATCGAATTCCCAGTAAAAATGGTTTCAACTGAATAAAATTTTACGTTCAGCTAGAAAAAAGGAAAATTTTAAAGTGAAAACATTTGCTGAATCGCTGAATTTCCCTAATAATGCGTCCCGATGCCATATACATTCGTCGAGTCGTCTTGGCACGCTTGTGGTGAAATTATTTACTCGTATGTGTATTTGAGGTATCTCATCCCAAGAGACCTGTACTTGATTCCTAATGTCTGCAAAAGTTTATGGAAGGTGAGGTAAATAAGTCACTGTTTTTCCATCATATTGCACAGTGGGCGAACAGCCTGCCATACAAAGGGTACTGTGACGAATAGCGCCATCTGTTGGGCGAGTCTGCTACTCGCCAGAGCATAAATGCCGATCTATGCTTTTACGCGAATCACGGCGCACAAGCCGCCTGGCGGCGTCTGTGAGGACCGTGACAGTGAATCGCCTTCTAGATTGACGCGAAGTGATCTCCAAGAGTCTAGACTTCCGCTTTATGGCCCGCCAGACTGTTCTCGCCAAACGATGAGGACTATATAACCCGGCGGCCGCGAGAGGGGAGCAGAGTACGGAATACGGTGGAGTAACAGAGCGAGGAGAAGTACAGTGCAGTCAATGGTGACATAAGAATTAGTCAGACATAAATAGTGGTGCATATAAATGTTTTATCAAGTTAAATAAATTAGTGCATTTCTTTTTGTGGAATCCAGTGTTTTAATCCACACCCAAAAAGAACCCAGAAAGACGCTACATTGGTGTCAGGTGTGGGGTGTAGATTATTGGACATTTAGTGAAAATAAATCGGACGATCAGTGAAGGAATAATGGCGCGATTGGTTGATCTGAAAATTGCGGATTTAAAGAGAGAGCTGGATGAAAGAACAACTGAAACCAGCCTGGGAAGAAGTTGCCAAGGATTCCCCTACCATAAAATCATATTGGGCACAATGGAATTCTCTCGTTATGGACGACGGACTCTCACTGCAAAAAATTGTGGACCTCGCCGGTAAAGAGGAAAGAAGACAAATCGTTATCCCCAGATGTCGGATCCCGGAGCTGCTAGAAGAAATCCATTCCGGTGTGTCAGGAGGTCATCTCGGAGTTACAAAAACCCTGGGAAAAGTGAGGGAAAGATTTTACTGGGTCAATAGCAAGGAGGACGTGAAAGACTGGTGCAGGAAATGCGTTGTGTGCAAAGGAAACCAAAAGCTCCGATGCGCCAATACAACGTTGGGAGCCCCTTTGAAATGATTGCTATTGATGTGGCGGGACCCTTTCCAGAAAGTGAAGCAGGGAATAAGTACATCATTGTGGTAATTGATTACTTCAGCAAGTGGGTTGAGGCATACGCTCTGCCAAATCAGGAAGCCTCTACGGTAGCCGACGCTTTGGATTGGAATGGATTTGTCGATTTGGTGTACCTTTAGAGTTGCATTTGGACCAAGGACGCAATTTCGAGTCGAATTTGTTCCAAAGTCTCTGTCAAATTCTTGGGATTAAGAAGACCAGGACTACTGCCTTACACCCGAAGTTAGATGGAATGGTGGAGCGCATGAATAGGATCATTAAGGTAGTCTCAAGCCATCAAAGAGACTGGGATAGTTCTCGTTTACCGATCGTCGATTCCTGAAAGTACAGGAGTGACCCCGGCTAGAATAGTTATGGGAAGAGAATTTCGTCTCCCATGCGATCTAAAGTTTGACTGTCCACCAGGAACTGACATTGCCGGAGAAGACTACGTAAGTGAGCTGCATAGAAGAATGGACGCCAACCATCGCCAGGTTCGTGTTTCAATTCAAGGTGCCAGCGACCGGATGAAAGAAGCTTACGACGTTAATGCCAAAGACCAGAGGTATGAGAACGGTGATTCGGTTTGGCTTTACGACCCAAAGAGGCGCAGAGGGCTGCCGCCTAAAATTCAATCATCCTGGGATGGGCCATATAAAATTCTCGAGGCCATTAACGATGTTCTCTATATGATTCACAAGGCACCACGCGGTAACGCCCGAATTGTACATTTCAACCGCCTTGCACCTTATCATGGAAACAACGAAGATGCGGCGGTGCGACAAATCCAACCAGAATTGGACATGACATTTGACTAATTTAAGGCTCACCATGCTAATGGCCGTAAGAGTCGGTATGGCGTGACATGTGAAGTACAGCAGGATCTGTTTACCACTTCACCAGAGTATGCCCTGGCACACTGTGTGGCTCAAGACTTGCGAATGTCGAGAGGTATAGCAAAGGTATTTCTTAGGAAGTTTGGAAGAGTGCACGAGCTGCGGCAATCTAACCCGGAGGTCGGAGAAGTACTCCAGATAACTGAACAGGGTACCAACCGAAAGATCTTCTATCTGGTTACCAAGAAAGCTTCGTATCAGAAACCGAATTATGAAGATGTTTGGAACGCTTTGAGTTCGCTTAGAGAAGTCTTGCTTGCCGAGAATCTGAGAAAACTGGCAATACCTAAGCTGGCATGTGGACTAGACAACCTGGACTGGAGAATCAGGAATATTATATTATTAGTGTCACCTTGTTGGAAAAGGGGGGGTTGTCAAGTTTTTTGATGAATGGGAAAATATGAGGCTTCAGTATTTCCTGGATATTCCGTTGTGCAGTCAGACCTGCTCTAATGTAAGCTAGAGCACCTTATGTGATGGCATCCCTAAAACACAACTCAAACACAGTATGGCAGTGCACGTGGCGTGGTACTAAAAACTTAATTACTTCCTTCTCCGCATCGCTTTCTGACTCGTATCCGTCCATCAGTTATTCCTAAAGAGAATCAAGAATCACAACTAACAACAATGTTAGGGGGGACAAAATATCTCGAAAATTACAATACATAAACAAAAATGTTCTGACTCGTATCCGTCCATCACATATTCCTAACGAGAATTAAACTCACCACCTAAAAACAATGTTAGGGAGGGACAAAATATCTCGAAAATAACGTTTCATAAAGAGACCAAACAGTTGAACATTCATGTACAGGGTGGCTATAAATTGACCCTCTGGAACTTTTTTATATGACCTTCCAAAAGTAAAAGTTGTATACAGGGTGATTCACAAGTCGTGACCAAAAATGAAACATCATACACAGGATCGAATTTTATGGCGGATCTTCTATGTAATATTTTTTCCTCGAGGGCTTTATTAAAAAGATACGGGGTGTTGAAGTTTGAAAATAAAAAACATTTTTTTTAATATCTTCAAAACCGTCAACTGGAATAAACTAAAATTTGGTATGTGAATTTACCTAATTTTTGGCAGCAAAGCATTTCCATTACAGAACCCGTAAACAAAAATAATATCGGCGTACTCATCATTGCTAAATTCCATTTCACAACACTCAAAAATGGACAAAAGAGAGACTTGACGTTTACAAAAAAAAATAGTAGTAGTATCGATAACAACCGTATAACACATAACTTTGACGAACTATCTCCCAAGAAACGTCAAGTTGGTATCAAGCCCTCTTATTTTATTTTGAAACTAATTGTATCTCAGCCTTTCATGAATGATCTAATTTGTTTTCTTTTTATATTTGCGAAAACAGTGCACTCTAGGAAAAAAACACAAGAGTAATTATTTGTAGAAAATTGAAAGTAAAATTCGAGAAATTGCGCGCTTCGAAAAAAACAGTAGCGTACAATTTTCATTTGTAAAAATAATGCCACTACTCCCCTGTATCTCCGCCACTGGTGCACGTTAATTTTAAGTAAAGACTTTTGAATGTATACTTAGGTAAATCCACATACCAAATTTTAGTCCATTCCAATTGAAGTTTTGCATGTAATATTGTTTTGTGTGTGTCTTAGAAATGTGCTATTGAATAAAGATCTATTGTTTTAAATGGAACAGCCTATATATTTTCAGGGGAAATGAAAGTCTTTTTGGATTCAAAATATATGTGGTTAAACATACTTATTTTCATTAGTTTGGCCAAAACCTTAAAGCCTTTGTATTATTTACTCATGTTTATCAAAGTTATTAGAAGCAGTTTGCACCTGGTCACCTTAGCAATCTGATATAGTGCCAAAATACATATAATTAAATTACAAACTTAGCGTTTTTGACTCAAGTAGGTAATAAAATTAAGTTTAGCAAACTATATATATATATATATATACAGGGTGACTTAGAAGTTGAGTCATTTATTTGAACAGTGAGTAGATCTGATCAAAAGAAACGTTTTTTTCCTTTACCATTTTTCTGGTAAAATTAAAGTAACAAAGTTATAGCCCTTTGGAAGTTTGAGTACCGCCCTGTCTCAATAATAATATCATGTGCTCGTGTTTGGCAACAACGGATATAATCCGCCTTATCGGTTCATCGCATCGGAAACAAAAAACCGAAAGAATTTGGAACGATGTTTTTACAATTATTTTATTCAGTTGTATACATACAGTCAGTGTCAGTCGGTAACGCGTGTGAATAGTGGTGTCTGTTGCGTGGCTCAAACGAAATAAAAAATGGCACATGTTTATGCGGATCGGTTTCCCAATCGAGTGCAACCAACCCCTCGTGCCTTTGTTAATGTAGTACAACGGGCTCGTGAATCAGGTGACTTAAGACCTCACAGGGGACCTCACGATCAAATACAGGTCCGCACTGAAATACTTGTCGGGAGGATACTTTATAAAACAAGGTAAATTTTTTTTTTTTATTTTTACACACTTATTTTGGTTTATCTTCCTTCTACAATCATTATCTGAAAATTAATGACTCAACTTCAAAGTCACCCTGTATATATATATATATATATACAGGGTTATCCAAATTAAGTGTCCACCATTAGTAACTTTGTTATTAGTGAAAATACAAAGTTGTTTGAATTAGCAAACTAGTAGCATTTTTAACGCTGGTAAAAATGAGAAATAAAAAAAACAATTGAGAGTCGTTATTTTGATTTTTTTCAGTAAAATAACATTTTTTTAAATGGAAACCCCTGTATATTATATTTTTTTCTGTTAAAGCATCAAATTTTAAACAAAAAAGTTCATAATGACTTTTCCGCTAAAGTCAAAAATAAAGTCAAAATAACGATAAATATTTTTAATTATTTGCAGTATTATAATATTAAGACGGCTATGAAAACAACATGGCGTTCGCGATTTGACAGCATTAAGATAAGCGACAAATTGTTAAACTGGACATACTCGCAACTAGAAGGCTTTGGAAAACAATGATAAAATCAAATAATGTCAAACATTAGTGTAAATACTTGTTTATAAGCTTTATTGTGTCATTAATTTAAAGAAAAATGTTCTCCCATGAAGAAAAGTGTGATATGTTAGAATGCTATTTAGTGTGCAGAAAATCCTCCTTGAGAGCAAGAGAATACTACAGTGAATTATATCCCGCTCGCATTCAACCGTATGAACGATATTTTCTGAGACTTTATCGAAAATTTAGGGGCAACGAAAATGTTTTTGCTAAAACAAGGGCAAAAAAAGAATTCATAATAAGCGAGGCCACGAAAATTGCAGTTATTGGATATTTTGAAGCTTATCGTGAGAATTCAATAGCAGATATTCTCAAGGACTCTAATTTCAGTTATGGTACTGTTCAAAGGATTTTAAAAAAATACAAATTTATTCCGTATAAGTACCGACCAGTTCAAACGCTTTTGGCAGGGGATCCAGAGAGAAGACTTGTTTTTTGCCATTGGTATCTTAGCTTCTGTCGCCAAAATGTAAATAACTTTCGTTACCTTTTATGGACAGATGAATCAAATTTTTCAAATTCTGGAATGTTTAATAGAAAAAACCACCATTATTGGTCAAGAGAAAATCTTTTGTTAGTACATCCAAGAGGCCCACAAGTCCGTTTCAGTTTCAACGTTTGGTGCGGTATAATTGGTTCAAAAATTGTTGGCCCGTTCTTTTATGAGGGAACCCTAACTGGTGAAAGATATGTGGAGTTTATGTCAGAAATTCTGACTAATTTCTTAGACGAATTGGATCTTATAAGTAGACATCATCTGCATTTTCAGCAAGATGGCGCACCTGCCCACAACTCCAGAGGTACTTATCATTTTCTAAGTACTACTTTTAATGATCAGTGGATAGGAACAAATGGCCCAATACAGTGGCCTCCCAGATCACCAGATCTAAACCCACTTGATTACTTCTTGTGGGGTTACTTAAAGAACCAAATTTACAAGCGAAGGTACGATAACCTTGACGCGTTAAAGACTGCAGTTAGGGAAAAGATAACCCAGATAGATGGTAGGACCATACTTAAGACAGTTCGAGCAGTTGAAAAACGTGCCCAAAAATGTATTGAAGAACAAGGTGGTGTTTTCGAGCATCTTCTTTAAAAAAAATTGTTATTGTATTTTGTAAGATTATAAGTTGATGTTGAAAATAAAGTTTGTCGATACAATTTAATTGTTTCAGATTGGAGGCCATAACTTCAACAATTTGTAACCTAGGAGAAAAGTTATTGTAAGCTTTTTTGTTTAAAATTTGATGCTTTAACAGAAAAAAATATAATATACAGGGGTTTCCATTTAAAAAAATGTTATTTTACTGAAAAAAATCAAAATAACGACTCTCAATTGTTTTTTTTTATTTCTCATTTTTACCAGCGTTAAAAATGCTACTAGTTTGCTAATTCAAACAACTTTGTATTTTCACTAATAACAAAGTTACTAATGGTGGACACTTAATTTGGATAACCCTGTATATATATCTGGAATCAGAAAATAAGAGGCTACCATTTATACTGAAAATATATTTGCTGGCACTTTTCTGAGACAAAGAAAATGTTACTTGAAAAAATGTATACTAGACCCTATAACTTTCATATACTTCTCCTAAAAGGTCATATAAGAGGGACCAATTTATAGCCGGATTACCGGTACGTTATTATATGATTTTTATATAATACGACACCCTGTTTCACGTGTATTCCATCACGCTTTGACGTCTACTGAGGTGAATAGCTGATCAGCAAGTGACATATTTGTGTTAGGCTGTTTCCTGATTTGTCGGTGCGGTATCGGCGCGACGGCGGTATGCTCTGTTACCGAATCAATACCGCATTGCTCCCATCTACGCATTACTCGGTATATTCTCGGTATGAAATTCTGCAGTACGGCTTGTTTTGTGGCAAGATGTCGTCTTCGGGTTCGAGTGATGATGATATTGGCGTGTTATTTGTATCTCCGTCTACGTAAAAAAAGAGAACCTTATCGGCGTCATCCTTACATCGAAAATAATATTAACTGTCGACTATTTGTTGCAGCTAAAGAACTTTAACATGATGATACAATGTTTTTTATCTATGTATAGAATGTCAAAAGAAACATATCAACAGCTTTTGAATCTAATAATTAAACAACACAGGATACTTTTCAATTTCCAATACTATAGTTAAGTGTAGGTATTTTCACCATTTTGCAGTGCATGTGCGTATACTTGCGGTGAATTACGAGCGCCGCCTGGACGAGCGTGCCGAGACGCGGTAAACCGAACAGATCCCTCCCCGCTACCGCACAATCCGCGCTAATCAGAAAGCACTCATTCAAATATAGGTGCTCGGTAAGCTTTCGGTACCGCGTATACCGAGCATACCGCCGCCGCGGCGATACCGCACCTACAAATCAGAAAACGGCCTTAGTCTGCGACGTTGACAATTATGAATCGGGTGTCAATTCAGTAAAACTTGTTTGTACCGTTTTGTTTTTTCTATGCAAATAAACTTTTCTAGATAAAAGAGGGGTTAGCAAGTAAAAAATGAATCTGTAGCATAAGTACAAAAAAACAAAACAAAATACGGCTGACTACCTGATGTTGACGGATCCGTCAGAATTATGTGCCCTGTGCCGATATAGGGAATTTTGAGATATTACTAATAATCAGCTGTCATTCTACCGTGATGGATACACGTGAAATAGGGTATAGACTAACCTCCGTTGGAGCTATTTTTAGGATGAAAGTTTTGAGCCCTCAAAAATATTTGATCAGCAAAACCCTACAAAATAATCAAGGATATTAGGAATTATGGGCGAAACCATATATGTAGGCGGACAAGGATATATAAACAAATTCAATTTTTATCATATGATGTAGGTACAATGAATTTTTTTTATTAAAAACAGCGCAACAATTCAATTGTAGTTTTTACGTATACCTATACTCCAGAGCTTGACCATTAATCTGGACGAACCTGATCATCCATCTATAAATCCTATTTCCATTTATCTCTGAATCAATTTAATCACACACAATCTAAAGTTTAGAAAAAACTTACCTCTATAGTAGAAATCACATTTCCCCAGGAACAGCATCAAGTCTTGTTTTTCAGTACAAGTTCAGAGCCACACTGCTAACCGAAACTCGACACGAAAACTATATAGATCCAATCACTTCACATTTTGAATAAACTCTATAAAAAATTTACACAGCTTCAACGGATACGGTCATCCACGACTACAACCTGACTACAACAGATCGCCGTTAAAAAAACAAATGAAAACATAACACTATGCTTTTCTCTATCCATGTGTTTGTGACTTCGCGCCTACTGCGACTTTTAGGAATTTGAAGTAAACCAATGGCGTACCGAAAACGGGGGCCTTACCGCAGAACTGCTCCCTTACCGAATTAGCGACCCCAATAATGCACCTTATCAACCATCGAAGAGAAAAAATAATGTACCAATACTTCATAAAGGCGGATCCAATTTGTATCAGAGAAGTAGGTAACGGCAGGGGAAGATGTTGCTATCGTGGGGCTGCTCAGATTGAAAATTGAAGAGCGAGAGGTTTAGACGCATCAGCCCTTCTGAAATCGAATTTCATTAATATGTTGTAATTGAAGAGCGATGAGAGTCATCGACGACTGAACGCCCTTACAGTAAACATAAACCTGGATCCTATGAATGGTTTGACGGTTTTTCTTTTCTAAATTTATGGAATGATAAAAAATTACAGATTGCGGCATTATACAGTTACCAGCGTATCCGTATCCCAGTCGGCGTTTGCTTAGACTCGTAGTGTCCATGTGTTTTAGAAACATTAACCGTTAAATTACAAGTGGTAGTGCTGAAATGTGAGCGATTCCCGTTCATCAAATTTATAATATTAATTAATTTATTATACTGTGATTCACTATATTTTTTTGTTACTCCCAAGATCAAAAGACATACGGATGAGAGAGTTGCTGTAAGGCGAGTGCTATTTTTGGGATTTCTGGTGATGGGTATACTTTTCTTGGAAAATATACAAACGAAATGGTTTATTAGTTCATATACTTCGTATTTCTGAAGCCTGAGGCGTATCAGCATTGGGTTGTAAATTAACTCCAGAATACAGTCGTACAAGGCAATGTGAAAAAATCAAATCTTTGTTTCTTAAACATTGCAGAGTGATGCTTGGGAGTTCTTGGGCTCTACACACAGCAATTTGACGATGACGTAATTGTCAGCACATTTTATGAGACGTTGGGATTGTAATACAAACACCTCCATATGTGTAAGTGTGTAGCCAATATACTGTACTACAAAAAGATATTTTTTTGACAAACTTTGAATTACTTATTTTTCCTGTTAAAAATCTACAAGAATAAACAGAAGCTCTTTTGTAAAGGCTATGAATAAATCTAGAAGGTAATTTATATTTTTATTTCGTTTGTGTATAATTGAACAACCTAACTTCATTCACAGATAGGTATACATATTATATAGATAAATTAATTAAAATACCTCATATGTTTTCAAGCACTTCCACCAACTAATTCAAAAATATAAAATCAAGCACTCATAAAATAATATATAATATATAACAGGTTTGCCAAGAAAACTCATTATTTAGTCGCCTATCAATAATGTACAATGTATAAAGTTAATTTGAACACAATACCATTCATCTTTATTTCTACAATAAGAATATTTAAACAATACATCCACAGCATTATTCACTGTATAAAAGAAACCATATATCAGTACCTATATATAACTGAATAATTGGATTGAAGAACTGTTTTGTCTTTTCGTGTAACGGATAAGGCGCCGGATTTTATACCAGCTTAAGACACTGTTTTGAAATATGTTAGCAGATGCAAAAAAATCAAAAACAGCTTCTCTGTTAATGTGATCAATAAGCAAAACCAAAGATGGTATTTTTTATCAATCAGTTTAAGAAAAAGAGGAATTATATCAACTATGTATTGTAAAAGTAAATAATCTTTGGTTTGGAAGCGTTTCTGAAATTTCTGGCAGAGTAAGTCTATATGAAATTATTTCATCAATACATAAGATCGTGTATACACTGGAGAGATAAGTAGTACCAATGTTAGTTTGAAGTGTGCAGCATTTTCAGCAACATAATTTCAAAAAGCTGATATTCATTGGTAAACCATATAATAGTATATTAAGATAGAATTAAAAAGCTCTAAACAAAAGGACGAACATGTAAAGTAGATTCAAATGGAAGAATCTATGAAATCCCATGTTATAATCAGGAAAGTAGGCGATATTTTAAGTGTGTGAGGATACAAGATGGTTGTAAATTTGGTACCAGCATGACTCCTTTTTGTAACACTTTAAAAGAATTACTAGTATATTTTTATACTTTATACAAAAAACAAAGCTTATCTGAAAACTAACATTCGTAAAATATCAATAGAAAATAGAAGTTTTTACCTATATTTTATGATGAGTAAAAGATATTTGTCATAACACTTTCAAATGTCTCCATATAAAGGAAGAAGGAAGGTATTTTCATTTTACAAATTGAAGCACTATATGCTTTTATATTGAAACATAATTACTTCACAAGAGGGTCATCTAAGGCATCATAGTTTTCAATGTTTGTTTGGACGGCAAAATGGCACGTGATTTTTTTTTTGATGAAATTCTCTAATTTGTGCAAAATAGAACCCAGTGAGAATCTGTTTTATTCATAAAATTCTGGTGGAATATATCGTTAGCTTTTTAACCTTTTTGCCGTGTTATTACTCTGCCTTATACTGGAGCTGGTGCTGTCAGAATTTCGATATGATGTCGCGTAACAACTTCACTTAAATAGCTCTTTCAAGATATCAAATGGACCCTCATGAAAATACACCATATACTTCCGTCTTGCGTCAACTATATTAGGAAACAAGTATAATGAACTTTTCACTTTTCAATTTTTTACAGTATACTAACCATGATTATACAGTGGCTAGCAAACCACAGAATTCTGTTGTATGTGCTAGTATAGTACGTAACGGACGATGTAAATCGACTTGTGTTGCACGATCTCTAGTCTGAGCTATGGTGTAAATATAGCCAATACGGAAATTCTGAAAGCTCCTTTTTGGACAAAAATTAACCTAAATCCACACAATTCCTGCTCTAATCCCTGTCCATGAGACAGCAACAAAGAAGAGATAGACATGTAAGGCCACAGCACCATTTGCAACAATCGCTATCGTTATCTTGTTGTTGTGGAGGATAGTACGGCTGCTGTCCTGGAGGCGGGTAGGGCCCCTGCGGGTACGGCCCCTGGGGTGGTGGATAAGGCCCCTGATTGTATGGTCCCTGAGGATAAGGCCCAGGCCCTGGTTGATACTGTCCTGGAGGGGGTCCATAAGGTTGTTGTTGATAAGGGGGAGGCTGATAAGGACCCCCTTGTGGGGGACCAAATCCTGGTGGTGGCGGACCAGATGGTTGGTAAGACATTGCTGTGGAGTCTCGAAAAGTTTAGTGGAAGCCTGGAATAAATATGATTAGACTAAAATAAAACGTTTAGAACAATGTCATCTGACCACCATATAGGCCATGGTATTAATACATATCAGGGGATGGCAAGGAGAGCACCTAGAAAATTTCTCCGCATTATATCATCTTATTGTAAGTTACCGACACATATCGACGACCCGCCACGGTATTCTCGAGGCTACTTTTCGATACCACAAAATAAACCTTGATACACAGTGCCTCCCCCACTTATTTTTTGAAGGGGTAGAGTTAGCAACCTGAAAACGCGGTGAAAAGTTGATGCATGACTATAGTTTAGCGTAAAAGTAGCATTAGAAAATTTCGTTTAGGCGCCATCTTCAAACATTGATTTTTTAATGAAATGGATGAAGTAATACTCCATTTCAGAGCTCCTTACGAGTACTTTATACTTCTGGAATATAAACTGAGTAACCTTCAAAATGACGGACAGGCAGGCTGTCAAAGTTAAGCGTTTTTTCTCCATTGAATCGCTTATAACTCAACAACTAGTCATCAAAGCGCTACAGTATGTTACGTCAATCTTCTTCTCTTGAACGAATCTATCGCAATATGTAATAAAGTATGCAACATTCCATTTAGAAGAACTAACAAGATTTTTCTGATTTTAATAAAATGTCATATTTCATTGCACACTCACATATCATTCCTAAATAAAAATATTGATATAACAAACTATGGCGTTTTGATGATTAGTTGTTGAGTTACAAGTGATTCAATTTACAAAAAAGCTCAACTTTGACAGCTCGCCAGTCCTTTTTTAAAGATAGTAAAGTTATACTCAAGCAGCTTCATAGATACTCCCACATTCAATTTAAAAAAATGTTCCAAGGTGGCGCCCGGCCATCAGCTTCAATTTTTAACTGCCACTTTTACACTAGTATATACGTAGATTCCATGTTGAATTTCATCACTTTGGATTTCAGCTTGCGAACGTTACCCGTTCTAAAAATAGGTTGGAGGGGGGACACTGCTATAAGTGTTATAGGCTGTACTGTTTCCAAGTAGAGTTTGTAATTGCTAAAACTTTGAAGATCACATTCGGAAAGTTTAAATCTCTATATCTCTATTTATAAATATGAATGTCTATTCAGACTGTCAGCATCACGTCTGAACCGCAATATGCAGGACGTAAAAAATGAATGCTTGGGGAATTTGGTTACTTTATTAGTGGCACAAGCTTCACGTTCCGCGGGTAAAACCGATGATCCAAGAAATCGATAAAAATATAGTAACTCCTGTTTTTTATATCTTGGTGATTTCGACCGCTTCGAATAGCCAGGTTTAAAGATGCTCGTAGGCGCCTGCAGGAATTTTTCATCTGCCCCAAAAAAAAATAAGGAACGGGGATTGCAGATTTACGCAAGCGGGGTCAAACTCTAAAAATCCTCAAAGTTGTGCACAAAAAAATGTTAAATATGCAAATTTCAAAGTCCAATCGGGTTCTAAGGAGAACTACGGCTCATTCTGGTACATTCCTACGGACGGCCATGAAGATCCTGCTATGGTCAGTAGCAATCTGAACCGTGCACCATATATAAAGTCCAGTGGTACTAATGTAGTAAAGAGTTTTTCAATAATGACATAGGTTGATGTTGGAATGGAATGAAACAAGGCTTGCATGAGGTGTCTTTTATTTGAAAAATATGTATGGAATATGACATGGTTCAAAATTAACCGCGGCTTCGCACAATGGTAGGGATCCAAAAAACCCTATCTTCAATTACTGTCGCCAAAGGCGTACCCAGCTCAAAACGGACGGAGGGGTAACTTCAAAAAATCTTACACGAAGATATGACAATTCATATCAATATAGGAAACTACTAGCATGTAGAACAATATGTACCTAGTTTGTTCTAGAATGATTTGAAAAACAAATTTTTCATATTTTCACCAGTGTGATCTCAGAAACGATGGGAGATACGGGCCGCTTGAATGGTGGCAACTTGCCCTCATAAAGTACTCCGCGTCGTTTAATCCATATAATTATCATGAGATGTGATACATATTGACCATGAAGCCTGTACATCAGTAATTATTGATCACAATGTTACGCAGAATCCACTGATGGAACAGACCACAGTAAATACTGATCGTGTGACATTCGTTTTACCGTTTCCGAGATCCCAAAGGCGAGGTTCGAATTTGAAACACACGTAACAAATATAGTTCTTTTATCAAAATTAAGTTTATATCTAACATGGAGTTCAACTAACCCTAGTAATTTATCATCTAATAGATATTGATTCAGCTTGTGGAGAACTCTGAATAATTTAATTTTTGTATTTATTTTTTGCCGAGCTGTGGAAAAGGGGCGACTGTTGCCCCCCTTACCTCACCTGGGTAGGCCCTTGACTGCCGCATAGGAGCGGCTGAGATCTGAGCAAATTCTGGTTTGAGTTGACTTTGCAGGCATTGTAATGGATTGCGATTTTTTGGCTAAGACCTTGCAAATTTTCTCACAAAGCATCCATAAAAAGTTGCTGTTTGGCTGATCAATGTTAACCAATTTTCTGCCCAAACTGAACAATACGTGCGTGGACGGCACATAGTTCCAGCAGGAAGGTGTTACATACCACACAGTGAACATAAGAATAGACATTCTGCAGGAATGATTCAAAGTGTAAAAGCTGACTCTTGTAATGGTGATTTGGATTGAACATGCAAAACAAGCCGCAATCCACAGCTGTTCTTAATAAAAAAAAAAGATTTCATTAAAACCTGAGGCACTGTTTCATTCAATTCTAATAACCACACTTTATGAGTTAAAAACATTTTCAATAGAGAAAAAAGACCTTTGGCTTGGTTCCGCCAATCGTTGGTAGGTGGCGATCGACAGATTTTTACCTACTTGCATACAGTGTTCCGAGTTTTTCAAAAGACCACATGCACATTTTTTATTCCTGTTTCGTCTCCAAAACTAGACTTAATAAGGCACACTGCACTGATGAGTTGCTAATGAGAACAAAACAGTGGTTGGTCATGGTTACAGAAGATAGAAAGCAAATATGTCCATTTCAGCTTAGGCCTAATGTCAACCATTAAAACTGACGTAAATACAACAACATAAAACCAACCATGTCAAAACCCGACCTGATGTAGATGAGTTTCAAACTAATCAGGATGTACGAAGCAGAAGGTCACGCCATGATTCTTCCGCGTTACGTCTTAGATTCAAGTACTCGTTAATTTGAGAACATTGAATAATAACTTTTTATGACAAAAAACAATAACAAAAACGATAATCTTTAATGGATGTGCCAATGGATTGATTTCATTGACAGAATCATCTATGAGATCATGTGCTTCTTTTCTCAAATATGGTTTGGAGGAAGATGAGAAACATTCATTTTATCAGTGTATTATTAGCGAAAACAACACTTGATGCTAATATTCAAAAAAACTAAAAACATTAGCAATCCCAAAAATCCGGTTGATCTTCCAAAACAATGCAAAAAGTAGCTTTTAGGTACTTTTTTAAAATCAACACTGAGGAAACAAAAATCCTCAAAGAATGCAACCAAATCCTATAGGAGGTTTATTCCAGTTTTTGGAAATACCATCACATTCTCTGTGCAACCACTGACTAGTTACTGAGATGTCAGTGGCCAATGACAAAAATATTCTTTTTCATTCTAAGTCGGATTTCTCTGCGCCAAATGATTGTATCAAGATTTTAAAAACAGGATATTGAAGCTAAATAAACAGGCTATCTGATCCATATGATGGGCTAACAGAAAAACATTTTTCAAACCTATAGAGTGTAGACTAAAAAAAGAAGACAACAGTTTGGCAAAAAATTTTGTTGCGCCATCTGTTAGAATTCCTCGTGAACTGTTGCTCCTAGAATGTTTCGACTAGAAAAATAGAATCTTGAAGCTTCAAACTATTTTTTTAGAGTCTAGATATGACCATTATGCACCAAAATACAGCCTGTCAAAAATAACTGAAAATTTTTAATGTTTTCTTGCTTCCTTAATTATTTTGCGTAGTATACATAAGTCAGAACATTTAATTGATGAATTTAATATTTCATAAAAATGTCAAAAATGAAGAAAACTGTCTTCACACACAATATATTCCTGCGAGTATCTTCAAAAGGTTAATAACAATAATGTTCATTACTTACAGTCAACACATATAAATGTATATGGTTTTAGTAGTTCATTTTTATAATAGAACAGTAGAAAATTAGGATCACATGATAATTTTAATGAAACACTCCAAGAATAACCACAATGATTCATTATGCATATAATGATTAAACAGAGTATATACTGATAAGCTGCGCCTGTAAAATGAATGCTGATGCTTATATAGAATTGGAAAGTCATCATGACATTATTTGACAATGCTAGGACGGAAGCCAAACTGGAGAAACATCTGACTCAATACCTGCTTGACCATGATTCATTTTGTAATTTGTAATAAATAAAGTTATTTGGGTACACTACAATGTACATAGAATAACACATACAAACATAATTATATGTTGTTGTTTTTAACATGAAAGCAAACCGAATAAACGAAACAGCTAAGCAACATGACATGCATACATAATCAATCTTCAATATTACATATAAATAAAAATAGGTGTGACGCTAGACTAGCTATTGAAAAAAGAAGAATTCGATAAGCTTGTCACCTTGAATTGCAGAAATTGTCAAAAAAAATAGGAAATGGTGCAACAGGCATTCTTTGCAATCGCAGACATTGCAACGTAGTTGTGTATCAATTTAATCTTGAACGTATTTCGAAATACTTACACTAAGACGCTATAGGCCAACAAATGGAAAAGATTGGTATTTGTTAATCTATTAGAAATTCTACCTCACTAGATCATTCCCTAATTTTATTAACTACTGCAATAGCAAACAGGCAAACACTGGTGAATGATCCAAAAACAAAACACACCTTACGACTTTTTGAGCCTTATGATTGGTTCATTCTCATTGTGTCAAGTCAAAACAAATTCACAACTGACGTCACACATCAGTGATAAATGGCGATTCTTGATTGGTCCATGAGGTAAGGTAGATCACAGACGTCCGGGATTGTCGGTTGATATGTTAAACGTCACGCCAAAGACTTTATCCTCGCCGTTTTCATTTTGCTTACTTAATGGATCTGTAATGCCAGTGTCATATTCCAGTTTGACGTATATGGATTTTGCGATAGTGCTCCGAAAGTAGCTGATAGTAGCGCTGATCTGCGAATCAAGCTATAGTCTTTACATCATGTTTTATATCAGTAGATAAAGTATATGGTATAATCTCTTTATATAAAATTACAAAAGCTCAAACCGGCCGTTGCAGCATTCCCCCATAGGTCACGTTAACTAGGTACCTATGCACTGCCTGTGAGCTTTCGTAGCTCTTAGCTATCCAAGCCACAGCTTTGTATTGTTGAAGAGGTTAAGGAAATTAAGGCAATCAGTTAATTAATACCCAATTCTCAAAATTGATAGACCACATTTCGGGATACAGTTCATGGGATTCGAAAATCGGTCTAAGATAGGTGTCTACTGATTAATGAAATGGACACTGTTCCCAAAAATTAAACGCAACTTCCGCCAAGCACGACCGGGTTTTACCCCAAGGACCCAATTACTGATGTTGAGAGAATAAAATAACTGGTTTAAAGGGCCTCAGTAAAGATAACATGGTCATGCAAGACAGGTATCGAAATATACTCTACTAGACTATCCGTAACTAATTTTTTTTCGAAATCGTTGCACACCGCTAAAAAAATACAAATGAAGATTGGAAAACTGCCACTTTGACGTACTAAATGACGCAGTCATTACCCGGGGATATACATACGTTTTGGCAGTTAACCTTGTCATTCTTGTCAACTAGATTGCGGCGTTGCCAGCTCATTGAAAATTTTTGCTAGTATGTTATAAAAAAAGAAGCTTTGAAGAAAATATTCATGAATAGCAATGAAGATATATAAAATTTGAGGCGTAGCAATGTTTGCAAAAAAAACTAAAAAATCTCTCTGAACACTTCTATTAATGCCTAGTTTTATAGGATAAAATACTTTTTGAATTCGGGACTTCCAACAATTGGAAAAAAACATGTTTTATTATATAAATATATTTATTAACTATTTGATCTAAAATTACATGGCCATTAATAGGAGAAGTAATTTCTACCGCGCAATTTTGATTTACAAATGGTTTCTCGATGGAAAAATTGTATGACAGTACCTGTCAGCATTTTTTTCCAGTTTACCCGCGGAAAAACTTGGCAGCTGTTGTCACCAAAAATTACAATACCTTTGATAATTATAGCCTCTTAGGACACCAGAAAACGGCGCAAATTTTTTTTTTTATTTATATCGAAGCAGCTGCGCAGGCAGAAGCCTAAATGCCGGAACACCGCGGCTGCTATATATATTGTTTTTAAACAGTGCTAGTCAGCTTATGTAGTGAAAATGAGTCGCTTTGGAAGTGATTCTTTGACTAATATTGATCTGGTGATTGAGGAATATCTCAGCGTATGACTAATCTCTCAGTGTATGCAATTTACTGAAAAAAACATAGGATGTCAACCCTAACACACAAGTAGATGAGTATGCAAGGCTCACCTAGTTTGCTGTACAGAGGTATCCTGTTTAACTCAGAAGAGTAGGAAGTAGACCTAATTTCCACTTTGGAGACACTTGACACCCATGTTACAACACTAAAACACCAAAGCACCACTAAGAGACAATCGAGAACCCGATACGGTACGGCCGGGTAGTACAGCCACGCCCCTTGCAACCATCGGCGCACCGGAATGTCAACCCGTTCACAGCTCCGTGCAGATTCTATTCGGTTTAGCTACTTTTTTTCAATAGTGGTGTTCACTATAGGGTTCTCGATTGTCTCTTAGTGGTATTTTAGTGTTGTGACGTGAATGTCAAGGGTCTCCAACTAGGTCTACTTCCAACTCTTCTGAGGGAAACAGGATACCTGCGCAGGAAACTAGGTGAGCCAGGCACAATCATCTACTTGTGTGTTAGGGTTGACATCCTATGTTTTTTCAATAAATTGCGCGCATTGCATACACTGAGAGATTAGTCATATACTGAGGTATTTGGGAAAAACTAAAATTAGGCCGAATCATTTTTAATTTTGTCAGACTATATTTTAAAAAACGTCAAAAAAACAATACTACCCTGTATCTAATTCGGCTTTTTCATTTTCGTTGCAAATAAATGCTTGATGTAAGATTGTGTGATTACTGAATATAACCTAGTCTGGTCCTTATCTTGGCCGCCCTGTAATACATTATTATGAAACAAAATTTACAGAAACATGCAATAATCAACTTTCTTGTAAGTATTCTTATCTACTTACATTCATTTCTGCAAAATCTCAAAAAACTATTAGCAAGGCCTAGAACAAAAAACTATTTTTAGTCCAAGGAATTGGTGGTAGTCTATCATTGACAGTATTTCCACTATTTCACATCGTGCTTTGACACTAAGCCCTTGGCACTATGTTTACTAAATATGGTGCAAAAAATCAAGCATTGATTCTTTGGGGTTCTCTAACCTGGAAATTCAGCCTCGTGCTTAGGAAACTACAATGTCTTACCTCGATTGTTGGTGGATACGTGGCACCAAATGTGACGAGTTATAATTTGTATTCAAGTTCAAATACTTCAGCTGTCCATTTTTAGCTTCCTCAAAATGAATGCCTAATATCTGCGTATAAGACGGATTTCCATATCTTGCAAAACCAGAATAGGCTTTCATGAAGAAATGGCTCATAGTCTATCATTTCTAGTTTATTGGTCCCTCTTGAGTCGTTCTCTTGAAGGTAGTTAGTATTTTATCTAAAAATGGCACTCCACATAAAAGATAATGCTCTGCATGGTAGGGAACTTTCCTCAATGTAAGTAATTGTTTTATGTGTATGTGTAAATTGTGGACAGAATATATAAATGATTAAAAATTTGATAACAATTAGTGAAGATACTAATTTGCATAAAACATAAGCTCCACCAGTCTTATGGTTTTGTTTGGTCTTGCACATACAAGGTGTAAACGTTATGATAGTCATTATTTGAATGGGTGATAGAGGGGGGTTAAAAGAAGAAAAAAGTTTCATATAAAATCGGGGTCAATACGGCCTTTTTTAGAGAAAAGCAACTTTAAAGTAAAATAAAATCTGACAACGCCGCAATGCCAGGCGAAAATTACGACGGAACGCAGTGTAAATAAAGATGGAGTTTGTTATATTTTTGGCTCTTAGATATTATTTCATTATTTGATAATGTACTCGTAAAATGCAAACAATTAAAAAAAACGGACTTACCACTAACTGTCTCAGCGCTTCACGTGGTGTGTGAAAGTTTATTGAACGTATTAAAAAAATCTACTTATAAATAGAGAACACAATTTTGATACATCGATTGTTTTTCTTTTTAAAACCCAGACTGTACTTTTTAGTATTTAAAGATGTTCAAAATTTTGTCCTCCACTTTCCACACAAGCTTCACTTCGACGAACCCAGTCTCTTCTTACTCTAGGTCCTCGAAGTTGTCCATTTATTATTTCAGCCGCATTAAATTTTTTTTCGCGAAGTCGTGCTTCAGTTGCTATTGGACCAGCCCCACAATTCATCCCTTTAAGTTCTCCCCAATACCAGAAATCCATCGGATTGAGGTCAGAAGATCTTGCTGGCCATTTTCAAGGATCAGGAGCATTTCGACCGATCCAGCGATTTGCATAATGTTCATTCAAATACTGAACGACTGTGTGGTGGTGCTCCGTCATGAAGAAACCACAAATTCTGTCTCCGTTGTAATGGCATGTTGTCTAAGGTCTGGTCAAAAAGTTCTGGTAGGTTATTGGCTATAAAGCTATGGTATTCTTCCCCTCACAACTTTGGGGGTAACTCGTAAGGGCCAATTACCTGATCGTCAAAAATACTCACCCAAATATTTATTTTACAACGTTGTTGGAAATGACCTTCACGAATGGTATGAGGATTTTGTTGGGCCCACGTGTGAGTATTATGGAAATTTAATATCCTGTCTCGCGTAAAAGTACATTCGTCCGTCGCTAGAATATTTTTAAAAAAATCCGGTTTTTCAATGAATTTGTGCAAAAACCACTGACAGAATGTTAGTCTGCGAGGATAGTCTTCTGGTAACAATGCCTGCACTCGTTGTACATGGTAGGGATAAAGCAAATTTTCCCTAGGATTCTATGGACTATGGTATGCGATAGTCCTACGCGGCGGCCTAATTCCCGAGTGCTGATATCTGCATTGATTTCCACAATATTTAAAATTTGTTCCTCCTGCTCTACAGTAACCTGTCTTTCACGAATATTAGTGGGCTGAACACTTCCTGTATCTCGAAGTCTTTGGTACACTTGCACAAATGTCCTTCTGTCTGGGTGTACTCGTTGGCGAAATCTGTTGCGATAAATTTGAGCGGCAAGATTTGAATTCTGACGAGCTTCACCGTAAACTAACAACATGTCGGCGAACTCTTGATTCGAGAACACTGTAAATAAACACGACGACGTACGGGAACAAAAACAAAACAGCACGCCCGATGCTCTGCTCGACAAAACGATAAAGTAAATGTATCTATGCAAAACGATAACTAACCACTGTTACCGTTACCGACCGATTGCCGGTTCGATAAGAGGGTTGAAAGACCGTCGCGCTGTCATGTGTATTAAGTATTTGATTTGATGAAACTTACTGACTAAAAATTTTGGCTTAGAAAAACTTAATGCCATTTATTTGTTAATTACCCAATTTAAAAACGTTTTAGATTAGATTATAAAAATTAGTAAGATTGTGGTGATTGTGGTCGATATAAAGCACTTAAAGTTGTAAACTATAAAGCCAGTTAGACAAAAATCTATTGACTTTTGGACCATGGGTCATATGAAGTTTTTGACTTGTTTTGACCGCCCCTATTACCCATTTCAATAATGACTATCATAACGTTTACACCCGGTATAATGGGATTATTTATCAGAATCACCTTTAGTTTTTTCGCAAACATTGCTACGCCTCAAATTTTATATATCTCTATTGGAATTCCTCAAATTTTATTTTAAACTTCTTTTTTATAATATTTTAGCAAAATAGCACAGGTTGCAAAAACGTCCGATGAGCTGGCAATGCCGCAATCCAGGTGACAAGAATGGCGAGGTCAACTTTCAAAACGTATGTCTATCCCGGGGTAACGGTACTGTCATTTAGAACATCAAAGCGACAGTTTTCCAATCCTCATTTACATATTTTTAAGTGTTTTGCAACGATTTCGAGAATAATTTAGCTATGGATAGTCTTCTAGAGTCTAGTAGAGTGTATTTAAATAGTTGTCTTGCGTGGTCATGTTATCTTTACTCGGGCCGATATAATTCTCTATGTTTTTCATAGCATACAGAAAATTAATTTTTAATTTATAATTATAATTTTTTTACGTAATAACTCGGTATTATGTGTTCTGTGGTAATAAATTTCCGTGAAGATTTGGCATGACGAACAATCCCGACGCTGTCACCAACTGCAAACAAAACTCGCGTCTGTAGCTGGCATTGCGGTCGTTGACAACATCTGTCAGAAGAGACAGGGCTGTCAGGTTTCAAAAATATTCAGCATTCAGCATTACTTTCAATTTTTGCTTATTGTCCGGCTTTTGTGAAAATATATTAAAAAAGCTGTAATAGAGTACTCAAAACGATGTTTAGAAATCAATACGACAGTGACGTGACAGTCTGGAGCCCCCAGGGACGATTGCACCAAGTTGAGTATGCTATGGAAGCTGTTAACCTGGGGTCGGCCACAGTAGGCCTGAAATGCAAAGACTACGCGGCAGTCATTGCCTTGAAAAGGGCCTCGTCGGAGTTGAGCGCCTACCAGAAGAAAATCATACCTATTGACGATCATATAGGTATTGCTATTTCAGGACTTACAGCTGATGCCAGAATCCTGAGTCGCTACATGAGAAATGAGTGCTTGAACTACAAGTACTCGTTAGATACTCATATGCCTCTAAATAGACTTATCAGCATGTTGGGTAGGTAAATTAATGTTTGGTTTGGCTAAGCAAAAAGTTAGTTATTGCTCAAATCAATTTGAACATAGGAGCTTCTAAAAAATAAACTTTTTTAGGTAACAAGATGCAGTTGTGCACTCAACGTTATGACCGTAGGCCCTTTGGTGTGGGGCTTCTAGTAGCAGGCTATGATGAGAATGGAGCTCATATATACCAAACTTGCCCATCAGCAAATTTTTATGACTGCAAAGCCATGTCCATAGGTGCTAGAAGTCAAAGTGCTAGAACTTACTTAGAGAAGCATTTGGATGAGCTAGGTCCCTGTTCTTTAGAAGAGCTTATTAAGCATGGTAAGTTTGAAAACTTCATAATTTGCTAGAAAAGAGAATAGAAATTTGGATAGTTTATTAAATTGGGATTATTTTGCCCGGGTTATTTTGAGCTGTGTAGGGGCTCTGGGCACACAGGAAGCTCAAGAACTACAACTGAAGGGGCCCAAGCTATTGTGAGCCCCTATTTTCCTGTTGAGGAAAATCAAAGAGTGGGCTAGAGGAGGGGGGCCTTTGTGGGCTGTTCAGCTGGGCTCTCCAGACCTGTAGGGTATCAGTAGAATAGCTTTTGCCTCTGGGCTAAATTCAATTTTTTCCACAATGCTTCAGCTTTTATTAACTGTTTTAATAGGAACACTAAACTTAGGGCCCTTTTGGTAAACTTTAACTGGCTGATTTTTTTTCAGGTCTGCGAGCCCTGAGAGACACACTACCTCCAGAAGTAGACCTCAACACCAAGAACGTATCCATTGGCTATGTAGGAAAGGATATAAAATTCAAGATTTTGGAGGAGGGTGAGACCGCACCATATTTAGCATTGATTGAAGGAGAGGAACGTAGAGGTGGTGGAGCAGCTGCTGCTGAAATTGAGGCACAGCCTGCTGATCCTTTGAGAGGAGACCGACCAGAGGGGGACGACCCACAAGATCCTGTCCCAACAGTGGCTATGGATACTACAGAATAAGGAATGCAGGAATTGGAGGCAGGGGATTGCATCTTTGGAATCATCCTTGGAGCTTTGGGATATTGCTATTGGCTGTGGCTGTCTTGGGATGTCAAAATGTCGGTATTTTGAGACAGCCACAGCAAAAATTGATATCTTATGATTTATTCTAATATGTTTTTTATTCTTGCTTATTAAATGAGTTCTCATGGTATGTCATTTTTCAATTGCAATACCTATTCCACTCGAATTTTGACTTGAATAGTGTCACTATTCATTGTGTAAAGATTTAGGAATGTTGATCATGTGGGATATGAGCACACTATCCTTATTCGAAAATTTCTCAGTGATTTGTGAAATCACATCACATGAAAATAGGTGAAGATTATGAAAGTATTCAAAAATAATGCTGAAATGTTCAATATGTTATTTTTCGGGACACCCTGTAGGAGGGGTCCAGTTCTATGTAGATGTGTGTACTGTCAATGTCAGAAAGTTCGTGTTCTGTAGCTCTGTGTCAATTGTGAATTTCTCATTCTTTTGTTTTGTGCTTTACGCTCTCTTGAGGAACCAATTTGTAAATATCAATTCGAAATGGTAGGTTTTTCAAAATATCTTGGTCATCCATAAATACAATTATTAATAGATTCACTGAGAATCGATTTAGTAAAACTATTTTTCATTTTCTGTAGATATTATTTAAAATACTCCGAGTTTGTATTTTGGCTTTATAGGTTATATACTTTTAGTTTCATTTTTACCTGATATTACAAATATATCATTTCTATCTTTTAATTTTAGGCAAAACGTACAAAGAAGGTTGGAATCACTGGTAAATATGGTACCAGATACGGAGCCTCGCTGAGGAAGATGGTGAAGAAAATGGAAATTACCCAGCACAGTAAATATTCCTGCAGTTTTTGTGGAAAAGTAAGCATTTATCTGTTTTGGCTGGATTATCTGTATGTGCTCACAATGAGGATTTTGTCTGTCAAAATCAACAAAATAGACTTTGTTTTCTTACGACTGTAGATCTTCAAAGTCTAATCAACTCCAAACAATGTTAAGATATTGGTCTGCTGGCAAATATATTTTTACCATACATTAATATATTTAATAAAAAAAATAATGATAAATTACAACATTCCATGAACCACAATCATATGTGATGCAAATGAACATCTGCAAGCACTTATGTCCAGACTAAATAAAAGCATCAGCCAAATATCACTTTCTAGGTCCAAAATTGTATATCCTTGCAACTTTCTGCATATAAAATCCAAAAAACACTTCAAAGTGTAATTAAAGTAATTTACCTTAAATCAACCACTACTAATTCATAAATTTCTAGACATCATAAATTAATGTACATTTGATACAATTTGGTTCATTTGACTAGAATACTGCTGAATTTAGTTAATTCAAGTTCAAACCATACCCAAGCACAAGTTCACAGTCTTGGTTTATTGGACACTACCTTCATTATTTTTATGGAAATCAGTAAACACTATTATTATTATTTCTTTTTGTATCAAAAAGTTCAGGAGCTTTACATGATCAGAGATGCAAACCTTAGTGAAGGTGTAACCCACAGGATGCCTGATTGTTCATAATTTTGGGAAGAACACATCATATTGTGTTTGCATGATATCTGTTCTGTTAGAAAATTACATAAACATGAAATTATTAAATAATTTAAATTTCATTATCATGCTTTTAAGATAATTTTAAACATATAAGCATATATTCTCAAATGATGTGTATTTATCCTTTAGGATGCCATGAAAAGGAGTGTTGTTGGAATTTGGTCCTGCAAGAGATGCAAACGAGTTGTTGCAGGTGGTGCATGGGTATACTCAACTACAGCTGCAGCATCTGTTAGGTCAGCAGTAAGACGTCTTAGGGAAACTAAAGAACAGTAATTTATAAGATCATAATAAAAAAAAAAAATCAGATATTGTTTCATTTTTTAAGGCATTTAAATTTTCTCTTAAGGTCTTACAACATATTGAATAAAAAATTGATATTCATGTCAAGGTATGGGTATTGATATATAAGGGCAGTCTGATAAATACTTAGCCTACAAAAGAAAAACGAAAATTTTGGAAATGTGGCGATTTTATTTCTCAACATACTCTCCTTTTTGCTCGATACAATCATTCCCAGTGATGCTCCAACTTCTTTAACGTCTGAAAGGTAGCTCTTCTGTGGTGGTGACAACCTCCTTTGACTCAAATTTCTGTTCAGTGAGAGACGTTTTCAAGTTTGGAAACAAAAAGAAGTATGGAGCTCAATATGGTGGATGGTGTAACTGAATTTGGCTGTGGGGGAGGCGAGTTGTTGTAGTGGAAGAGCATTTGTTTCGCCAAATGGGGCTGTTTTTTCTGCAATGTGGCGTCGAATCGGCATAGTACAGCCATGGGACCGTTTTGCCCTTCTCCAGATAGTTAATGTAGATCACACCTTGTGAACCCCAGGAAATGGTGGCCATCACCTTCCCGGCCGATGGGATAGTCTTCGCCTTCTTGGACCACATTCGCCAAGGTGAAATCTACTGATTTGACAGTTCCTTGATCTCTGGTGTGTTCCAATAGAATCATGTTTTGTCAGTGGTCACGAAACAACACAGAAACTTAAACACTGCTCTAAAGTCGTCTCACAGTTACGCTTCTCATGATGTCTTTTGAGATGCCTAGTGTTTCGACTATCTTGCTCGAAGTTCGATCAGAGGTGTTGCAATACGAGATCGTTAATTTTTATCACGTTATCCTCAGTAGTAGCAGTTTTTTGGATTCATCAAAAGCCGACGTGCGACCACGTTGAAACACGATAAACCAGTTTTTGATGTCTCCGAAGGAGTCGCCGTACAAAGAATCCAAGGGCTCTTTGAATTCGCTGAGCGATTTCACTTCCAAAAACAAAAATCGAATAACAGACTGATATTGCTTTTCCATTTTTTGGAAATCCGTGGATACGCTCCCGCTTCTACACGCGGTCAAAACAAAACTACCAGCCCGATTCTGCTGACAGTCGTTTACGAGAACGTACTTCACGATAGTTAATTTCTTTTTCTATAATTCATCGGGCCGTGGGTCTAAAGCGGCCTATACACATTGTTGTATGATGCGATGCCTGAATCGACTCAACGTTTAATGAAACTTACATCAGTTGTATAAGCGCCTACTCAAATCGAAACCTATTGCGATGCTTGAATCAACTCGATGTTTCATGCAACACAAGAACAATAGAGTGAAGTTATTTTTAAAACTACTTAGTGCGTTATTATTTGTTTGACGACTAGATTGAAGTACGTTTTGCCAACAATAGTTGGGGCACTAACTACTCCATGAAAGAAAAAGGAACGTTATTCAAATGCAAATTTATTGGAAGAGCATGTACGAACTCTTCCCAAAATTGTCGATCACTTTCCATAATAGAATTTACACACATACCTGTACAGACAAAGAACAAACGGACCTTTAAAATGACGAGAAAATAAATATCGACTTGGCATGGACACAATTCTATACACGCTGAAACTTGCATCAGCATCACCGACTCTACATCGCTGCAAGCCGCAGCTGATGCCAAATACGAGATTCGGTACTACATACACCGCTCCTTGCGTCATGAATTATGAGTCGACGCCTGCTATATACTATTCGTCAGTGCGGTCCGGTGGACCTTTGCTCTTAGTTAAAAGTCTCGTCGGTCTGGCTACCCAGATACCAAACATGTTTAAAGGGAAAGAAGGACGAAATAGAGCAAAGAAAAGAAGTAAATCATTTGACATAGCTTAAGCATTATTGCTTTGACTACTCGAATCATTTTGTAACTACAAAAAATAATTTTGATCGGTTTCGTATACTGAAAAATTTTTGGCTGGTCTGAATTTACAATTTAATTTTGATCACAGTGAGAGGCGGCGCGGTTTGGAATGTTTGCAAACTTGCTCGACTGTGTAGTCTACTGAATCACGCAACAGAGGGTTGTTGTGCGATTCTGCTTGATTATAACGCCGCTGCGCCTGTTGTTTTACATAATCCCTTAGATATAGGATATCAAGATCTCTGTGAATGGTCTCATTTGATACGTACCAAGGGGCGTTAGTAATTGTGTGTAGGGTTCTGAATTGCAGGACTCTGCATGTGCTTCTTGGCAAGAAAACACCAAGCCTGCGTAGGTGATTGCGGGTCTTATGACCATTTTATACAACCGAATCTTGTTGATAAAACTTAATTTTGAATTTCTGCACAACAAAGGATAAAGCTGCCGAAAGGTAATTTGGAATTTTGTTTTCAAAATATCAGTATGTTTCTGGCAGGTCAACCCCTTGTCAATGATGACTCCAAGATACCTGACATATTGCTCCCATGGTTACGAGTTCCATTCACTGATATCTCTGAGGGGGCACCGCGACGTTTTTTAGTACAATAGATTGCCTGCGTCTTCGAAGTATTAATTTTGATCAACCACCGATCCGCCCACTGCAATACTTCCTCCACCGCACTCTGCAGCCTGTCGTGAACCAGGTTACCAGAACAAGATTGAGCTAGCAGTGCAGTGTCATCAGCATAGAGATAGATTTCACAGTTGCTGGGGCAAGGGACGTCATGTATAATAAAGTGAATAAAGGATTGGTCCTAAGACCGAACCCTAAGGAACACCGGCTCTTACGGGCCGTGCTGTTGACAACACATTGTTAATTTTGATCCGAAACTTCCTTCCTTCTAGAAAAGGTTTCAACAGTTTTAGTAGAAAAAATGGAAAACCCTTTTGGATGAGCTTATTTATACAAGAGGCCCATGTGCCACACCTTGTCAAATGCCTTGGATACATCTAAAAGCAAGATACCAGTACTTTTGTTCAGCGTGAACACCCTGGTTACATGCTCCACCAGTCTAACTGTCTGTAGTAGCTCCGTACTATGCTCAGACCGAAAGCCGAATTGCACGTCAGGAATCACATGGTGATCTGACGAGAAATTCTCAAGGTGACGATAAATCACCTTTTCAGCGAGCTTAGAAGGAGCTGACAGCAGACTAATGGGAAGTCGATGCCTGCATCGCCAGCCGTTCCTAGAATGATAGGACGCCTTTATAACCTCCTTGATTTTCATAGTATTTTCTCTCATGAAAGGCTTGTGGGGCATTTTTAGATTACTACTGTTCCGTGTTAACGTCAGCGCTCTCATAGTTATGTTTTCTCTTTGAATTGTAGGAAGTTTCAGGCTGATAAAACATCATAAAAGTCAAAAACATGAACAATTTGTTGCAAATAGATATTTGTAATATTACCTCAAAATAGAACGTCTTTCAAAAGGACAGGAATAACTATGCAAATCAAGGATGCCATAAAACCACCCATACACGTGCGAACAATTTGCGCAAACTCGGTATTTGTGCAAACAGTTCGACCGTCTATGGGGCTGTTTGAATGGTTGTGCAAACTGTTTGAGTAAATCAGCCAGGATCGACATAATTTGTGCAAACAGCCCTTGTTTGACCGTGTATGGTACAGTTTGTGCAAACTTTGGGCCAGTCAACGCCTGCTCCTCGGGCAGTTTCTATTCCGCGGTTGAAAACGGTAATTTCAGTTCTTCAAAGGAGGCACCGCTTACGAGGTATCTCAAAGTGGCCAACAATCTCAGTTCTGGAGATATTGCGTCTCTCATGACCGTGTTGTTTTCCACCATGAGGGGTGTCACCATTTCGAGTAGCTCGCTGAACGAAGCTGCGTCCATTCGAAGAATTTTCTCTCTTCACCCACACTTTTTGCTTTCTTTTTCTCTTAACCTTCCGTTTCTCAGTCACTAGGGCCAGAATAACGGCAGCATAGCAATCGTCCGTGTCCGACATGTTCAACGAACAACACCACAAAACGATATGATGTTTACGCAACAATTTGTTACGTGTATGCGCTAGCGTTTATACAAACATCGAGTTAGTAGTATTTTACATTGTTTGATGGTTTTTTCAAGATAATGTGCCTAATAGCTTCATTCTTGATATACACTTGAAAATAAGTTTTTAGATATATAAAATAGGTTATATCCCTGATTAAAAATAACTGGTTACTTTCAGTTGCGCTTCATAGTTAATTAAGCTGAAGCAAACTCGGTGCTTTTTTATACGTGAACCATCACGAATGCCTCCGCGATCGACAGTCGGAGACCGTATACCACCTACGAGACTGCTGCTTTAGCCACTAGGTGCACGTAAACGTAGCTAATGTTTTCAAAAAACTTTCACTAGATAACTGAGGAAAAACAGCGAGATTGTAATAATGCAAAGTATTATATCAAATAGATTTAATACAAATATATAAAACAATGATATCCTCATAAATAAATATAAATATTTGTCAATTTACAGGATACAGGTAATTTGCCATATTCCTTCCAGGGCATGATAGGGAATCTAAAATACAACAAATTTCAGCCTATACTGGGTGTTTCAAATTCAACTCTCACCATTGGGTTCTCAGGGAAAGTAAACGATACTAAGCAATTTAAATGGGGGCCGAATTGTGCATTTAGGTAACTAAAAAAAATGACAATTAGAAATTTTTGCAATTGCATTTTCCGACATAGACAAATGAAACATTTTATTCAAAATAGTTTTATTTTTCGTGACTATTTGAGATGGGGGGTTATAATAAATTGCACATTAAAATTTCCAATTTTACTTCGTACGCCACTGGGTGAGGACATTTTGTAACAGCCAAAAATTTTTGACAAGGAGATATTTTTTGAATAATTTTATTCAAAATCGTTTTTATTTTTCGTTTGAGATGGGGGGTTATTATAAATTGCTCATTAACATTTCCACTTTTACTTCGTACGCCACTGGGTGAGGACATATTGTAACAGCCAAAAATTTTCGAAAATGAGATATTTTCTGGATTTTATTTGACATGTACAGTAGCGGACAAAATTTTGGAAACAAATATTAACATTATTATGAACTATTTCATATACCTAAATTAAAATTGTGAAGGAACAGATAATATAAATATTAAAATCTACCTTTGGCTCCCGTACTAATACAAGGTTTATCTTATCAATTTTCACATTATCTGAAAACAAAAACACGCGTGTTTTAAATACCACAGTTTTGTAACGACAAAAGTATGGAAACATTTCAGTTTTGCCGTATTTATTCATTCTGCGATACACATATTGCGTGCGGTAAATATTAACATTTTGTATTTTATTAACAGTGAAAATGGCAAAAGTAAAAGAAAAATTTAAGAGAGCTGGGAGCATGTTAAAAGACAACTGACAAGAAAAACTTTTAAAAATAAGAACGATTTATTTGAATATGTAAAAAATATTTGGCAAAATATCCCAAGTCTGTGAAAAATGGGTGTCTTCTATGAGCAGCAGATGTCAGGCAGTCTTGAATGCTAAAGGCTATGCTACCAAATATTAGCTAAACAGTATTCTTAAATCATTTTGTAGAGTTATTGTCTTTAATTTTGTAATAAAAAATATGTTTCTATACTTTTGTCGTCTCATTTTGTAGTTCCACAGTAAACACAAATTGTCATTTGTATTCTCACGTCCGTAAGCAAACTATATGAGAAAAAAATAGTCCTTGATAATAATGAATAAAAAATTAGCGTACTTTTTAAAAATTACTTAGAATGTTTTCCAACTTTTGTCCGTTAATGTATATGTGACTCTATGTGTCCAAATGGATGGTATCGACTTTCCGAACACCCTGTGTAGTGTGTTCAAAACCTTACGCGTACGACAAATAATATCGAAAACCACGAGTCTAAAAGAAATCCTACTTAGGCGTAGGTGTAGCTGTTTTCCCCGGCTACCTAATGGTGATCTTGAATTTGGCATTGGTCTTGAAGACTAATGACAAAATCAAGACCACTGTCAGATAACCAGGGAACTTTTCCACTTTCCGATGTCAAAAGTATAGAGTACTATTTTAAAACATGGATTTGACCTGGTAATGACCTTAAAGGTCAAAGTCGAGTTCAATGTCACCATTAGATAGTCGGGAAAAAAACCTAAATCTATGAATAGGCAGAATTTAGGTATTAGTGTCAAAAGATACCTACAATTTATGTGAAATCGTTACTGTTAGTTTCAACACACTTCATTTCCTTTTGTGTCTGAAAACTGGAACAGAGCCTTAGTTTTGGATTCAGGGGAAACATTGAGATACAGTTCTTTGACACCCAAAGTTCTTGAACACCAAATTGATCATGGTAAATCTAAGGATAATGATTTCATAAAAACTGTAGATAACGTCTTTTAACACTGAGACCTCGATATTATTTATCGTATACATATTAGAACTTAATCCTGAATGCTAAGGTTAACAACACCTATGCCTGGGTAGAATTTCTTTTAGACTCATAGTTTTCGAGATTATTTGTCATATCCGGATTTTTTTTACACTCTGTATTTGTTCAAATTTATCGCATTTTAAGTCCCCTAACATGCCCTACAGGGCTATTACCTAAAAAACTATGTAATGTCAAAAAAAAAACGATAAAATGTCAACTTGTTGACTATGTAGGTTAGTGTGCAAATAGTTCATTCCGCTATAATGTCATAAAAAGCCTAGATAATATCGAAAAAACCGAGTTAAAGTCAACAAAAAAACCGACATAATGTCAATAAAAAAATCGACATGTGAAAAAAAAACGACATAAAGTCACTTTCCAAGTTATGTAATACCCTTGCTGGAAGGAATACGGCGAATTATCGGTAGCCCTCTGTACATAGTTTAAGAGTTCCTCTGTAGCTCAATTTGTGGATTACTTTTATTAAGTGCGGTGTAATTATTGAAAATCCGTGTGTATGAATGAAAACATTACAAATCTTGACAACATTTTAAACAGGAAGGTAAACTACAATTACGCGCCTAAATGCAGTTGAAACTTCCGATGAACTATTTTCTTCAAAAATGCATTATCTCGTATTATGTAGGAGTATATAACTTTTTCCATGGAAACCAGATAAATCTTTACATTCATATGCAAAGGGTACTAAAAAAGTTTTGCAATATGACTTAACAAACGGACGCAGGAGGCTGCATGTTGAGACATGTCCATGAGTAAATAGTAGCCGCCAGCAGCACGTCTCTTCATTTAGTTGCTCATTCGTATTGACGGTGTAAGTGCGGACTACGACATCGTGGTCGAGTAGTGAGATAAGGACAGTTTTACTGTATAACTTTACACGTGGTTTAAGCATAGACCAGTGCTTAGAAGAAATAAGAATTCCAAAGGGGCAATTCCACTCCGGAGGAAGGCCGCGAATGTCAGTAACGGAGGAAAACATTACTAGTATGAGGAAAATGCTTGACGAAGACCGGAGAGTGACATACTAACAAATAGAGGAGACCTTACACCTTCATGCACCATTCAATTCTGCATGACCATTTACACGTAAGGAAACTTTGTTCTCTCAATGTACCGCATAGTCTGACGGAAGAGCAGAAGATTCGTCGTACGACTTGGTGCCGAAAGATGCTGAAAATGTTTGGGGCAATATCGGTATGTGAAGAGCATCGTGACAGGTGACGAGACTTGGCTCAATTATTGCAATTATTAACCAGGGCTCAAAACAAAGTTTGGGTCTTTGATGACGAGGACAGACCCGTAGCTGTCAGAAAATGCCGATCTGTTCTTTCATGTGAAAATGAATGCTAAAAGGAAAACGATTTTCTAGAGATGAGGACTCCCGGGTCAAACTTGGCAGAACTGCTTTGAGGACTGGTTTTGGCGGATGGATAAGTGTATTGAATGTGGTGGAAATTAATTTGAACGAAGTCAATAAATAAAGCTGTATTGCAAAACTCTAATAGTACCCTTTGTAGAATGAGAACCAAATTTGTCTGACGTCTTGAGTTCAATATGTATGAGAGAAGAGTGTATGTAGACACGTATGTTAGAAAGAGATAGAAGCCGGCTGGATAGCTAGGCAATGTGGTGATGACTTTGTCTCGTCAGCCGGCTTCTATCTCTTTCTAACTTTTGTTGATACACACTTCTCGCGCCTCTCTCTGGTACACATTGAACTCAAGTCATCAAAAAAATTTGGTTTTCACTGTATAACATTTTCTATGGAAACCAGAGCAATCTCTACATTCATATACGCCTTTCCGTTGCAGTACTGGATAATCACAATTGCTAAGATTTTCAAATTCAACTACAAAACTACTATACTATACAAATACAATTATAAAGTTACCAAAGTATTTGAAAACTACGAATCCAAAAAACGTAAGGCTAGTTTTGCTGCAGCCTTTTTGGCCATCATTTTATTTGCTCCACAACCATGAACCAACTTGGGAACACCATTCATCAAAAATTGTAGAGGAACTATCACTTTGCTGTTTTGGGTGAGCATCACATTGCTAGAACAAAAAACATTAGATTTAGAATTGCTAAGCCTTATTGGCAAAAATCAAACAAAAACATTGGTCATTAAACAAAATGATAAGAGAGCTCTTAAAACCCTGCAACAAATGAAGGATGCGCTCTTAAAGAGACAAAGCAATATAAAATATAACTCTCCATATTTCCGGGCCGTTGGGGGCCTCGGTCAGAGCCGGATGTTCCGCTGTTTGATTTTCGTTCGCCGGCGCGCATGACGTCACGCTGAGAGTGATTCACATTTGGGTTGAAATAGATAACGTGCATATTTTGACATACAGGCCAAACGCCTGGACGGATTTTTATATATGCGGTGTCGTTGGATTCGCTTCAGCGGTACGAGAGACACTGGCCACTACGATTTTATACAAAAAAATGGTGGATTTTAATAAAAGATTTCAACCTTGTAATTCCTATTTCATAGGCTACAGCACAAACGGCTTGATAGATTTTCACATATGAGGTGTCGTTGGATTCGTCTTAGCGGTGCGAGTGACACTGGCTACATTAAAATTTTATACAAAACAAAATGGTGGATCTTAATAAAATATTTCAACCTTGTAATTCCTATTTCATAGGCTACAGCTCAAACGGCTTGATAGATTTTCACAAATGAAGTGTCGTTGGATTCGTATTAGCGGTGCGAGTGACAATATACGTAAAAAATTTATACAAAACAAAATGGCGGATTTAGATAATATATTCCAACCATGTAATTCACATTTCACAGGCTATAGCTTACACGCCTTCCTAGCTCCACTATTTCTAGCTCCACAATAGTGGAGCTAGAAAGCCGTTCGTCACTTTACTGTAAAAACAAGATAACTCCATTTTTCTACATTACCTATATTTTAGTATGTTCTGTGGAGCAGGATCTACATGCTCATGGCGTTAGTACTGCACTACATTTATCCTTATTTCACAGAACATCCTAAGTGCATGTAAGTGTGAAAATTTACGCAACTCTAAAAGTAGAAAAATTGAGTTATCTTTTTTTTGCAGTAAGCTGGCGGTATAACAATAAATGGAAATGACTTAGTCTAAGCAACAATTTTTCTCCATTTCCTTTTACGATTTGTCTAGTCTTTCAAAATTTTATTCAGTTATTTGATCCGGAATAACATCCTTGAACTCAAAAATAGTTTTTTAGCTTTTTCAGAGCAGTCAATGTTGCTGCTCTTCAACAGAAGTTCGCCTATAAAATTTTGCTTTTCTGTCACTACGCCGTCTCCATTGAATGTAGTAAACACTTTGTTCAGCTTCTCAAATTGATTCATGAAAGCTGTGGAAGTTTTAGATAATCCACCCTCACTAAGATGGTCTATCCAGATATAAGTTTCATTTGAGGAACTTTTGAACTTCTCATCCTGCAATTTATCGCAAACAAAGACGGCCCACTTTTCCAGCTCGTCATACTCGAGCTTGTCTATTTTTTCCACTAAAACTTCCTCGTTATAGTCAGCTGACACTTCAGGTTATAGGCGCTTTCACAAAAGTGCTTTGAGCAAACTAAAGCTTTTTACATTGACTTTGTCTTTTCTTTTTGTATGTAGCCATTTTTTGCAAAGGAGTCCGTGTAGATTGGTTGTCGAATTACATCCCACAACAGCATACCGCATTTTCATCAATTTATCAACCACATATATATATATATATATATATAAAGTATAGCAAATCATGAGACATCGAAAACTACGACATTCTTGGGAATAGAAATGGATGCAAAGCTCAGTTGGCAACAACACATGGACAGTGTGTGTAAAAAGTTGAACCAATCATATTATGCGATTCTTAAGCTCAAGTTTTGCTTATCAGAGCTAGCTTTACTAGATGTATATTATGCTCTCGTCCACTCACATTTATCAAGAAACATCATAATTTGGGGACAAGCAACTTCAATTTCTAGAGCACTTGTTCAACAGAAGAGAATAATCAGATTGATATTCAACATTCGTAGAAGAGAATCCTGCAGAGACATCTTCAGAAGTAAAAACACCATGACTCTACCAAGCATTCATATTTATAAGTGCGCCCTTTTCATACATACAAACAAAACAAAATTTTTGAAGAACAAAAACATTAACACACATTATAATGCAAGGGCAGGTGAGAGTCTGAGTATTCCAAAACACACACTGACACTGTTCGAAAAGTCACGGAATACACCTGCATCAGAATATATAACAAACTTTCAGCTAACCTCAGGAATGTCAGTAGTATTGCTAGTTTTAAATGTAAACTACGAAAATTATTAGTTAAAAAATGTTTCTACTCTTTGTCTGAATACCTCGCATTGTGATATATTTTTTAAACTTTTTTTTTATGTGAATGTCTGTACGCCTTAAGTTGTCCCTGTTTGTACTTTTCAAATACTTATGTTTGTTTCGTTTTAATTTTTAATTGTGTACTATGTACCTCCCTCTTAGGACGAGTCTTATGTCATTTTTTATGATCTACAAGACAATAAATGTATCTATCTATCTATCTATATTGCTGCTACACAATGACACCTTCAACTTACGAGTATGAATTAATAAAAAAAATGGAATAATATACTCGGTGAATTTAAAATGTCGAAACGTAACGGTATAGGCGTGACGTCACCATTAGCGGCCAGTTCGATTTAAATTGGCAGGCATTTGTTCTCACTGATATTAATCGTCAACCTGTCAGTACGATGTTCCAGATTTTCAATGTACTTTGTACTAGTATACATAACCATAAGCACTTTGTAAACAGACGGTAGTGCTATGTCACGTTTATCCATTACCTTTTGACTGAGCTGAACAGCTGATCAGCAAGTGACATCTTTGTTTTAGTCTGTTGGCAATAATGAATCTGGTGTAAATCTAGTAAAAAATGCTTGGGGCGTTTTTTATTGTATGCAAATGAGCTTTTCTAAATAAAAGATTTGTCGATATGGGGAATTTTGAAATAATACTATATGATCGGCAGGGTATTACGTAAAAAAACCTATATAATGTAAAAAACCGATAAAATGAGACTACGTAGTTTTTAGGGTGCAAACAGTCATTCCACGTTTGCTCACTAGGATGATTGTGAGCGTCCATCTACGGAGGAATGACTCAACTACATGCATTGTTGGTTGCATATGTTTTGTGAAGCCGAGTAGTTTGTAGTTTTCGTCTCTGAGAAGAAAGTCGGTTGAATAGCAAGATCGCATCTGGATGATTATGTGTATTGGTCTGCATGTAAATAAAATCAGTCATATTTGCTGTGTGAGAAAATCATTACTAAATATGCTGCCAATGAAGTATATCTATTAGCTGTGCCCTACGGGTTATTTATATGTTGTTTTTCCTGAAGAGAGGTTCAAGGTTATAAATTACGGTTTTTACGTTATTTTGTGTTTTCAAAAACTCTGAGGAGAATTACGGGAAATCACCACCGCGACCGCGTTGTGAGTAATTACTGTTAGCATGTATACTCGTATGACAGTGTACCAGTGAATATAATTATTTCCTATCTCTCTCAGCAAATAGGCGTACGTAATTTCCAGAATGGATATGAAATAGTGGATGCCCAACTAATTTCTAGCTTTCAAGTAAGTGTATTTGAGACAAGAATCCAATGGAATTATCATCAATAGACATTATTAGCGCACAAATCCTCGCTAGCACCTATGCATTGCTGTTTCCTTCTAGCTATAGTATGCAACTTAAAGCTTAGACCTCTAGTAATACCATCTCTGAGCCAAATATTGATAACTGAAGCATTATGACGTTTAGGCAACTACAAAACGAGTTCACAACGTGTCCATCACCTAGTGCTAACTTAACATCTTGTAGAGAAACCTACATAATGTCACAAAATACCAATACAATCTCAAAAAAAATCGACATAATGACTTTTCAAGATACGTAATACCCGTGCCGGGCTTGCTACAAGTGACCATGACGTGAGCGACAGCTAGTTTCAAGTTGACATCTGGTAGGAAAATCTACATAATGTCAAAAAAAAAAACGACATAATGTAACTTTTCAAGTTACGTAAAACCAGTGCCGCTATTATTCTACAGTAAGGTATACTCGTGAAAAAGAATGTGTGTCAAAAACTCGACAGTAATCTAACCAATAATACAATCAAATGAAAATTCATGTGTTATCACGTCAATACGAAGCGCGATGTTTAAATAAACGTCATTGGCATTGTAGTTTTAAATATTTAATTAAAAATAAATATACAGATTTTCATGAATATGTTTACGGTATTATATTCACATGAATAATCGACAGAAAATACGAAAAACATTGCATATTTCCTATTATCAGCAAGAAGACCACAAGATAAATATCCGAAGTTACACTGGTCGCTGAATATAACCAATTGAGAGTGACCTTTCTCAAAGTACCAAGATGTTCGTCAGAAAATCGTTTCCCTCGACATCTGAGGTTGCATTCAACAGCCATTATGACATGAGGATGAAACAACATTTCCAACCCATGAGCCTTTATCCCAAAATCTCATAAATTTTACTTATATCACAAGCAAATAGAGGAAAAAAAAACTAAAATTCTCTTACCCAAATTGAGGATGAGCTCCGTGCCACTCATAAAGGCGTTTAACAGAATTCTTTGGTACGTTTTGACTAAAAAGTTCCAATTCGTTCCACATAATTTTGTGGAACACCCTCCATACCGTTTTCAGGTCTTTTCCAGAGTCCAGATATACTGCTCCTGCAAGAGCTTCAAATACATCGCCAAGGGCCTAAAACAAAAAACACCCAAGCTGAGACATATTGCAATATTGCCTGCATTGTGTAGATACATTTATCAAAATGTATCATTAGGTCAATAATTTAAATGAGGGAATAGGATAACCGAGAGAAGGTGGCGTGATTTTCTCACCTTTCGGGAAACTGTATTTCTAAACGGTGATAGTACAGCGGCTCCCCGAGAAAAAGTACGGAAGTCAAACTTTCTCTCAGTGATTCTACTCCCTCGTTTTCAAAATAAGGGTCAAGAAAAGATTGTGTAACGAAACTGTATGCGTGGCACTTTACTTATGTTTCAATAAGTAGAATTGCGATCGTTCTGCAATCTGAGACAGCAGTAAAAATTGGTCCGAAATGCTAGGTAATGCACTTAAAATATTGTCCACTTAGAAGCGCCATAAGAAAAGCAAGGGCAATTTTTATCAAATACTGAGCAACCAATACATCTAAAACCTCATACCTTGGGCACATCTAATTGTTCGGCCAAAAGCAACTCATCCTCGTCCAATAATATGAGTACTTCATCGTCAATTTGGTATCTCTTATCTTCTAGAAACTCGACAAATCTGTCGATGTAAGCTTGCAGTTTTTGGTTGATGAACAATATGAATTTGTGAAGTCCAAGCCTGACCAGCAGGCTAGCAAATGTATTATTATTCACCAAAGCAGCACGAAGATCAGTTAGCAGCCCTGGGGTTAGCCCTTTACAAATCGAAGAAATTAAATTAGATGAATTACAAAGAGGCGACGTTAAATAATGGATAGTGATTCCGATAGTCCTTTTACTTCCCACACCACTGGCGAGAAAGTATTCCGGAAAAATTTCGATAACAAGATATTTCGTTTTTTGGATGGAAAACCAAGTCATTCATTTCCGTCTCTCTATTCACTAATCCTTGGCCCGTCTATAACTTGCAAAGTATCTCTCGAATTTTTGTGAAATTTCGCCACAAGGATAATAATGCCAACTAGGAAAACACTTTGAAAATAGCTCCATTGGCGGCGGAGCTATGGACAGAAAACGAAAAAATAAAAAGCGGGCAAACGTTTAACGTTTCAGAGGCTCCGGATCGTTTTCCGAATGAGTTTTGTAGTGGTTAAAAATTAGGAGTTTATAGGGTGGAGGATGGTATATCGCAGATCTTTTACTAACACGGAGTCATTAAAAGTACCGTATTTCACTTTAGTTAGAAGTTTACTTGAATATGGTTGAATCATCTGATCTTTATACGAGGGCCACGCTATATATTTTGAGATACACGAAAACTAAACTATTCTTCGAAAACTAGTTTATTTATTTTCAAAGTATTCTCCTCCAGCATCAATGCACTTCTGTCGCCCGAATTTCCACAAATGAAATGCTTTTAGCCAGACAGTTTTTGGAATGCCTCCAACAAACTGATTAATTGCTTGATTGATTCCCTCTTCGGACGAAAATTTTCGACCACGCAGCTTTTTTTTTTCAAATTCTTGAAGAACCAGAAGTCGCACATTGCCAAATCTGGCGAATAAGGCGGATGTTCTAGCATTTTGGTGTGGCGCTGGCGTAAAAAGTCTACAGTTAGTTGGGCAGTGTGGCTAGTGGCATTGTCGTGATGCAGGATTGCACCTCTTCAACAACTTTTTTTGAATGAAGATGATCATGCAAAATGGTGTGCACTGTTGCGGATGCTACCCCAAGAGTTGCCTCTATAGTCGCATATGTGCAGGGAGACTCTTCTTCAGTTAGCCGCTGAACTTTAGCAATGTTTTCTGGAGTCACACTAGAACATGACCTACCACTTCATCAGCCAATGAAATACGACCTTTTTTAAATTCTGCATACCCGCGAAACACACTTGCCCGGGACGGAGTATCATTACCAAATGCCTGTTGTAACACTCCGATTAATTGATGTTCAGTTAAACCGACTTTAATGTCAGAGTAAATCATAGCGCGATAACTTTCTCGAGACAACTCCATGTTTCGTCTTAAATTTGTTTGCACCACGTGCACTGTAAGACGCTTGCAAGTGAACTGAATGCGGCGACCCGGCGACTTACTAATAAAGGACTGCTCTTTCTAATAGTGCAGTGTTGCCGGTTTTAACTAGTACAGTTAATGCGCATCTCAAAATATACAAATGCCCCTGGTATGTTACATACAGTAATGGACAAAAGTATATAGATAAATATGAATATTTACCAAAATACCTTTAGAAAAAGAATTCATACTTCATTGCTCCATAAACAAATGCGTTATTAGTAGAAAAACTGAATTCCTTGTTTTTACATTATCTGCAATGAACACAATATAAATCTGAATATAAGCACTTTTGAGGGACAAAAATATGTAGAAATTCTTTTCAACATTAGTTTAGTACAGTTTCGTGTCAGAAGAGGATTAATTTGTGTTCAAGTATTGTGGAATAAGTTGAGTCATTTTAAGACCATGCCGCGTGGTCCAGAAATTTGAAGCTGAAACGTAAAGCAGTTTGGGCAATATTGAACAAATATAAACAAAAAGGTATCTTGGAAGCCTCTAAGAGAAGTGGCGGGCCAAGAAAACTAAGTGCTAGATCAGTTAGATTAATAAAAGTAATTTTGTCCAAAGATCCGTTTAAAACCCCAAGACAAACAAAAGCCGAAATCGAGACAAAATGAATTGTCAGTGTTTCTACGAAAACTATATGTAGAAGATTAAATGATTTGAAGTTATTTGCACGTCGCCTGAGTAAGAAGCCGCTAATCTCGAGGAAAAACCGTAAGGACCGATTACAATTTGCACGGTTGCATCTTGATTGGAGCATCTGTGACTGAAAGAGGGTATGTTTCAGTAACGAAGCCAAGTTCAATATGTTTGGATCAGATCGTGTTCATTACGTTAGAGGTCCTAGTGGACAAAGATTAAACCCCAAGTACACTTTGCTCACTGTCAAACATGGAGGCGGGTCTGTTATGGTTTTTGGGTGCTATTCGGGGTTTAGGATGGGACCTTTACATAGAATAGATGGCATTATGGATAAGTTTGTATACACAGTCATACTAAAGCATGTCATGTTACCCGATATGGGAGATAATATGCCCTTAAGATCAACCTTCCAGCAAGATAATGACCTGAAGCGCACTTCAAATCTCGCAAAGAAATTCTTTCTGGATGAAAAAATACCAGTTCTCAAATGGCCCTCACAGTCTCCCGATATATACCCCATTGAAAATCTATGGGAATGTTTAGATAAGCAAATACGAGATAAAAATTATTCAAACAAGGATGAACTTTTTGCAGCTTTAGAGCAAAAGTGGAGACAGACTGATGAATCTTATATCAAGAAACTTCTACAATCTATGCCGAGACGATGCCAGGCGGTGATTGATAATAATAGTTATGCTACAAAATATTAACACAAACATGGTTAGTTTTCTATAATTCAATGAACTTTGCATCTTTTTTCTATAATTGTTTTGCTTTGTCTATATATTTTTGTCCGTCATAGTTCCAGTTGTTTTCAATTAATTTTTTATTGAAGGGAGTCTGATGAATTTATTTATGTATAAGTGAGTATTATGCTATAACGAATTATGTATACAGGTTCGTGTATTAATAAAACAAGTTAGAAAAATAAATACAGCAAATATTAATTTGTATCTATATACTTTTGTCCATTACTGTATGTATACAGCTAAAGTCAAGAATTTTCCAAAATATCTCCATCCAACTATCCAAGAAGGATCTTTTCTATCGCTTTCGCATGATAGGTCTTGAAAATCAAAATATCTTAGTTAGATGCTACTTTGTGAAACAGTGTCGTGAAATTTTGCCCCAACATAAAAACTTTACTATGTGCGTAGGCGGAATTGTGTACTTCACTATATTTGATCTACAACTTTTGCAACTAGGTAGCGCTTCAATTGCAAGAATATTGCTTTATGCTAGCATTCTTTGACTTATATAAGAATATCGTGAATTATGCTGTTATTTAGAAGATTCAGTGACGTTCCTCTGTTGACTTTTGTATGAGTAACCAGTGAATATATTGTCATATTTAAAAACTGTCCAGTGACGTAAAACCTGTTTTAGTTTTTCAGTACCTTTTAATATGCATCTTTATGTATTTTAGGAGTAGAATTACGTTCAGAAATATATAATTTTCGGGTGCTACTTCTGCACTGATGGAATTTTTGATATGAATGAATGAATGAATGAATCTTGAAATTAGAGGAATTCCGGCCACCATAAGGAGCCAGTGCATAGGCCGCTTAAGCGGGCCCTTATGCACCTCTACAATCCTTAGATCACAAGCCTCGCCCTTTTAGCGAAGTTGAGAATCGCCTTGAGTCCAAGCTCCTTGACGTCCTGAGGGTGCAAAGTAATGGACCCCAGTATAGTCTGCCTATAGTAGCTCAGAGCTTCACAGCGACACAAAACGTGTGCCGAGGTCTCTTCCTCTACCCCGCAGCGTTCACACAAGGGATCCTCAGCCACCCCCATCACGTGCAGGTGACGCCTTAATGTGTTATGGCCAGACAACAGTCCCACCAGCAACCTTAGGTTGGCTCTATCCAGAGATAGGCAGAAGCGTCCATCCTTAGCACTGGGCCCTTCAATGAGTTCCCGTGCCTGGCGGAGATGTCTGGAGATACTTCTCCATTTCTAAGAGTGTTATCTTGCAACCCACGCCTCCATTTTCCTCCTAGCTTTATGCGCGGTCACTCCTAGAGCTGGCTCAGGACCAACGAGCTTGCTGGCTGATCCTGTCTTCGCCAGAGTGTCCGCCGTATCATTGCCCCTTATCCCACCGTGCCCCGGTACCCATATCCCCCTGCATTGCAATACAAGACTCGAAATAATCTTACAGGTACTTAGTGCCTTCATTGCAGCCTGGCTGTCGGATAAGATTGTTATTCTTCTCCTAGGCCCACCCTCCACCAGAATGTGAGATACACAAGCCAGAATCGCAAATATTTCCGCCTGGAAAATAGTGGTCTATCCACCGAGAGGCAGAGATAGCCTAGTTCTATACCCAGAGATCCCAGCACCTGAGCCCTCTTCGGTGACCGAGCCGTCCGTGTACCAGACCTGCCCGCTCACTCCGGAGAGTCCCCGGCTACCGGCGTCCTACTCCTCCCTCGTTGGATACTCCACAATAAACTTGCGGTCGAAGCGATATTTAGGGGTAATACGATCACCCCTGCTTAGAAGGATGGGGTCCTCCCTTTGCAATTCGACTATGATGGCAGTATGCCCTTTGACAGGATTCAAGAGAGCCCAGCTGCCCTGACTCCACGATCGATGAGCGACTACTCTCGCTTCCCCGCGGATCACCAGATCCAACGGTGGGAGATCCAACAGAGCTTCCATTGCACTCAATGGCGTTGTTCGCACTGCGCTTGTAATACTAATACAGGCCAAACGCTGAATTTTATTGAGTTTGGCCTTGGTTGTCTCAGTTCTAATGCAAGGCCACCAGACCAGGGAGCCGTACAAGAGAGATGGACGGACTATCGTCGTGTAGAGCCAGTATACCACTTTGGGTTTAAGCACCCACCTTATACCGACAACACGTCTACAAGCCCTCATCGAATTGCGAGCCTTGCTAACCTTGCTCTCTTCAGTTCAGTTTGCAATCCAGGATAATTCCCAGATATTTCACTGACTGGGACAAAATTAATCTAGTCCCAAAGAAGGTCGGCATGACCGTCGAGCCTTCTTCTCCTAGTGAATAGGATCAGCTCGGTATTTTCAGCATTAACAGAAAGATCGACTTCCCTACACCACGATTCCACAGAGCGCCCTGCATTATTTCCAAGACTGTTCTACAAAAACGCCCCCTATCTACTATGCTTACGTCATCAGCATAGGCATAGATTTTTGATATAAACATTGAGTATTTTAATATCATCAATCAAGGATACTACTTTCTTGTACGTGTGTATTTTTTTTCGTTGCTTGTGTAGTTTCTCTGTAATTGAATCTTGTATCTGTTAAGAAATATATGAATAAAATAAAATAAAAATACGTAAACTCACCCTCGCATTGCTCGTATATGTAGCAAGTTATCAGAAAATCTAGAATAGCGTCACCTAGAAATTCTAGACGCTCATATGATCGTGTCAACCGATTTGGCGTATATGAGGCATGTGTAAATGCTTGTAGAATATATCCTTTGTTTTTAAACGTGTAACCTGTTGAAGAACCAGTTGATAAAATTTATTCTCATGCAAGCTAGTAATGCAGTGTTGTTGAAGTACTTGCCTAATATTTCTTCTACCTTCTGCCAACAGGGCATATATAGAGAAAGATCATCAAGTGTGGCATTATTCACCAAAAATGGATTTTCTGGTTGACGCATCAATATCTCTGACAAATCATCGGGTATAATTTCCATCCACTCAACGAACTTCATTCCACCTGAAAATAAATTATAATTTATGGGGGAATGTAGGGACTGTTCTCATCGGAAGCTACTGGCGCAACCCGACGGCGACACGACTCGGTGCATGCATTCAAATACAAACATTCACACCAACGAGACGACAATGCGACCAGTTGCTCAAGTTGCACTGCCGATTTGGGGGCTTATTGATAAATAAAAATGGCGTCAAGTATATTGACTCTGCACTTGACACGCAACGCTGTCATGTTGTTGTTTAAGATTTATTTAGCATGACTGCTACAATTACATTCTTCTAAAAAATTAAACAATTACATAACATACAGACATTCAGAAAAAAAACAAAATTTGCATCTCTAAGGATTTTCATTGTCCATGATATATTCCTTTAATTTTCTTTTAAATGTCTTTAAATTACAAGTAGACTTTATATCATTATTTAGTTTATAAAATTCAAGTAATCCTTTCTGAAATATTGATTTGCTAGTTATATTACTATTGCAATTTTGTAAATGAAAATCTATATTTCCTCTTGTATAATAATTGTAATGATTATTCAATTCTATGTAGTATCCTAAATGTTCTGGTAAAAGATGACTTTTTCTTTCAAATATAAAAATAAGAACCAAATATGATATGAAATTTTTTATATTCAACCACTACAATTCTTGTAACATAGATTTTATTTTGGTGTACTTATTTTTATTCAATATTATTTTCATAGCTTTATTTTGCAAGACTTGTTATCAGTTCATGAAAGATTATGTTTGGCACAAGTTAGCCTCTTAGATAACTGCGTACTAGAACTTGCAAACCGATAATCGGTTATTTATCGATTTATGTGGAAAAACGGTAAATATCGAGAATTGGTATAAAAATATAAGTATTTATCACAACGACGACTGTCATGAAGGTATCCGAATTTCTAAATTTCCGAACGATGCAATACACCCCGCGCCGCACTCTCTCTCTTTCCGCTGTAATGTGTAACGTACATTGCAATGTACATGAAACATCACTGGTTTTTATTTAATTGGTTTAGAAGATTTTATCTCATTTAAAACTGATAGAGGAAGGAGTATTACAGTGATTGATTGTTTATGTACATACAAACATGTAGAAGAAAATAGCCAATAGTTCCAGTTAAAAATAAGTATAGAAACAGAAAATTTCTGACAAATTAACATTTGGTGAATTGACCCCGTAAGGTCTCATTTTGAAGGTATCTTCATTCACTGCAAATTTTAATGAACCATTAATTCGAGTGAACCGAGTAATTCATAACTAATAACTAATACGCGAAAAAGTTACTTTTCCAACTTTTACGTTCAATAAAAAAGTTAGCCAGCAAAATCACCCGAGCCTTGTCATATACCCTCAATGATATAATTCCGCTGTGAAACTGCTTATTAGAATTTTTTCTGAAACAGGGTCGAAACCCGCCAGTATATTATGGTGATTCATTGATCTGGCTAGATTTTATTTCTGAAACGCGTTACTTATATGATTTTTGAGTTAATCGGGCTTTTTAAAAACGAACAAGTTCATTCATATCTCGCCTTTATACGTGTAAGGCGAGATATATGACGCTCGACAACAACAACGCTTCTGGTCCGGCCTTGATTCCTGCCGATGTATTGAACAGGTGTGCAGCGAGTTTGTTCCAATTCTTTCGCGTCTCTTCCAGATATCTTACAAATCCGGCACCTTGCCAAAAAACTGCTCATGTCCGACCCATCCCAAAAAGTGATCTAAGACCGACGCTTACAATTACAGGCCTATAGCTCTGGTTTCTTTTATAAGTAAGGTAATGAAGAGGTCCATAAATCGTGAGCTTCTGGACTACCTCGAACGCCACGGCTTGATTAGCGACAAGCAGTATGGTTTTTAGCACCAGCGATTCATACCTCCTAGCTTACATCACGCAATTGTGGAGTAAACTCATCCAATCTTCAGGTGAGGCTGAGGTCATTGCTCTTGATATCACGAAAGCGTTCGATCAGCTGTGGCATGCTGCCCTCTTATGCGAACTTCGATGCTATGGCCTGCCAGAGTTGCTTTGCAGATGGGTGACTGACTTTCTCTCTGGCCGCAAGATATCCATCGTAATTGACGGGTTCTCCTCTTCATCACACAACGTCAACGCGGGTGTTCCCCAGGGATTGGTCTTGGCTCCGACACTGTCCCTCTTATATATCAACGACCTCCTTTCCTGTACGATCAACCAGATTCACAGCTTTGCTGGTGACAGCACTCCACATGCAGGAATTCAGAGCGACAAGCTAATCTCTGCTGGTGAGCTGGAAACAAGAAGACTACCAGCGACTTCCTCTCTGACGAGAGACCTGGAGGTTACCACTGCTTGGGGACGCAACGATCTTGTACAGGTTAATGCTACTAAAACACAGTACTGTACCCTGACGAACAAAAAGCGACCTTGCGCTCATCCGGTTTCGATGGACGGCTGAGTTCTGCTAAAGACCCGTCATCACTGGGTAAACGCTAAGCTATTTGTTTAGGGCTAAAAGATTCTTCCCTCTACAGTGCTCGGATAAGACCTAGCTACGAGTATTGCTCACACGTTTCGGATGCTGCCGCCCCGTCTACATTATTTATGCTCGATGCTGTCTGATCAATGCCTCTTCTCTAACAGACAGTCTCAGAACCCTTTCGCATCGTAGGCGATCTAGCTCTCTTCTATCCGTACACCAACGGGTTTTGCTCCTTAGAGCTCTCCTCCTGACTTCGGCCTCCCATCCTAACCGTGTCGAACTTTGTACATCCAGAGCTGACCGATACGACCGCTCCTTTGTCCCGAATGTGTCGGTATTGTGGAATAATCTACAATAGAAGGCTTTTCCCAATTCTACTAGCCTTAGGCAGTTCAAAAATCGGATTAACAAAATTTCCTTGTGATCCTCATATAGCCGAGGTGTCCTGGTATTTAGGCTGACGCGGCGCTTCAGTGTAAAAAGTAAGAACATAGAAACTGGCTTCATTGACAACCTCGAAAGTAGGAAGGAACGCAATCAAAGACGAATTCCGATTAAATTATAACTCCCGTCGGGTAGAATTCGGTGAGAACGCCGTCTTAAAAAACGAAACAATGATACACACCGTGTCTCCTTATTCCCCATATAATTAAAACTTTGTCGGGCAGACAATCATTTTGTTCCAGATAATGGCGAACACACTGTATATAGTAAACTAACCTGCAAATCCACACGACACAAAATAGCACCCCAAAAGCGACTCCACAGTATCAGACACGTGTTTGTCGCCAATGTACTGACATTTCAGAAAAGAAGCCATGCTATTATAAAGGTGGTCCTCCGTATCATCTGGAGGACATACTGTCGCAGACACCTCTTCCAGTTTGTCGTCGGAAAGTATTCCAGATTCTTGTTGTTTGTCCTCTGTATAGTCTAAGTTAAAGAGTGCATTTAGTGATAGGTCATTCCGTTCGATTCTCTTCAGTACACCTTGAGGAAGTGCAAAACAAGGTGGTAACCTATAATTGAAATGGATATTACCCAAAGTTTCGAAAACATCTTATTGAGTATTTCCATGACTATAACTCCACCAGCAAGAGATGTTTTTTCAGAAGCAATAAAGCTTTCTCGTCCTTAGATCACGTCTATAGTTTAAAATATGAGTCAAATTTTACTAGAATACTGCCGATATATAGTACATATACGAGGTGTGTAAATTAAGCGATAACACTGGCAACGTCGCGTTCGATCTGGCAACACTGGAAGCGCCGGGCTTAGCGGGGAGATAGGGGAACATGTGATCCGTCTTCAGTACAAGTTTGAACTCGCTCGAGTCATTTGGTTGTCCGTAACGTTTTTTTTTTGTGAAGCAGTTTTTTCTATTGTGATCTAAAAATGAATGACATCTAACGGAAACCCTTGCTAAACTTCAACGGGCCTAAATATCGATAGAATCCGGGATCTTGTGCGTTCAGAATATCGGTTGACACCACCGTTCATCAGATCAAGAACAACTGGGTATTGCATCACGATAATGCTTCTTGTCAAACAGCAATGTCAATAAACGAGTTTTTGGCCAGTAAATACATTTATGTGGTTGCTCAGCCTTCTTATTCGCCTTACTTGAGTCCTTGTGACTTCTCTCTTCCGGAAGTTTTAGGACAGTCGAAAACATTCAGACGACTGTAACCGGCCAGCTGAAGGTTGTATCAGAGTTCCAGCACTGCTAGTAGCGAGTAGCGGACGAACCGTCTCCAGGGCTTTGTGACTTCAGAAGTTAAATTTTTTTTAAAAAAATCAGTCCCATCATTTAGTTTACAGACCCCGTACCTGTACAGACGAAAACAACAAACAATTCGTCTTCGAAATTCTGTTTTTTTTAAATATGAAATTTTGTAACAATACAATATAATTTGTTCATGGAAGCAATTCATATACAGAACATGTACTAACCAATCATGTTTGACATTATCCAAGCTGTGATATCGTATGATCCCAACAAGGTTCTTCTTTCTGGCGAGATAGAATAGGTTCTTATTGCTGACTATACGACCTTTGAGGGCTGTTGCTTGTCCCTCATTCCAATGGGGAAAATTGATCGAAATATAAACTGAGGTGATAATTTTGAGGAAGCTGTCTCCTAACGTTTCGAGGCGTTCCAAATTGACTATATCATTTGCCTTAGCAGTCGTGAGAGCTCTGTACAATTCAGATAACTCTGGACCTGTGAAAATTGGAATATCAAATTATTCTTAAACTGTGTTCAAAGGAGCATGGGCATTCTGGTACTCAGACCAATAGCAATAAGTGATATACCATTGGATAGGCTTTTTTAAATTAAAAAATTCGTTGTCCTTTTAAGATGAATGCTGAAGAAAGTATCGATTTTTAGGTGTTTTAGTCCAATATTGGGCATTTTGTCAAAGTATATTGCAAGAGAGTATACAGAGAAAATCAAGATTTTCCCAGGCATTTTTTGGGTCAAATGGGTTTTTTGTCCCACCACGTTCCAACGTGCAGACTGTCTCCAAAGTCATTGAAATTATTCTAGTGACTAATTGATTTAAAAAAACCTTAAATGCATATAAGGTGGGTGCACCATGTAAGGCCAATTATTATTAAAAACTCATAGTTATTGTGATGCAATGACAAATTCCTTCACGTACATTCATCGAACTTAAAAACACAAAATTATAATCAACAGCAACACGTAAGTCTTCAAGTAAATACACTGTAGGATTTCTAATGCAATCTGGAAAATTTTGGATTTACATAAGACATTTTGGTCGGTTAAATTGTATTTCAGAAAAAAATATGAAGGTTATTGACAACTGATTTGATCTCGATACAAAGCTTATTAAAATGATTTTGAAACTTTTACCACAAATACATTCTTAGTTTTACTGTAGCGTTTAACATGTGCATGACCTTCCATAGTCCACCCATGTTAGGTTGAAAAACCCAACCCAAAAAATTTCCAGATATTTATTTTGACCATTTTACATTACTACAATAATTTTAACGAAGATTTGTCGATGGGTAATGCTCCACAGAAGCACTCAACTGATGTTAGATTTGAATCAATCTTTCTAGGCAACTCTCGCTATACATTGTTGTATTGCTCGGGTCTTTTGGAAGTTTTACAAGTATGCCATGTATTTGAGATTCTCATTTGATTAAAGTATCTTTCTGTGCATATTCATCTTTTTAGGTAGCTATGTTACTTGTTGAGAGAAAATAAAAAAGTTCAGTTTTTTAATGGAAAAAAACTAAATTAGAATATGCCGTTTCGATGATTTTTCTTTTTTGCAAACTAAGCGCAATGTACAAAAAGTACAAGAGACATAAAAAGTGGATTTTGTGCCCTTGACAAAATGACATCCAACTCAAGAAAGATCAGAGGTGCTCCTAGAAAAATCCAATGATAATATCTTGAAATTCACTTGCACATCCTGGAAAGGAAACATTCAAGTTCAAAAGAAAACTAAAAATAACTGTCTGATTAGGTATAAAATAATGATAGAAATATGACGAAATCACCTAAAAATAGATAATATACTTCAGTGGCAGCAATATAAACATACAATCGCAAATTTTTGAGGTAAAAATGCTCGAACCAGGAGTTTGAAAAATGGTATTTCTTGTTTAACATGAAAATAACTTCAAATGATGCATTGCTATTGGTTTGGATACTAACAAACATCTATGTTTGCCCATTCTGCTTTCATATTTTCAACATAGACCAAATAGATTACCTTCAAATGTTTTATCATCAAGTAATTTAATATCTTTGAAGCTATAATCTTTGTAGTAAGTCAAAGCCAACGCTCGTTGTTTCTTGACTGGACTGTCGATAGAAAACTGGATATCGTCGTTCTGTACCTACGCAAAATAACAGTAAAGGTCAGGTCTTCAGAAACTTTCAGCAAGGAATTCAACGGTAACAGTGACAGTGGCGGATTTAGGGAGGGGCGCCTTCCCCCCTAGACGTCTGACACTTGCTTTTGTAATCTAACACTATTGTGTTATCTTCTGACACATCATGGCGACAGAGGCATACTAACTCTAAGTTATAGGAACTGAGCATTTCGATTTTTTTGGTATCCTTTGGTATTCCAAACGCTGTCCCTCTTTGACATCGCTTACACCTACAGCACAATTCTTACGATTTATACGTATATACGAGTATTGTGACTGAGTAATATATTAGCTATACAGATTGCACTTAAAAAGTGATTTATGTTTGTTGCTCAATAGTACTTTGAAAAGTGTGTAAAGCTTGACTGGTTTGTTCTGGGTTGGTGTTGCAGCGAAGCACTACGTTAGATGAACGCCTAAATTGGAAATAGACATTTATGAGATTTGTTTAGCGGTGCGCCTGGGGCCTGCCCAGAAACTGCGTCGATCGATGCTCAAAGTCAATACCTCACGTCCCGCATCTCTTCCCGCGAATGTGTCTATTTAAGTTGCTATATTCGTTTAAATCACAGAGCTTCTGCACTACACGTGAATATGTACAGCCATGTCTTCCTATACTTGTTTCGTACAAACATGTATTATCAAAATAATTACGATCTAACAGATATAGTTTTTTCCAAAGATTTCCAACATTTTTACATGCTATCAACACCGATTCGTAAACTGAGAAATACCGTAAATCTAAGTTCGACAACGGAAGTCTGAAGAATAACTGTAACATCTATATTGAATATCAAAACAATAATTGACTATACCTATTGAGGTTTTTATCACCTGCTGATATAAAAAGTGCTTGATTGTCAGTATTTGCACCATCGACCATTGATTTGTTTAATGGAGTCTTAATTTTTAAGCTTAGTACACACTAGTAGATTCCGTTGCGCAATTTGTCTATAGACAGTCTCAACTCACGATCTATAGATGGTCTATAGTCATCCTTCTTTGTCTCGGCTAGCGTCCATACGATAATATGAATTTTTCGGTCAAATGCTCGTTTTCGCCAACAAAGACATTGTTTTGTGTGAAATGGACTGGGATAGGTATGTCTCTGGGCCCCTCAGAATGTTTTTTTTTTCGGTTAACAGAGCAATGAAGTTTTCTGTTTGAGCCTTTAATATTATTACACAAGTTAATTATAAATGCTACATACTTATTTTGTTCTCATATAATAAAATATTGCCTTTCTGAGGATTTCTGAGCATTCTCCACTATGTTTTTTTTTTCAAGCTGGCCTTGACCAGGTAGAGCACAATGGATTTCAGGATCAATAATAGGATAAAATCTAGAAGTTCCACTGAGGTTGAAAAATTACCAACCTCAAATATCGTTTGCGCCTTCCCCCCTAGACAAAATCCTAAATCCGCCCTTGAACGGTGACCTTGAATTTGACCTTCAACTTCAAGGTTATATCATGATCAAATTTATTTTTTTCAAATAGAAACTCGTATTTTTGATGCCGGCAATCTAAAGAACAGAAAATTTCACGGTCAAACACAAAGTCCAGGGTCAGGATTTCAAAGGTCAAATGAAGATCAAATGTGTGCTGCTAGGAAAACCTCTATAAATCTCACAGGGTGAGTGATGAAAATAACTATCAAGGAAATACTTCAAATACGAATTGAAGACCAAGGCCATGGTGGCTACTAAAAGATCAAATGTGTGCTGCTAGAAAAACCACTATAAATCTTACAGGACTAATGATCAAAATAACTACAAAGGTCAGTTCTTTAGTAAATTTTGACGAGTGATCTTGGATTTGACCTTGAACCCCACCTTAAAAGCCATTTTAAGGTCATTTTTTCACATAGAAACCAGCAGAAATAGTATCGGTTAAACATCATTTGTAACTCGCACCGCAGTTCCCTCGTTAAAACTTACCCAAAGTCGACTTAATTCTTTAATGGAAACCCTTATCAATGATGCCGGCAGTGGGAAGAGCGGTTAAATTTAATTTCGAATATCTGTTAATTTAAGATCGCTGGAGCTAAATAGGTTAAATAAAGGTCAAATATGTGATGCTAGGAAAACCTCTAGAATATCACAGAGATAGTGACGAAAGTAACTGGTAAAGTCAGATCTTTAGCAACCTCATTGTTAAAGTAATTTCAAGGTCAACTCTACTTTTCCAAATAGATCCTATTTTGATGCCGATAATCCAGAGAATCGGAATTTTTTTGTTCAAATGTGCATTAGCATTCAAGTTCAAGGTGACCACTCGAGGTCAAATAAAGGCCACAACTGTAGTGCTAGGAAAACAAATAGTGATGAAAATAACTGGCAAGGTCAGATCTTTGGGTAAGTTTTAACGAGGGAACTACGGTGCTCGTTACAAATGATTTTTAACCAATACTGTTTCCGGGACTGTTGTGTCACTGTATAATCGCCGAATGGTTGTACCTTCTTCATTAAAAGTAACTTTCCGTTATTATATTGAGTACATATTCAAGAAGTATAACGACATGACGAGCTATAAACACTACTTATTCCCCACCCTCATATATTGCGAAGTATGATCTTTTTCAGCTTTTCCTCATCATCGGTCTAAAAAGTACTTTCCATGTGGTCACTAATGGTGGCTACCTGCCTAAATAGTTCATATACGAGAATTAAAATGAAGATAAGAGCGTTCTTACTTGTGCTGAGATAAATCCCTCATAACATTCAATATCCATCAGTGTAACATCTAAATCCCTTTCCAAATCCTTCGTCGGTTCGTCAGCGTCCTTCCATGGATATTGACCCTCCAACTTCTTGGCTGCATAATCCTTGTTATAGGCCATCAAAACAGGTGGAGCATCCTTCTTCAGCAGTGAAACATCTTGAACAGAGACACTATCTTCTCTAGAATCATCAGTGGCATCAACGTCAGGTTCGTAATACAACAAGTGCATGTCTAGTTCAAGGTTGCCAGTTTTTGAGACCCCTGAATCTCCTAAACCAGATTCTCTAGCTATCTGTTGACGTAGATCCTCCAGTTGGAAACAAAAAAGTACTTTGGAGAGGATAGTTGGAAGCATGCACGCCTGGATCTGGAAATCAAGTATAGCAATAAATGCAGCACATTTCACATGCATCCTACGTTTATTTCTGGGCCTACAGTGCAATAAATACTCATGTGAATTTCGAGGTCTGTAAATTAAGTGATGACAGTGGATTTTTTTGAAATTATTCATTCAAATATAATTCCAATTTTATATTGTCACCCCCAAAAGAACTTGTACAAATGATATTGACAATTTGGAACGCCTCAAAACTTTAGGAGACAGCTTCCCCACTGGAATGAGGGACAAGCAACAAGAGGATATAGTCACCAATAAGAATCTATTCTATCTCGCCAGAAAGAAGAACCTGGTTGGGACCATATGATATCACAGCTTGGATGTTAAACATGATCGATATAGTATATGTTCTGTATATGTATTGCTTTCTTCAATAAACTATATAGTATTGTTTTTTAAACAAGATTTCATGTTTTCTAAATAAACAGAAGTCGAAATATTACGTTGTTTTCGTCTGTACACGTACGAGGTCTATAAATTAAGCGATTAGACTGAGTGTTTTCAATTTTTTTTTGTTCAAATATTATTACAATTTCATATTGTCAACCTCAAAATAACTTCCTTCTGACGACTCACGGCGCTGGAGACGGTTCTTCCATTCCTCATAGCAGTTCTTGAACTCCGATACCGGAATAGCCTTCAGCTGGTTGGTTACAGTCGTATGAATGTTTGTGACTGTCCCAAAAAAGAGTTCCCTTTAGTTGATTTTGATGGGAAAAGAAAAAAGTCATAAGGACTCAAGTCAGGCGAATAAGGAGGCTGAGGAGCCACACGAATATTTTTACTGGCCAAAAACTCGTTTATTGGCATTGCTGTATGACAAGGAGCATTATCGTGATGCAACACCAAGCAGTTCTTGATCTGATGAATGCTGGTGCGAGTCAAATTTAACTCTTCCCCGATTCTGTCGAAATTTTCATTGGTTCTTGAAGATTAAGGTCTTCCGCTTCGTGGTTCACCTTCAATCGACTCTTTCCCTTCTGAAAATGCCTTAAACCACCGACAAAACACTATCTCCGTAGGCCAGTTTAGCAAGAGTTTTTGTTGCACTGTGCCCAAGTCTGAAGCAAAACCTGATAGCACACCGTTGCTTGATGTCACTCATTTTTAGAACACAATAGAAAAGCTGTTTCACAAATAAAATAGCTACAACATCCAAACGACTCTAACGAGTTCAAACTTGTTTATCTGTCTCCCCTCCAAGCCCGGCGCTTCTAGAGTTGCCAGATCGAATGCTACGTTGTCAGTCTCATCTCTTAATTTACAAACCTCTTAACTAAGAAAAGCCAAATAATCACAGTTATGTGGTTTATCTCATAAAGAATGACATGCTGGAACACTGACAAACATTTTACAAGATTGAAATATCTGTATCTGGTACACTGTGCATGTGACAACTTTTGGGCCCATTGACGGTTTCACTCGACATATTAAGATCACATGAAGAAAAATAAATTTTCCGACGAATTTTTTATTTTGTCTACACGGGGCCGATATGTAACTGACTGGTTTGTATCTTGAATATTTGTGAAATGAAATAAAATACGTCCATTTTTTTCATCTTGATCTTTTACTGAAACTTAAAAATTATGTATGAAAAGTATCAGACAAATGTCCGCCTCTAGAAGCCGCGCAAACCTGAGCCCTCTTGATTACATTTTCCATCACTTTTTGGTAGGTTTCGGGAGGAATATTTTCAATCGCTTCCGTAATATTGTTCTTCAGCTGCTCTAAAGAATTTGGTTTGTCGGCATAAACACCATTTTTCATAAATCCTAAAAAAAAGTCAGGAGTCGTTAAATCCTGTGATCTTGGTGGTCAGTTGACATCACCAAATCGAGAAATTAAACGTCCCGGAAATATTGTTCGCAGAAGATTCATTGTTCCCTAGCTGTGTGCCAAGTTGCTCCGTCCTGCTGGAACAACATGTTTTGCAGGTTAAATTGTTGGATTTGACGAGCTAGAAAGTTTTGCACCATATCACGGTTGCGCTCGACTGTGATAGTAAGAGAATTACCTGCAGCATATTCAAAGAAGTAAGGTCCAATGACACCTCCATACCAAACACCGCACCAAACTGTGCCTCGACGAGGATGTAGTGGTCGGGATGATACGAGGGTTCTCTAATGCCCAGAAACGACAATTCTGCTTATTAACAAATACCTTCATATCGAAGTGGGCTCCATCGCTCATTATTTATCAGTTGTCGTTATTTTATGTATTAAGCTGCAAATTTGCATGACTGTATTGACTTTCATGGTCACTAGGCACTAGCTTCTTGGGTTAACTGAATTTTGTATGGGCGCAAATGCAAGTCTTTTTGTAAAATAGTGCATAATGACGTGTGACGAACATCCATTTCTTGAGAACGATGTCTGGTAGACGTCTCAGGGCGCTACAATACACTTTCACGAACTCACTCGATATTTTCCGGAGTAAGAACACTTCGAACCCTGCCCGACCTTGGCAACTCTTTAACTTCACCTGTTTGTTCAAATTTCCGCACCAACTGACGAACGGTATTGACACTGGGCACATTATTTCGACCGAAATCTTGTCGTATCTTCCGAATCGTTGCAACAACCGACTCACTATTTAAGTAAAACGTTTCAACAATACGGACGCGTTGTGGGATCGTGTAATGCTTCATGATGAATTGGACAACTGCTACGACGCCACCTACTGAAATGCGTGTATCAAAAATAGCGCGCAATTTAAATCAGTCAGTTATATATTGGCCACCCTGTATTTTTGTAATGCCCAGTTTTTCAATCGCTGGTAAAGTGTGATTCAACCAACAACCGAAAGCTAACTTTCAAAACTCGATTTTCAATGTCTAGTTTGTCCTTTGAGTAGAAAGTTGTACAGTCTTTTTCACGAATACTCATCACGTAATAGTAATTAACAGCTGATTACCTAAGTGACATTTCAATCAGCTGTTCACCTCAGTAGACGTCAAAGCGTAATGGATACTCGTGAAAAACACTACAGTTAAAGCGAACTGCTCAACATGTTTGTCTTGATAGAGATACAAGTTGCCACGGATGACTCGGAACACAAGCACAGAGCGTCACGAAACACACAGAACTAGATAATTCAGAAGCAACGCATCACCAATTATAAGTTAGTTAACTAGAAGTTGAGAAACGAATTTACTGGCAAGTGATAGTTTCCAAATTATGGTTAACCAACATGAGAGTTAACCTGCGATTGAAAAACCAGGCCTAAGATGTATTTGATATCAAAACAAGTGGTTTAAAGACATACCCAAAGTGACGATGGAAAGTCTTGTTTGACCACCAATTCTGGAATGAGATACTCGGTCAGCTCCTCATACAACTTTTCGTGCTTGCGTTTGGATTCCTTCCCCTTAGGCTTAACAAAGTTCAGTCTTTGTGTCAGTCCCTTCACTAACAGTAGTGGCTGAGTTGGGTTTTCGATCCTCTTATCGTGTTTTCTTATATAGTATTCCCTAAAATCTACATAATCATCGTTGGGAAAGTTCGAGCATGCGTTCCGGTCAAGGCACACTTCAGTTACGACGTATGTGGACGTATTGGATCTGTACCACGGCGAAACAATCTTCCCGTGGTGCGATTCTTTGGTAACTTGCAGATTTACTTTTTCTGCTTGCGTTAATTCGGTGACTTCTCTTACGTCTGAATAATCGCGAACCACATCGAAATCTATATGGTCTGTGAGTTTGTTAACTGGAACGAGTAGGACAGTTTCTGCATCGTCACTGCAGTCAAAAATTAAGAATTTTTGAAGGACCTGTAAAAAATTATATAATTTAGTTTGACGACACTTCATGAATTTTTTACCAGGGCTCAAAAATATTAGTATCCAAATTTATTATTGGAAGGTTCTATAAGCATTGTTGCTACGAAATTGTTGCATTCCAGAGAATCTGAATTGAATATCAGAATTACACAAAGTTAATCAAAACTAGCGTTGTGAAGTCAGGTATTTTTAGACGACACATAAGGGTAATTATTATCCTTTGTTATCAAAATACAGCTTGTACTTTCTATTCTTATTATTGTAGTAATGTAATTAGAAAAAGTGAACACCTCGTATTCGTGAGACAAGTTTCTCGACCAGATTTTATATTCTCAATGACGTTGGTTGGATGTTTTCTTCAAACCGGATTTTTTTTTTTTAGGTTTTTGGATTATTTTGAACATAAAAGGTCTTCAGTAACTTTTCAAGTTGAACGTTTTCGAGAGATTGAGTGGACTGTAAATTTAGTACGGATATTAACCTTAAGAATGCCCATCTCCAATGTTTGAAAACTCGGTTGAAAAATTTCTGAGCTGGTCAAGTGTGTAAATTATAGTACAAACATTCCCTACTGAAGGGGCTTGATAAGGCTCTATCGGTCACCGCATGTCTCTCTAGCATATGGAATGTTACTTACAATGCTTTAAAATGAACTAACCTCGAAAAAGGTGCATAGAATCCTAACCACCCTACCTAATTTTTTACTCCTAAAATTTTTTTCAAAAACGATCAGGACCCTCTGAGACGTCAGAAAACAAAGTTTGATATATTATAATTTTTCCACAGCCAACAATGTTCATGAAAAAAAATCTTTTTAGAATCAGCGGACAGACAGACCGACAAACAGGCAGACCAACGAAAATGAGTGTCAAGGTTTTTCGTGGTGTACATGTCATATTATAACACTCTTTCGAGTCTTGATCGTCCAAAGCTCCTAAAGAAATCCATTTCAGTTGCCATGATCTTATTTTTGTTGGCCTTGGTAACATCCTATATTTCTGAATCGTAGAGGCACTTAATTATATGCGAATATTTAAGGGTATGAATCTACATGAAAAATTAATGTTAGTTTGCTTTGTAAACTATGGTCCAAAAATGTTTCCTTACAAAAACTCGGGGTGTTGAAGTTTTAGGGAAAAAATGGAAGTTAATTAATATTTTCAGAACCGCTTCAGATATTTCACTGATATTTAGTACGTAATGAAAGTTAATAAAGTTGCATATTTTTCAATGCAGTAATAATTTTCAGCTTTAACAGTGGCATGCATACGGCTATTGTCTTCGATATTTTTTAAGAAAAAAATGGTACGCGAGTGGTTTTTTGCCAAATAAAAATTAATTTTGAATTCTCCGTTCAATTTAAAACAAATGATCTTGAATTGTTTTACTTCGATGCGCTTTTGAGTAAAAAAATAAAAACCGTTCTATTGTCCGAGAAAATTAATGTAATAATATACCGCAATTTTCTTCAACAACAGTGTAGATGGTGTACCATCATGCATGTATCACATATTGTTTCTTATTACTAACGGAAGATCATCAAGCAGCAAAGGCAACTGTTGTTGAAGAAAATTGAGGTATATTATTACATTAATTTTCTCGGACAATAGAACGGTTTTAATTTTTTTACAACAATTCAAGGGAGATCATTTGTTCTAAATTGAACGGAGAATCAAAAATAATTTTTATTTGGCAAAAAACCAATGGCGTACCATTTTTTTGTAATATCGAAGTCAATACCCGTACGTACGCCACTGTTAAAGCTAAAAATTATTTTTGCATTGAAAAATATGCAACTTTATCAACTTTCACTACGAACTGAATATCAGTGAAATATCTGAAGCGGTTCTAAAAATATTAATTAATTTCCATTTTTTTCCCTAAAACTTTAACGCCCCGAGTTCTTGTAAGGAAACATTTTTGGACCATAGTTTATAAAGCAAACTAACATTAGTTTTTCATGTAGATTCACACCCTTAAATATTCGCATATCATTAAGGAACACCCTGTATAGATGATTTTTTTTATTCCAAAGAGAGTTCAGCGTTCTGGTTAATGCTGATCCTTTTTGTATTTCGTCTTCACTATTGTCTATTGCCATATATATTATAACATCCATTTTCGAAATTTTTCGCTATAACTACCTCGCCCAGTAGTGTAGGAAGTAAAATTGCGATTTTTAGGGTGTCACCGCTCGGATTTCGATTAAATTTTCACACAAGGTTACTACTATGCCAAGAAAGAAAAAGTTTTGTAGTTTTTGTTATACATGTTCGTACCTAAGTTTTTTCTTAGAAGTGCCAACTTTTGCCGAACATAATCCTTTAAAAAAAACTTTTCTAGTTACCGTTCGGCTGCCTCTTGTTTTATGCTAAGGAGCATCCAACAGACGTGATTATGAAAAAAGAATCTCCGGATCAAAAGTTCACTCCACGAATGCGAGATTGTATTCTTCAAGTCACAAAGTCCACCTACCTTCAAAACGTCTCTGAACACGCTGCAGTGGAAATGTCTTAACGCCGCTAACTGATCTTCATCTAATACTAAAGTCCTCTTGTTTACTTCAACATGGACGTTAATTTGACCCATAGTAACGAAAATGGGAAAACTGCATATGGGGTTACATCTTTCAGGCGTCAAAAATCCGTAACATCTAGAGGACACATAGTTGTCGTACATCGTAGCTTCGTTGATGTCGCTATCACTGATCTTGGGAAACCGCGGATTCAGGGAAATTATGTGCAAATACACCGGCATTCCTGGGCGAAGTTGGCCACGTACACAAGAAGGTACCTGCCGGAGTAAGATTAACTGTAAAACTGGCGAAATTCCCAACCCAATTGAAATCCGTGATTGCGCGAAAATAAACATACGCGTCTCGCTAACTGGTCTAATCATATTACCAAATTTTTCCGAAATAATTGTTAAGTCTGGTTTATTGATGCAAGTTGTTTAAGGGGGTATTTAAAACATGGACGCATAAAATGGGTACACAAATTTTCGTGGGAAAACTTTTTATTCGACAACAAAAAATAAGAAAACGTGTTTTTTGGAATTCAATCGAAAGTGTTGTCAGGAACCAAACAACTCTTCAAATAAGATCTTGACTGCCTAATAAGTTTTACTATACTCTTAGTTACTCAGCTTTCTTTCATGGTCCTACCCGAGACGAAGCCTACACCATTCTGAGGAAATGCCAAATAGGACAGGACAGCTGTCCATGGTTGGTCGTCTGTGGTCCGATAAACGAAAGCTGTATTAAAAATATGTTTATCAATTGTACTGCAACAGTCTGCTGGAGATTGAAGTATTTGGGTAACAATGACTTTCATAGGGTTTAAAAAATACATAAACCCCTCATTGTATATTATTTCTAGAGACATACCTGAATCTTGTGGAGTCTTTTCATTTTGGATGTGCCTGCGTGCTTTTCTTTTTTTTCTGGATAATGCGAGAATAAAAATTTTATATCATCAACTGATTCATCAATTTTTATTGGGCGTAGATGCTCGTCAAATACTCCAGCCTTGAACAGCATTATACATGCTTCATAAGCTGCTGCCTCTTTCGCTGCCTTCAAAGTTGGTGTCCACTGACCCTACAAAAATGTATTTGGTCATGCTTACACAACCTTCAAACACTTGAAATACATAAATTTCAATCTTGGACTTTGTAATGGCTTTAAACATATCAATGTTGTAGTATCAGTGTGTGAAGAATAGCTAGAATTTCACTACTTTTCCGTCCATGTCAAATCAGTCGAATGAACTGTTTTTTAAAGGATCACAACTCAAATAACAGAAATCGAATTGAACAGTATGCCACTCACTTATATATTTCGATGGGATTGGGGACTGACAGTCCGTAGTTTTTCTCGTTCGAGTCGAGTAGCAAATATCGTTATCGATCTACGAAACTTTCAGAGTGTCAGTACCTGTCCCCATCCAAATTTATATGTTAGTGACAGCATTACGGTGCGATTCAAGGTTATGAAAGTAAATCATCTTTTAACATCAGTCACTAAACGGTCGCTTAGACGCTTTTCTTTTGCCGATTTGTCCAACGAATTCGAACTGGGAGAAGGAGCAAGCTTACGATTTGTTTATAACCAAAATTACCTAGTCATGATCAATTTCATATTACAAATTGATCAGGCTTAAGCAGCCAGTTTGACAGTTGTTGACATTTAACATTAAATTCGTACTTTTTTACGAAAACATAAAAGTGCATGGGTTCCTAGCGTTCCAGGCAGTTGGTGAAGGATGGGACAGCGAAGTCAGGCGGGTCTGTATGGCAGGCACATAGAGCGGCGCCATCATGGAAGAGAGCTCTGAGGAGCAAAGCCTGTTGGTGGGGCGGTAGAAGAGAGCTAAATCGCCGACGGCCCGCCGGTGCGAAAGGGTCCCGATACTGTCTATCACAAAAGAGTCATCGATCAGTCGGACATCTCTACTCTGAACAGCATCGAGCATGGATAATGTAGTTGAGGTGGCAGCACCCCAAATAAACTGGTGGACAGTTGCTTTGCAACATGGAAAATTTTACCCAAATTCAAATCTCGATATTTTCGGAACGAAAAGCGATATCGAGGGGCTATGTCAGATTCTCAATTTTTAATCTTGGAAATTTTTCTATGCATCTTTTGATCTTTGTACTATCCCCAAAAAGTAATTTCCCAAATTTTTCGAAAGTTGGCTATAACTCAAATTACCGAATTTTAAAAAAGTGTTACATTTATCTCCGAAAAAAGGACTTTTTGGGAATTTCATTTGAGAATGGGTATTTTTCCTCATACTGTTGCATAAAGTGGATTTTTTACGAGCCAGAAAAGATTGAAGCACTCATTGAACGTTTTGCCTCCAGTGGCGTGAAGTAAACATTTGCAATTTTGACATTATGTAGTTTAAACCGAATTTGTGAATTTTGCTTTTTTCAAAACGCTATGGTGTTTGCCAACACTGCTTTTAATCTTTTATCTGGTTTTCATTCAAGATTCTGGATGAAAGGGTCTCCTTCTCCTCATTTCCTGCAATAAATGTCTTTCGGCCCAACCTCGTATATTTTTAAATGATCACCTCCTCCATGCAAGTAGGACGTTTATTCGGTATCCTGATAACTACGCCTTAAACGGTTTATTGAGGACCGATCAACATTATATAGCTACATCATTCACTAAACGACCTTCTACAAATAATCTAATACAATTCTCTCGTTCTTTTTGAAAACGACGAGGCATTTTTGAGAAAATAAAATTACACTGTCAAGAAACGTCCTATTTGCATGGAGAGGGTAATAAAAAAAAATACGAGGACGAGCCGAAAGACATTTATTGCGGGAAGATAAAAAATCGATAATTTGAGTAATAACCAACTTTCGAAAAAATTGAGATATCACTTTTTGTATGATAGCCAGTCTAAAGATCAAAAACATGCGTAGACAAATTTCCAAGACCAAAAATTGAGAATCTGACATAGCCTCAAACTTTGCTAAAAAACATGACTTCCTTTGCTCACCCTGTATAAGTCGATAAATAAAAGAAATATAAGGGCCTTGTTCTCACAAAGTAGATCAAGAACCTCCCGAATACCGCAACTCGATATCTCTTTCCGTTCCGAAAATATCGCGATTTGAATTTGGGTAAAATTTTCCATGTTACAACGCAACTGTCCACCAGTTTATGTGAGCAATACTCGAGGCTAGGCCTACAAAGGGAGGAGGACGTGTACTTCTTAGCCCTAAACGAATAACCTAGATTTTTCCCAGCAGCTGCCGCTATTGATGATATAGGTATATTCATGCCAGATCAAGTCCTCGGTGATCTGGACTCCGACCAGCCGAAATAAACGTCAATTAAGATGAATATCTTACGGCCAGAGAAAAAGTTAGCCTCCCATCTGCAACGCCTCTCTGGGAAGCCATAGGATGGAAGTTTGCATAAGAGAACAGCATGCCACAGCTGATAGAACGCTTTCGTTATATCAAGAGCAACGCCATGAGCATCACCATAAGACTGGATGAGTTTACTCCACAATTCCGAGAGCTACTCCCATGTGACGTTCGAGGTACTCCAGAAGCGCGCTATTTATGCACCTCTCCATCACCTTGTTATAACAGAAAACAGATCTATAGACATTTAGTTGTCAGGGTCGGTCTTAGATCATTTTTTTTATTTATATTATATATTTAGATATCTGGGAGGGACGCGAAAAAACTGAAGCAAGCCCCGCTGCACACGTCTTCAGAACAACGGCAACGGCAGAAATCAAATCCGGACCAGAAGCTTTGTTGATGTCGAGCGACAAGAGTACCCATCTCACGGTCTTATACCTGAACGTTACTTCCCGAAGAGTGTAGGGAAGTAAGTACTGAAACTACATAATTTTAGAGACAAACAATGGAATGTAAACATATGTGCTTTGCTTCTTGTAATCTATTCGAATTTGTTGGCTTTGTCGGATAATTTCACATTATTCCAAGTGGCCTCACATATATACATTTCTCAAAAAGAGGCGTGATCCCCTACACATTCCATCAACGAACTTCTCGGCTTGTGTTTCACGCAGATTTTTAGAACTTGACGGGAGGGGATTATTTTTATCCTGATGTATGCATGGGAAATAAAAATGTAACTTACAATAACTACATCCAGCACTGGACAGACTGTTGGCAAATGAATGACAACTCGGAACGAACCATCGCTTCTTTCTTCGCTGAACCATTCTGGGGCGTAAGTAGTGTATTCGTCCGAAGGTAGAGAGGCATAGTAGTGACACAGCAAAGCTATTGCGTTCTGCATGTTAATTTGAGCAGATCCAGGGCCATTCACGTAGTATGGTGGCAATTCATCCTCATCATACATGCGTTTTATGTCTTTCTCATCGGGAAGTCGACGATGTTTGTTCTTGCCTATTAGCAGCTGAAATGTTTTTTTTTATTTTACTCAAGGATTCGCCAAAAGCAACTGGCAACCGCGACCAGGCGGCAACCCGGCTGGAAACGGTTTACAGTTACCCACTAATAGACAAAAGATACCATCTGTGGATGCCATTGGCCATATTAGTGAGGCTGTCCTAGAGATGCTTTGAATTACTTCATTTCATTTATTCATTCATGCTAATACAACAAATTGTTTACAATCGTCATAATACAGAAGAAAAAAATCATCATCTATAGCAGTGCAAAGTCAACCTACTTGACGCCATTTTTTTCTTGGAATAGTTGGTAGCAGAGACTTTGCAGAAAAAATAATTTTCAAACATACGTACGACTGCATAGATACGAACTTAAAGTTGCCCTCACTCAACAGTTTATGTTTAAAAAACTCTCGTTGACTTACATCTTTCAACTTCTGTTCTACTGCCTTGAAGTCAAGGTAACTACTCTCAAAATCTTTTGATTCTACAGCGTCCACCATAATGTAGAATAGGCTGTCCTTGTGGCGAGCTCTACCTTTTGACTGAACATAGGAGCGATAGTCCATAGGTCTGTCAAATCTGTGTACATAAAATAAATTGTCATTCTGTCATTCATCATTTCAAGCTTTTAAAATATTCATATGATATCCGCATGAAATGAATGGTTTTGCGCACATTTTTGACTATAATACTACTCTGTCCTACTAACAAAGACCCCCGTATCTCCAAAAAATTCAAAAATTGAGATATTTGCACCAAACGAATAATCATAATTTATGCTACATATTTACATAGAGAAAACCCCGTATTTTACATTTTTAAATGTTTTATGAAGGAAAATAGTTTCCTCGTAAATGCCAAATATTGCATGTACACTTAGTATGAACCCCGCATATTACATTTTTTTAGAAATACCATGGTATGTACTCAGTAGATACGGGCTTTTACTAACGGAAATTGATATGCGAGGTATTTTCTAAAGAATAAAGCAGCTCCGCTATCGTCGAGGCCGTTGAAATCTGTAACTTGAAGTGTGTGGTAGTTAAAGAAATGACAGTTGCTGATTTTTTCAACTGGAAAGACTTTCCTTCACAAGCAAAATTGAAAAAAGTATTCCACGTGTTTATATGTCGCAATTAGTTAAGGTAATTGTGGAGAAAGGAATCCATATTTTAAAAGTTGAGACTGAAACAGATGAGTTGAAGGAAATTGATTTTTTGCAAGCAAAGGTGTTAACATCTGGAATAAATGACCTTGTTGCAATGCAAAAGCTTTCTGGAATTTTCTGTAGTAAGAAACATCAAATTTTATAGAATTTAGGAGGAATTATACGAGCAAATCGTCATCACTTTTGGCAAGAATTACCTACTTCTGACGAGCAGTAAAATTAATTAACAGAAGATATTTTCCTTTCGAAGTTGCCTTTACGTACAATAATTTTCCTTTTTTCTAAACTTATTTTTTAAGTTAAATTTACTTTCATATAAATACTTGAGTTTTTTTAATAAATAATATTCGTAATAATAAATAATACCATATTACTATGTATAAAATCATTGTCTCTTGCCGCAGATAAATTTGTATCATAATTACTTAGTTAAAACCAAGCATAAGCCGAATTTCAAATATATGTGGTTTTAACTAATTATTCTTATTTTATTAGTCAAGTAAAAGTACAACATAAACAGCAAAAATATTTAACCGCGGTGTCCTCAAAACTTGTTCAAGTGGAGATACGGGGGTCTTTCTTGATAGGGCAGTACTGATGTTGAAAAGACAGAAAGAAAAACTCGACACCTTCGGCTCATGATCTAACCCATGCTATGCGGGCGCTTTAACGCACTACGAGTACATACGGCAACATTCAAACAGCGTAAATTTTGGAATCTATTATAGGAGTCTACTAGGGTCTGACCAAAGCCCAATTTTTTTCCGAAGCCGATATTTGGCTTTTAACACAACCTTCGGCCGAATCCTAATGTTTAATTAATCAAAAAAATGAGTTGTTTGAGAATAGATTGGTAAAATAACGAAAATTTCAACCCTTGGCTCCCTCTCTCTCTCTTTATAAGTTGAGATCTTGATTCTGATGCAATATGGCATAGAAACGTCTTAAAATCAAATAAAGCGTGATGTTTCAATGATTCATAATTCCTAACTTCATCAAAGTTGTTGCATTTGGATTACAATAATGTAAAAATCAATTGCGCAGTCAATTTGAAGCAAAGTTTTAATTAGCATACACAAGCGACACCTATAAAAATATAGAGCTCAAAATAGTTTTGGGAATAAACCTAAAATTCCTGAAATGGTAATAAACAAAATAGACTCTTATCGACTTTGTTAAAAAAGATATTTGCAATAAAAAAATTTGAAATAGATATAAAACGGCTGCAGATTTACAGAGTTACTTATGAAACACCTGATTCCATGAAACAATTTCCAAATTATATCTCGCATTAAACATAATTTAAAAAAAGGGATCATTTCGATCAATTCATATGTTGACATAGAATAAGTTAAATAGATGGATTATTATTAATGATTATTAATTTTAGGCGAAAATTAAGAGGCGTACATAAAAATCAAACACCACAAACATCGCACAGTAAACTGGATTTTCGGTAATCGAACGTTCCTCAACATCTCTTCGATAAGTATTTCATACGCTGACCATGTTTATGTTCCCCTAGTACGCGATATTTTCGCAAAATGTCGTGGTAGAGATTTTTTTTCGAAACCTTCGGCAATCGGCTTCTTTGGCCGAAGACCAAATGTGTGGCCGAAGTGGCATTTTTGGCCAAATGCGGCCGAAACCGATGCAGAAGCTGCGTTCGTACCCTAGAGCCTACGGACAGCGACTCATACTTAATTTCAATTGATTTGCAAAGATCTTACTCGAATACTAGAGCAAGTGATTATATATGCAATTTATCGGTGGCCAGCTTTTCTCTAGGATGTCTTGATTTATACAAGCGAATCAATAAGAAACTAGTGAATAAAATTACCTGACAACCATAGTGCATGTTGGAACATCTACACCTTCTTCAAGTACATTTGACGCCACTAAAACGTTAATCTCCTTGTTTCTAAAACGATCGAGTACTTGTCTGTTCTTCTTATTAATCAGAAGCGATTCTACGGTGCTATTAAAAGGATTTCCGTTATAACCCACAATGAAATCCGACTTTATGTGCCTGAACTCTGGTACGTGTTCACTCAAATCTCTCAGAACATGGTGCAATATTTTGGCGGTGGATCTTTCCTTCGTGAATATTAAACCACAAAGTTCCTCGTTTGAAGATGAACTGTTGAAAAGTATCACGTTTATATTTATGACATTTACTTTTTCTAAAGTAGTTAAATATTACGTGGAACTGGGAATGTTGGATAAAGCAGAAATGTTTCTGTAACCCAATAATGTACAAAAGGAGGCCTTACACAAGATATTAATAAAACAGACAAAATTCAAGGGGGATTATAGAAAGAAAAATTCATAGTATTTTTAGGGCAGAAAGTATACTGAATGACATAAAAAATGCAACACCGACTCGGAGTGCTATAATTTTGAGCATACATTTACAAGATTTATGTCGACTGTGAAAAATGCACAATTTCTACGTCACAGGTATAGTCCCGGACACGTTTAGCTATGATGATAGTAGTACATATACAATTTCAAGTCAATATCTCAATTTGGCAATAATGTTTATATGTTATTTTTTCATTTAGAAATCTCGCTATCTCGCACCCTCTATAAACATTATTGTTTCGTCAAGATACTTCAAAAGTGGGATTAACTTATCAGGTGAGAAATGTGATTTACATGATCTTAGAAACATCATTCATAGTTCCACAGATTTCATATATTTCTAAAAACTAAAAAATGCTGGAAATACCTGTAATCTCCAAGTATTTGAAATAGCTTCAGCATCTTATCTGAGGAAAAGCTAAAAATTTGCTGTTGTTTACTGAACTTTTGAAACTCCTTTAGCAACATCTCCATTACGAATTGGAGCACTGTTATTCCATGAGAAAGAATATTCCATACCACTATATCTATCGTACAATAACGTTTTATTCTCTCAAACTTTATCATTAGAGATATTATAGCTTTCACTGCTCCATATGTTCCCATTGTACGAATTGTATCAGTTACTTCATTCATACAGTTACTCATCTTTTTGAAGTACGATTTCTCTTTGAGGGGCTTAAGCTCTTTTGACTGGAAGTGTTCTTCAATATCAACTACTTGCATCAGTTCTTGGACTTGTTTCAAAACTGAGGATACAGTTTCCTCTATGTTGCTCAGGCTGTATGGCTGGTACAGTATGATCTTTTCTCTTGGATTTGTAGAATACCTGAAAGAATTTATGTTGAGATTATCGGTACGACTCGGAGAATATTATCTGTTTTGGAATGTTTTCAATATTTTTCAATTGGGTCAATCCTTCCTCCTCTGAACAGCATCGAATATGGATAGGATAGTGTATTCAGAAGTGGCAGCACCCCAAACATGTGAGCAGTATCCGACGCTCAGTCATATCTGGACCTTGTACAGAGTGAGGAGGTCATGTGGAGAAAAGTACCTCTTAGCCCAAAACCAGTAACTCAACTTTTTCCTAGCAGCTGCCTTGTCAGTCAAGGAGTCAAGGTACAGTAAAGTGTCTTGGAATAGAGAATAACTTCTCAATCTCTCGTCAAAGCGAAAGTCGCTACTAGCCTTCTCCTCACCAGCACATCGGCAGAGATCGGCTTCCTCTCTTGTCACGTGCCAAAATCACGTAACCTTTTTTTACTATTTATCACTTATCTGTAGTTTGAATTTCTCTTTATTGATAATAGAGCGCCCATTCCTAGGCCAAACCCTTTTCAATGATTTTATTTTTGCAAATTTAATAGTTTATTGATTGTGTAATTTCACTCGTATTATATCTTTCTTTCTCAGCGATTCAGTATAGTGTTGACGATCAGCAAAAAAACTGTAGTTTTTCTCCGTTAGTTGGTTTCCTATAAAACATATCTTCTTCAAGGCCACTCAAGATGCCTTTTTCTAGAACGTTACGTGTTTTGCGTGATTCGCTTTTCTGTCTCCGTTGAGGTCGTGGTGCAGGGGTCGTTTCGTCATTTTCCGGACTCTGGGATATTAGGCCCCGAGCGCCAATTCATGGACTAGCACCCTTTTTTTGTGTAACTTAAGTTTAGTTATTTTGGTTTGGGTGCTACGTCTTCCATTTTTTATGGGATTTTGACCCTCAGCGGTAAGTTCTTTTTTATATACATACCTTCGGACCGCGTGCCTTAATGCGTGTCCTGATGACGTTCGTTCAATATCTGCTTTCTTTTTGTCAATAGAAACAGAAGAAAATCATCATCCTTTCTCCTCCAGTTAGTTGCATCGTTGCAGTTTTGCAAATTGGAAGCCATCCCCTTGATAAAACCCTGATGTGAACAGGTAAAATATCATTCTAATTAACAATTTCATAGATCTTTATACATTTATTACTGCTTATTTAAATTCTTAGAGACTTCTTGATTTTATTGGACATTCTACGTATTCAAATATGGGGGCAGTGCCTACATGGCACCTTCTATTACATTGATCATGATTTTGATTTTTGAGCTGCCATAACTTTTTCGAACAAGGGTATATTAGTTTGGTACATTTTTATCTTTTTTTTGCATTTGCTTTACTTTTCTTGTACGAAAAAGATGTACATGGTTTTGCTTCAAGTGCGATTGTTTTCAATGAGTAGTTTTATCTCAGACAGAGAGTAGAGTAGATTTTTAAACAATCTTTCTCTCTCAGGGTTTTTTTTTTGTTACCACTATAATTTTTGGCGACGGGGCAAGCAGCCCCTGCCCAGTAACGTGCCCACTACTGGCCACTTTTTGACCAGAGCCGAGGACATCTCGGCCGCGCCTGACAAAGAAGATATGTTTTATAGGAAACCCACTAACGGAGAAAAACTACAGTTTTTTTGCTGATCGTCAACACCATACTGAATCGCTGAGAAAGAAAGATATAATACGAGTGAAATTACACAATCAATAAACTATTAAATTTGCAAAATGAAAATTATTGAAAAGGGTTTGGCCTAGCCATCCATCTACGAAGCTGTTCTGGAAGCCCCTATTAGGATGAAAGTTTGCATAACAGGACACCATGCTACAGCTGATCAAAAGCTTTCATGCTATCATATTTCAGAATGCAAGTTCTTATATAATTAATCACTAAAAAAGGCTATCCTGGTAGCTGTAATATACCTAAAAGCATATTGCTACCAATCAATACTTGTGATTCAAAACACAAAATATATCACCTACCTGATAACATCCGAAAGCTCATCCACTGTAGCTACTTTAGAATGAAAAGTTGTTTCTAATTCGTAAACCTTTGTGTGCACTTTAAGTGGTGAGCAATTTCCATTTAAAAGTGTTGCGGTTAATCCGATGACTCTTGGTGCTTCCCTCAAATTCCCATACAAATTTTTCATTATTTGTCGCATAGGTGAGTCCCCTACAGCTTTGTGACACTCATCAAATATTAGTAAATTGATCCTATTCATATCTGGAAAAGTTTATTATTGAAACAATTGATAAATTGAATTTTTATTTACACAGAAATTTTAAGCATAATTAATGGTATGGGAACAGATATATGTATACTGAGTGACAAAAAAAGGTAAACACCTACGTATGTTTATCCGATTTTAATAATTTTGGCATATTTGTTCAGTGTCATTTACTAGTAAAATGATTAAATTTTCAGCTTAATTCGTCAACTGACTGCAGAAGCTGGTTCAATAATGTTGAAGGTTCACGATTTCTTATACACTCATTGACACGCCTGGGCATCGTGCTGATAAGGTGATCAATATCCTGCGGGATATCTCATTCCAGGCTACTGCAACTTCGTGAGTAAGAGCTGCTAAAGTCTGTGGAGGGTGTTGCAAATTTATGAACCTACGACCTATCATGTCCCAGACATGTTTAATTGGAGATAGGTCAGACGATCGTGGTGGCCAAGGTAAACGGTTGATATACCGTACGCATACCAACCATACTTCCATTCTCTTCAAACCACCGATTAGCGATGCCTTGTGTATTACTGAACCTGTCTCTCAGAGCCAGAAGTCTTAACCGGCGGTCTTGTCACTCTGTGGTCTCCCTGGGACGTCTAGAACGCCTCGCTCGCTGTCCTCGACCTTCCTGAGTCCGCGCTCGTTCACACTGCAGTATACTGCGTAAAGATCTGTTGGTCCTCCTAGAACCTTCTCTTATCGATAGACCGGCTCCACGCAACCCGACAATTCGACACCTCTCAAGGTCACTTAGCTGGGAAACCCGAAGAACTCTATGCACTCTAGGTATTTTGAACAATCACAAAAAGGCTTCTCAACAAGTTACACGAAATTCAACATTTAACTGACACCGTAAATGTACGAAAAGTGAATGCTTCTTTATCACCAAACAATACATGCAGCTACCACAAAAACTTAACAGAAAAACCTGACCATTTTATCACTTGTTCATGGCAAAATGTAAAAAATTCGACTACACGTATAATGAGGAGAAAATTGGAAAACATCAGAAAACGGATTTATAATAATAATAATAATAATAATAATAATATTCTTTATTGCCAGCAAAATTTTAAAGAAAAAAACATAAGCAACGTCAAAAAAAAAATGTAGTACAATACCAACGGGATATTATATGTATGTTTACAATATTAAAAACTATTAAAATGACAAATAAAAGTCCAGTATGTCACAACTTAGCTTAAAATGTTATTAAAATAAAATAATGGAGCTCAAATGTTAAAATCAAAGCTGTACAAACATCTGTCCAGCAAAAACTTTTTCACCGCTCTTTTAAACCTAATAGGCTTGCTCTCGGATTTTATATCTATAGGAAGCATATTGAAAGTTTTGACAGCCATGTATAATGGAGCCCTCTTAAAAAATGCGGACGAATGTGCAGGCACACTCAGATTTTCTCTGCCTCTGGTCACAACGGTCATACTTTTAGCATAATAATGTGCGTTACTATTAAAAAGATACATATGCTTTTTAACAAATAAAACAAGTGCCAAAAAATATAGTGATGGAACCGTCAAGAATCCCAATCTTGAAAAATGTTCCCGACATGATGTTCGAGGATGAAGTCTCAAAATGCACCTCAGGATGCGCTTTTGCGCTATAAAAACTGACATGGCACCCCGCGAAGAGCCCCAGAACATTATACTATAAGTTAACAATTGACTGTACAGATGAATAATAAAATTGCCGTAAAGTGTTCAAGGAAACCTCATTTCGCAGCCGCCGCACCAACGCACAGAAGCTGTGGAGCTTACCAACCAAAACAAATGTTTGACAATCCCAATTCAGACTCGAATCCAGGTAAATGCCCAGAAACTTTATATCGGTCATCTCTGGTATTGGTCCGCTATTGCAACGAACCAACAGCGACTCATCCCTGGCAGATGATTTACTGAACGTGAGAAGTCCAGTTTTATCAGCATTCAATCTTAATGCATAATCCTTGCACCAATCCTGCATGGTCCCCACTGCACAAGAACAGACCCCGGACAAGCCAGACATGTCCGACGCAGTCAGCACAACAGTAGTGTCGTCCGCATACTGGCAAATCAGACCTTCCATAAATCTGTCACTAAGACCATTCACATAGAGCAGGAACAACAACGGTCCCAGAATTGATCCCTGCGGCACACCCTGTTTAATCAAGGTAACTGATGAAAAATGCCTAACACCATTTTGGGTTATACAGACAAGCTGCTCCCTACTGTCAAGGTATGACTCTATAAGCTGTGCACATTTACCTCGTATTCCATGTTTAGACAGAATTTTAAGGAGTATTTGATGGTCTATGGTGTCGAAGGCCTTAGACAGATCAAAAAACAGACCGGCCACTTTTTCATTCTTATCCACATTTTCAACAATATAAGTAAGAACTTTAAATAGTGCTAGTTGTGTGGAATGATTTGGCCGAAAGCCAAATTGATTTCTTGTTAAAATGTTGTATTTCTTGATAAAGTTCATTATCCTTGAATATATGACTTTTTCGAAGACCTTTGACACAGAAGATAACAGTGAGACTAGTCGATAATTATCTATGTCATGCACATCTCCTTTTTTGTAAATGGGAACCAGTTTGGCCCTCTTTAAATGTGACGGAAAAATTCCTGTAAACAGACATTCATTAATAATATAAGCTAACGGTTCGCATATATAGTCAGATATCTGCTTTAGAACTACCACCGGGATTTCATCCAAACCAGCTGAAAATTTGTTTGGCAAACTCGCCAAAGTTAGTTTAATTTCTCTATTGTCAACAGGAAGCAAAAATAAAGTGGGAATCGCACTAGCTTCAACTTTGCTTAAATTCTGCCTCTCCTACACATTTTTCACTGCAGTCAAAATATGCCACACATGAAAACCATTTATAAAAGTTTAGAGCATTCTTGGATGTTTGCTTTCCGATCATAATTCCGTCACCAGTGGATCAATTTGTTAAACCTCCTTGACATAGTATTAACTTTGTCATTTCATTTAAGTCTGTGCAACAGTTTCCGAATTACAGAGATGCTAGGGAAACTTACCGAGATAATTATTAGTGATGGCCAAATTGACTAGAATTTGTGCAGTCATCACAAAAACTTGTTTGCTGTCAAATTCTTCCAGCCATTTTTCTTTGCTCCAGTTGTCAACATTCATATCCCCAGAAAACTGTGCAACATTGAATGGAGTATGTTCTCTAATGTTTTTGGCATGCTGAGCTACTAGCGGTACAGAGTTTACCAGTATAACTGATATTTTTCCACCTTTGCTATAAGATCTGTAATGGTAAGGCAAGGTTTTAATGGGAAACTGTCTATCTGAACAAAATTATATTATTCATCTGGGATAGATTTTACATCTAATTTTCAAAAATGATGCAGTTTATTTTCGTTTTTTCACTAATTTGTTGGCAACAGCCGATTTAAAACGGGGGCGCCTCCCTCCAGATGCACTGGTCTAAGTTAATCGTGATACGTATCCCACCCCCAACTCTTCAAGTGACACAATAGGAAGGTTCGATATTTTTCGTATTTCTCTTATTTTAATTAAGATCGAAGGAATTTGTTATTGAAAAACGATCAAAGAAATTTGAGTGCAAAATATTAATATTTACGTCGACGGAAAGCATTTTAAAATCAAGGATCAACGCGAGGCTAGAAAACGTACCTGTACGCGAGACTAGACCGCGTGACGTCAGTAGCCACACACGTGCTGTCGCCCTCATAGAATACTTGTATATTGTATTGTCTTGTATATGGAGTGAAGAGTATACGAATACTAATTTATATAAACTGGGACCGACGTTTGTGTACTTTATTTATTAGTGCTAGCACAATGCTCCAAGGTTATCAGAAAGCTGATTCGCGAAATTTACCCCATGTGAACGTGTTAATGGTGTACGAGTTTTTGGCAAATAATGCAAACCAGTTTGTTTGTGTAATATTTCAATAAACTCTGCGTAAATGACTGGAATGTCAGTATACAGTCTGAGGTTCTTTTCTACAACATTTATAAATAAATCCCTTATACTGCTCTGTTCGATCTCGGCAGTAAGCTGGTCAGCTTCGCTGTCACTACTTTCAGTACTGCTTCCACTGGCTTCTTACAAATCAGATTCGGATGTTTCTGTTATTGCGGGACCTTCAAGATTTGTCCGTTCACTTTCCACTTGCAAACGTTTTTTTGGCCGCTCTGAAATCTGTTTAGCAAGCGTAGGAATTCTTATTAGCGATACAGCAACATCCATTACTTTCCGTTTTTGCGAGATTTGAACTAACTTGCTTCTAAAATGTACCTGTTTGGTTTGGCATGCCTTGTCACATACCTGTGACTGAAGTTCCACTGTTAAAGGTTCAGGCAGTTTATCATGCTCCTCCTCAATAACTTCCACGCCTTCAGGCTCGGACTTTTCGGTTGAGGGTCCCGCCCGGCGTGCCGCCGCTGGCTGCAAATATTTGGCGATGTCTTTCTGCCTTGCCCTTTTTTCGCTGAACACTCGTTTCGTAGAGCTTAATTGTCTACCCAGTTGACATGCAAATTTATGAGGTGCAATATTGGGATTCATCCGGGCTCGAACGGTACTCATCTTGTATTGTAGATAGTTTTACATATCTTTTTCCAGGTCAAAATGATCTTCGCAGCAGTACATGGTCGACGTGGAAGAAATTGATTTTACATCCCGTCAAGCTGCGTTAAACCACTTTTTACGTTGTGCGGCAGCTTTTGGAAAAATTTTTTTGTGGTGTTGTACTTGACGTACTTTTACATTTTGGCACAAAACACCACTTTCTGTTCGACATTTAACACCATCAAAGTTCACAGAATTTAACAATAATCTATCGTACCAGCTCCAACTACTCCAAACTGATTACTGAGGCGTTATTGTGAGAATGGTAAATGCAGCGGGCCAGCTAGCGAGGTGTGTCTGGATACTGACGTCACGCGATCTAGTCTCGCGCACAGGTACGTTTACCAGCCTCGCGCCGATCCTTGATTTTGAAATGCTTTTAGTCGGCGTAAATATCAATATTTTTTGCACAATTTTCTCGGTTTTTAATAACAAAATCTCTCAATTTGAGTAAAAATAAAAAAATGGCAAACCTTCCTATTATCGCCATTTGCTTTCAGAAGATTAATGCTGTGACAAGTACGGTGCCCCGCCCCTATAGACAGATTCCTAAATCTGCTCTTGAAAACATTCAAAGTATTGTATATTGAAAGAGAACTTATAGTAGATCCTTCATATTTCCCACCAAAGACTGCCTACAGGATTTGATTTTTATGCCTGAGGCTATTAGATGGTTACCACACATTCATGGCAAATTGTCAACATGAGAAAATTAATGGTTTATTTCTCAGATCTGAGGGTTGCTCAATACATTGGCTGCCATGCCAGTCACTGATAACTAACACTGAACTAATCCAATGGAACTATGTCAGTTATCAGGATTGACACTACATACCTACTTTTAACTTATTATATATTGATGTCAGTCATAAGTTCTGTTTTAAATTATATTAGGTTTGCCTGACACAGAATGGTCTGAAATAAAATATTTATATCCCTGAGTTTCTTAGGCTGGTGTTCAATGTGCTAATTACCAGAAATAGGGCAATATTATAAAGAGATATCATAGCAAAACTATTATGTTACACTAGAAGCTATTACATCACAGCTTTGGGGTGAAAGTTTGAGTGTGAATTTTGGAGGGAGTTCTGTTACTTCTTACTCTTGAAAATAAAAAAAAAACTAACAATATACTTTTTGCATGTGAAATATTCAAATATAATTATTAAACTATGCTTAGCTTTTAGTATTTAATTTCAGCACATCACATTGAGGATGACTATACCAAAAAGTAAGTTGAAGCATAATGAGAAAATAAGTTTGGTAGGATTTTGAGGAAAACCCCTACATTAACTGAAGATGTTTATTACACTGTGTACAATTATTCAATTATAATATTTTTGGGAAGTCTAACACTTTATCTGAAAAAAATGTATTATATTTTGCCAAAAGGTACCATTTTTGAGAAAAACATTCATGTTATAAGCATGTTCCCATCGATTTACAATGGAGTCAGCCACCAAAAGCTTCAACATCTAAAAATTTAATAAGCAGTCTGAAAATTTATACCAAGGGGTTTTTTATCACTGATTAAAAATGTATTTTTAAAATTACTATTCTTCCTAAATGACAATTTCAACCAGTATTTGGATCCAGTACAAAGATGAATAGAACTCCACTCCATTTTATTCTAGGATCCCTACATAAATTTAAATATAGTTTATCAAACAATGGTAAATGGTATGAATTGCCTAAGCACTAGTCACTTCATTACTTATCATGATAAAAGATGTAAATAGAGCTGAACAATGATAAAAGAAGGATAATGATGATTTTTGTAATTTAAAATATGAAGATCAATTCATAACTTACTATTCAGTGAATATTTTTTATGTCATTAATCTTCAGAATGATATGAATACATTATCATCAGTATTTAATAAACTAAAGTCAAATAGGTAGGTCTTGTTTTATTACTAAAAATACTTTGCTACTTTTAATATGATTATGACTCATCTTCTAAACCAATGTTAGTATCTAATGTATTTATCAGTTTTTAAACATACTGTTAGTGGATAATACATGTATCATAATAGCCAACCACAACAATTCATGGATCTATTAGGGTAATCTATGAATTTGTGTATGATGATGAATCTGATTAAAGTATTTATAATACACCTATTAAATCCTCAAAGACATCCAAATCTTAATCCAATCCTACTTATTTGAAGGAATGGCTCATCCTATTAAGAGGATAATCCTAAGTGTCTATATGGGGAATTTTGAATCTAAATCCCAAAATCATCTTACATAAATTCCTGATATAAAGGTAGCAGGGGTTTCCTAGGAATTGACAAGTGATAAAGTATTTTGAATGCTTTTTTCACATACTTATTTTTGGTTTTCTGAAGTGCAAGCAAGCAAAAACAGAGATTTATACTCACTTGACCAGGCTTTTACCAAGCTGTTTTAATACGAGTATTGCAATGTATGTTTTGCCAGACCCTGTTGGAAGATAGATGATTGAATTTTGCTTTTCTGCGATTTTCATCAATTCCAGCTGATAATTGCGGGGTGTGAATTCAACTTCAGTCATGATTATTCCTAGCTTCCTCAAAACACTATTATGGCTGGGTAGTTATCTGCTTTATGGAAAAATTCGCTGGTTTTAAATCCGATTAATCAGCGAACGACTGCAACTACGCAATACTGTAAAATAAACATTAGAGCCAGTTGCATCCGCCAATCAATCACAATCACTCACCCCTGACGTGTTCAATTTTCACTGGGGAATCACAGGATGTTCGTTCCAGGATTTACAAAGATTATTTCTAGATCTTTCTGATGATTAAAAATGATAAAGATACTTATTGTGAGATGGATACAAATATTTTATCTCTCGTTTCTCAAAAATTAAAATCGATGAAAACCACTAACCGTAAACATGTAATCAAAACCACATCTTACATCAAGAGATCAAAACCGCAAGAAACACCGACAACCGACAACCAAACCGACAACTCGAAACCACAAAACAAAAGGTGACAGAAGTAATTGGAACCAACCATCCCAGTGCTATAGCATCAGCAGATGCAGGCAGTGACAGTCCTAGAATAATTTGTTTAAGGGTTTTGTAGATGTTGAAACCGGATTCTTTTGAAGCCAAACGATATATTGAAAAACCGTCTAGAAAATCACCATGAAAAAATTTTATGATAGTCCCGCACGAATATTAAGTTAGTTAAGTTAGGTTTCGTCCGTTTTTTTTGACGTTTAGTAAGTTTTTCTACAAGATGTAAACTTAGCACAAGCTGTTGTACATTTGTTTTGAACTCGTTTTTTAGCTGTACGTGTTGCTTTAACGTCAGCGCACAGCGATCATTGCGTGCCAACTTGGAATGGTGTATTTGCACACTAAAAACTACCTAGTCTGCAAGATGACATTTCGTCGTTTTTTTTGACGTTTTTTAGGTTTTTTTCTACAATATACCCCTGCCGGTAGTATCTTCGCATTTACTGGGAAAATTTTTCTGATTCGGATTTTTCAACAATTTTTTAAAGAATCTTCAAAAATGCTAAACGCTCATTTTTTGTGGCTCGAAAACTGTTTACCTCCGAAGAACAATACCTGCACATGGATGAGTCATATTTCAAAAACACCTCATAAAGAAACAAAATCAGTTTTTTACTCCCCACGCCTACTGGTGGAGAATTGTAATCGCGAAATTTTACAAAAATGAGATCTTATGTTTTTTTTTGATGTTATAGAGATGTACATCACGAAAAACCACGCCACTGATTTCTGTCGGTCTGACTATCTCTGTCGGCCTGTCTGTCTGTCTGTGTGCTCGCTAATCTTATGACCACCTATAACTTCAGAAGTATTGCTCAGATTCCGATAAAATATTGCTACTACGGAAAGAAACCCAAAAGCTTTGTAGTTTTTGAAAATCGGTCCAATGGCGGTGGAGAAAATGGCCGAAAACAAAGCAATCACTCCACCTCGTTTTTGACGTTTTAGACGGTGAAGGCCAATATCATCATTCACGCAGGATTGGTCATCGCAACTATCATGTTTGTGCAGCTACAGCAATTCTTCTCAGGGGGCGGCGGAAGGTTATTTAATTTTTCGTTATACATGTCCGTGGCTAACTTTTTCCTCGGAAACATAATCCTTGACATACTGATGACAACGTAGCGTGGGAAGTACAGAGTCAACTTACTTGTCACCATTTTTCTGATTATATTGTATATTTATTACGAGTTCGATAATATACTGTATTCCCATTTAGCATATATATTTTGATAAAGTCCTTTTGAAACCATAATGTGCATTATTTGAGGCTTCGTTAAATTTTCGGGTAAATATTTACATAAAGGGAGGAAAAACCCTTCATTATGATCTTATAGGCTCAGTGCAGTTCTTACACGCAATTTGTATCTAGTAACCTAGTACGGTGTGATAATGAGTATAACAGAATGTAAGGAATAAAGATGCCCAAAATTAAATACGTTCTTTTTCCTCTTTACTGTCTCTCTTTTTTTAGAATTACATCTCATCATAATTCGAGCGGCACTTTTTAGTTATAGACGGACCAAAGATTAGCGGATAGACAGACCAACAGATAGCGAGACAGACAGCCCGACGGAAATGAGTGATAAGGTTCTTGTGATGTACATGTCATGTAGCATCCAAAAAATAATATCTATTCCGGAAATGTTTCGCAATTTGAATACTTCCTCGCAAGTGGCGTAGAAATTAAAATTTCATATTATTTGGTATCATCATCAACTCTAACGATTTTCTGTTTATCTGTTTATTAACAATAATAAGTTATTGTAATGGTAATAGTTATTAGTTTTAAATCAAACTATCAAATACGAAAAACGTCATATATCACGCCGGATAAAATTGAATTATGCTCAATTATTACTGTTCCAGTAACCATTCTTCATATTAAAGAAATATAAAATAGAAATTTGTTTGGCTTTGCATAAAGGCATGGATTCAAAAGGTCGTTAACTCTGACGGTATCGGTAAGATTGCGACTCATTGGCATAGTTCTGCGGCTGCTGGTAGCAATGCATTCACCAAAAGCAGTTTGGTGTGAACGTTATTAGTGCTCGATTATTCTAAGAGAGCGTGACTGAGGCTATTACCGTCAATGGGAAGCGCGATCCATGATCACCAATTTCTTTTGGCCCGAATTTATCGACATTGACCTGAACAACATTTGGCACTAATAAAACCAACGAATTCAGAATAGGTAAAAGAAGCCAGTCAAGGATCTGTTAGTCACCTAATCCACATACTCTGTAGTGCGGATCAAATTGCACCTGACATAAGTCAATTTTATAAAAGCTATGGCATGAAATTCGTATATTTAGTGTTATTTTTTAAAAGTTTGAGTGATTGCAGATAATTTTGTTGTTAGATAACAAAACATAGTACTTTTTGAAAAATTTGCTAAAGCGATACAGGCATAATGAATGTAGATGTTTCCACCAGTAAGTAATATTATTATAGCGCTGTTACTTTGGTAGATAAGTTAGTCAATTTTGGCGATAAACAATGCAATGTCGTTACACCCGGGTGCTAAATTGTTGCACTGCAAAAACGCGCGTTGTAACGCGACTACTTGCGGTTTGCACAGGACGTGTGTCAACGCACAGCGAACAATTCTGGCGAACGCATTGAACATCACCCAATAACGCGCTGCACAGCGCGCGTTGGATTGAATGAACGTCGATATTCACTTGTAGTAGACGTAGACTGAACTACTGACACACCAGCGGCTACCTAGTGCACAAGTTTACCGATTTATTCGACATTACATAGATTTCGTACCTAATAACCCTGCGGTAAATACTGAGATGATGCTGGCCTCATATGTACAGGTCACATTGTATATTGATTGCGTGACGCTTAAGATTGATACAGAATGTATATATTCAAAAAAGATCTCAGAAACATACAGATTCGTAAGAAATATTTGCTTCTGTTTGTAGTCTGGTATTTACCTGAATATTTCAGATGCAATTTTCATGCAATTATTTAACAATCTTAAAATAAGTTCGGCTTGGGAATATAATCCTCCTTGTCCCCCTTCTATACTTGCGGGGCGACGACACTGGTGCAGATCGTAGTTGACGTTCTTCTTAAATTCTGTCATTACTGTCCGCTGTCATGGGTGTTATGTCATTTGTTACTTTTGGACAGCCTTAAAACATAACCTAAAATTTATTCAAATTTTTTACGAAAAATATCATCTCATTTCTTATTTCATCCTCATTCAAATCCCCTGCATTTATTATGCCCGATAGAACGTGATATGAGTCGGCGTCCATCTCCATTAGACAACGAACAATGTAGGCAGTGCTCGAGTTTTCAGGATTACATGAAATCCACCAAAAAGAAACTAAAAAATGAAGATTCCGCAAACTCTGCCAACCACGGAGACGATGCAGTTCCAAGAAGAGCCGACTGCCCCTTGGACAAAGACGAATTGGGTCACAGTACTTGGGGTTTACTACATACAATGGCAGCAACATATCCTGAGAAGCCTACCCCTGAAGAACAGTGTGACATGAAGCAGTTTTTTACATTGTTGTCCAGGTTTTACCCTTGCCATTTCTGTGCGGAAGACCTAAGAGCAGAACTAAAAGTGGATCCTCCCAAGACAGAATCCCAGGAAGTGCTGAGTCAGTGGTTATGTAGATTACACAATAAGGTAAACATAAAGTTGGGCAAGGAAGTTTTTGATTGCAGTAAAGTGAATGAGCGGTGGCGAGATGGATGGTCTGATGGCTCCTGTGATTGATCACTTAATCAACAAGATGAAACATAGGAATAAGCATTGTTAATGAATAGACACTTGCATTCATATAAAATGAATTTTTATTCCTTCATTCTAATGAATAACCTACTTATCTACTTATCCTACCTGTGTGCTTTTTTTGATCAATGAAAAACAAATTTTATTTTTTTTTTTTTATACTCCAACTACCACGAAGGCCTAAGGCCTGAGCACCCATTGGGTACCGTGGGCTATAGGGGGATACATGGGAAAGGGGGGGGATGCCACACGGACTCTGGCGAGGGAACACGTGTGCATGCAATATGCACACATTCTGGCTCCGCTTACGAGAACCGCCGGGTGGTACCTCCGCGTTCGACAGTCAGAGACCATCTACCACCTACGGATAATCACAACATCCATAGCCAAGAGAAAAATTTCTCCTGGTACGGGACTCGAACCCGCACAGCGGACGGCGACTGATCAGGAGACCGAAGAGTCTACTACTGCGGCCACCGCTGCTGCCTCCACACAGTTCCACAGTCCACAGAAATAACACAGTTATTTCATGAAATATAGCTTCCTATTTTTATAGCTTATTGAAATCATTGACCTTGTAGAATATGTTGCCAATATATAAATGACAAGTCTCTTGGTGTCTGTGCAGCAGAACATTAAAGACTTTGAACACTTTTATAAATTCCCAGTTTTGTAACATAAAATATTTTTTTGACTATTTCTTTTATGCATACGAGACTCCTCCTATTAATTGGAAAAAATGATGTTCTATTATATAAATATATTTTATAACTATTTGATCTAAAATTACATGATCATCAATAGGAGAATTATGATTTTCATTTTCTCTTCTATTTATTAGGGGAGTATGGTTTTCATTTTCTCTACTATTTATTGGGGGAATATGGTTTTTTAGCGACTGTATTGTCACTGCTAAGATAAATTGTATAAGGTGAAGAAAAATCAAGTTGCTTCACAATTCTGGGTTCATTTGTAAAATTGAAAATCTATAACCCGCCAGCATGCCACAGTTATTAACCTAAAAAAGAGTAACAAATCAAAATATTGAATTGGATGTTTGAACAGACCTACACCACAGAGTACTCTTGGGTTTGACAGTTACCTAACATATTGTAGAAGTAGCAACTCCTCCAAAGTTTTAGCTTTTGCATCGAGGTAACTTAAATGTGAGTCTTCACATATCTCCACAAAAAGAAATCAATAGGCGCCAAGTCAGGGTATGTTGCGCTGTGTAGAGATCAGGCGTAACGAGAAAAAAATGTTTCCACAAATTCCCGAATCTACTCGCGTTGTGAGCAGGACAGCCATCTTCTTGAAACCAAATATCATCGAGGATGAAGCCCAGGCTTCGTACAGTCGGGAAAATTTCGTACTGAAGCAGTTCCAAATAACGCGAGGAATTTAAGGTACTTGAAGAATGGTTCAACAATGTGGTCCCTAAAATACCCTCCCTACCACCACATTCACTTTTTGGGGATTCTGCGTCCTTAATAAATTTAAATGTTTGTTTTCCCTTAGCCAATACCTAAGATTTTGAGGATTATGATGCGGATGGAGGGAAAAGCTGGAATTCGTCCAACAATATGTTTTGGAGAAATCTGTCATTGTCAATTATTTCTCTCATGGCATCACAAAACTGCATTCTCCTGGTATGATCAGCGGGAAAAATCTCCTGCGTTTCTTGGTTTTTAAATGGCTTGCAGCTATGCTTCTTCAAAATATGCCTGACATCAAAAGCATCCCATACATGAGGTCAAGCAGTCATAAGAGGTTCAACTAACATGTCCTACTGTAACATGTGAAAAGTACACGAATACCCCAAAAACGTAGCAACCAAGAATTTTTTGGAACAGAGGTTTCAAAAAAACTCTTAGGATATCTAAAAAGCAACTTAAAACTTTTAGGATATCTAAAAAGTAACTTGTCAATCACCTCAAAGATGACCTAGAGAATGACCCCAACGGTTATTTGGAAGTAAAGTTTGTGAATTCAAATATGTACTAAGCACTATTTTTGACAGCAGTTTCTTGTCGGGCTCGAGATTTCACATCAGAATTGATCTTGATACATGAGGTACATTAAAATTTATTCTAGAAGCTGTTTCGAAGGCGTGGAAACGTTAGTGTCAATACACTTTTTTTGTTAGTTCAAAACTATGAAGGTGACATGCAGCAAGGTTATTAAAATGTGAACTCCTTGAATCCGTGCCGTCCGAATCCATGGTAGACAGATGACTCAGGTCATATTCCATACCGATTCAATAGCATTTCAAATAAAAAGGGATCTCGTTAATACATACACCACTTGTTTTACTACATATCAGCATTAACGCATCCCCATCGAAAAACCCTTCAGGCAGCCATGAACGACAATATGAAATACACCGTTCCGATAGGGAATCAGTCCTAAGCGCATTCGACACAATTCAAAAATGTGTACGCTCAAAATTTGGGCTAAAAAAATAAACTAAGGCATATTTTAATATGCATCTTCATTCAAGGAACTGGTGTAAAATATTGGCCATTCGGCAGATTGCACAACCTTCTGCGTCGCCATTGTTAGGCAACGTGGTGTTGAGCTTCGCTATCCAACCGGCTTCTATCTCTTTCTAACACACCTCTAGCGCTTCTCTCTCGAACATTGAACTCTCGCTTGTCAGCCAAATTTGGTCCTCACCGTATAGTAAATAGCTGCTCTTGTTAGAGCATTCCAAAATAAGTTTTTATATAGAGTTTGTGAGATTCAAGAGCTTCTAAAATGTCATCAATGCAAGGTAGTTTTCAGAAAGTCTTATTCAACTTGCAAAACCTGTGATGCTGTATCTATCAAATCTTTTAGTCAATGAATAGAAGCACAGGTCTTTATTGAAATTTTGCGTTTATCTTCTGTGGCTGTCAATAACATCAAAAATCTATATCTAGGAACATTAGCAAAATTAAACGATTCTTTTTTTTCATATTGTTTCTCGTGGTCACAAATAGCCTATTATGCACTTTTTCAAATATGATCACTTATACCTTGCGAACTATAAATTTTAGAGAAAAGTTATGAAGCACTTTTTGTCCAAACGTCCTAAAAAAACCTAAAAACACTTTGATCGGAGCTTGGTAAAAAAAATGTTTTGACAGAGAGGGCTGGTAACATGCAGATTCGTTAAAAGATGGCTTGTTTGGATGAGTTTTTGCAAAAAACCAAATCAGAATATTTTTACCTTCAGATGCGAATAAGACTAAAACAAAGCTGGATATTTTTTTATTTTTGGAACCTTTTTTTGAGTGTTTTGGCAACGACCAAACATTTAGATTAATACAGCTAGTATTAATATACTAACTTCAAAACGATACACCATCCGTAAAAAACGAAGTTTGAGCCATTTTTATTTTTTTCGCTATTGACCTTTTTCTCCGCTGCCACCGGACCAATTCTCAAAAACCGGCATAGTAGTAATTTTGTGTGAAAATATCATCGAAATTCAAGCTGTAAGGATTAGCGGACAGGCAGACAGACCGACGAAAATGCGTGACATGGTTTTTCGTGATGTCATATGACATGCAAAAAACATAATATCTCATTTTCGAATTTCCTTGCGATTACATTACTTCTTTGGTAGTAGGCGTGGGAAGTAACAAACAAATCGGAATATTTTTTCGAACAAATGCGAAGATACTTCCTGGACTAACTAACTATACCGCCGAGCATTACTTGTTGCTTAGCAACGGGTAAGGATTTGTACTAAAAACAAAGCAAATGTGTGTATCTGGTATAGGTGTACGTGAGGATCTCTTGATTGTCTTTATAAAATGAGTAGAAGGTGAGTAGGCCACTGATAACTATTGTTCACTAACTTCACTGTTTACAAATGTGATCCTTCGAAAATAATCTCGTCATCAAGAAGCCAAGGTGGTATTGATTATCTACTTATTTAAAGGCGTCTGCTCATTTTTTCAAATTCTTTGAGGGTGTGATGGAGTTTGAAGGTTTCAAAAGGCGGAACAATTTCTTTCTTAACCTCGGTCATTAATGTTTGCCTCATCAGCAGCTCGCTTTTGCCCTAGTAGAAGTAGTGCCACAACTTTAGTATTTTTTTTTTAGAACGTGTGGTAAAATATTACACATAACGTAAAAGAATGCAGTAAAAAGGTGTATTAAAATTACATCAAAAAACGTACATAATTAATGATTCAATGTCGAAAATATGTGTTAGGAGACTTAAACTCCGAAAATTGCATACTAGAATTCTTTCATTCCCTCTTTTTTTGGCTATCATTACATAGAGTTATGTCTATGGCTGAAAGGGCTCTGGGAAAAGCAAAATTTGGGCCCCTATTTTTCCGCCAGGTAGAAGAGAGAGGAAGTTTTTCCGCCCAAAGGCTTTTCAAATTCAAATTATTTATTACCCGTTAGACATTGAGATATATGTATAGGATTCGTCAACTTACATATATGTATAACAATAAATAAAAATGTATAAGACAAACACCCAGTGGCGCTCCCAGGATTTCAGTCTGGGAGGGGTAAAATTGAAAGTAAATTGTCAGTGTTACGTACTGAAGTGTTATAATGATTTAAAATTAAAAGCATGGACATATGAATTTGTTACAGTAACTTCTGTAGAAAATACACACAATTTTTTTAATTTTGAATCATAGAAATTAAAGTGTAAATAAAGCAAACCAAGCTCGAGCAATCTTCATATATTAAAACAAAAATGCAAAATAATATAATCTGTCACTGACTTTTCTACATAACAATGTCAGACAAAACAACAAAAAATACATCTTCATGAAAAAAATAACAATAACAAATATTTTACGACTTCTATAAAGTATAAAACTGTAATGTAAATCAAAATAAAATTTTTAATCATGAGAAAAACACAAAAAATATTCATTGCA